CACGGGTAACCAAGTACTCAACACAGGCAACCAAATACTCAACACAGGCAACCAAATACTACCCACGGGTAACCAAGTACTACCCACTGGTAACCAAGTACTCAACACAGGCAACCAAATACTCAACACAGGCAACCAAACAATCAACACAGGCAACCAAATACTACCCACGGGTAACCATGGGTACTCAACACAGGCAATCAAATACTCAACACAGGCAACCAAATACTACCCACGGGTAACAAAGTACTCAACACAGGCAACCAAGTACTCAACACAGGCAACCAAATACTACCCACGGGTAACCACGGGTACTTAACACAGGCAACCAAATACTCAACACAGGCAACCAAATACTACCCACTGGTAACCAAGTACTCAACACAGGCAACCAAGTACTACCCACGGGTAACCAAGTACTCAACACAGGCAACCAAATACTCAACACAGGCAACCAAATACTACCCACGGGTAACCACGGGTACTCAACACAGGCAACCAAATACTCAACACAGGCATCCAAATACTACCCACGGGTAACCACGGGTACTCAACACAGGCAACCAAATACTCAACACAGGCAACCAAATACTCAACACAGGCAACCAAGTACTACCCACGGGTAACCAAGTACTCAACACAGGCAACCAAATACTCAACACAGGCAACCAAATACTACCCACGGGTAACCACGGGTACTCAACACAGGCAACCAAATACTCAACACAGGCATCCAAATACTCAACACAGGCAACCAAATACTACCCACGGGTAACCAATTACTCAACACAGGCAACCAGATACTCAACACAGGCAACCAAATACTACCCACGGGTAACCAAGTACTCAACACAGGCAACCAAGTACTCAACACAGGCAACCAGATACTCAACACAGGCAACCAAATGCTCAACTCGGACAATATGTCAGTATAATGTCCTCAGATTGATGCACTTTGTCGTCACTCATTATCTCATCCTACGATGCGATGCCTGCTGCAATGGACGATGTTGCCATCCGATGCAGGATGTTGCGATGCGACATAAACGTGTTGGGGTGAGATTTGTCGATAGAAGTGTTGAATCGAGACTCTCTTGCCTACTGAAGAAATCTATGTTTCAGTTCAAGACATTTGTTTGTTGTCTCAGATATTTTGTTCTGTCAAATGTCTGAGTTAGAACACAAAAATTGACAGTTTTGTCTTGGAAATATATTAAAATGGTTTGAGGTGATAATAACAATCGAATTCGTATTTCCCCAGATCCCTTCGAGGTTAACTATCTAAACTCCTAAATTAGGATACTCCTTGCTTAACCGTCCTTCTGATGATCTTGAAAGACATTTTGTAGTACATTATTTTTAATGCGTCATTATTGAAGCTGATATAGCCATTGGTAGCTATCGGTATATAAAGATATATCAAAATGCTATATAGTTTAAATAGAAGACCGACCTGGGTAATGCAGACACCTGTTGATTACACAACAGCGAAGCCTTATCTCCCCTGGGACTTCACACCAAACACAGATTCTAAACTGAGACCAGACCAATGTGTCAGCTGTTATTCATATAGTTTTAAACCGAATTCAATACAAGTTGTTCAATACCTTCACGGTGCCTGCATCTTTGTATCTGGTCAACTAGATGTCAGAGCTGTTAAATTCATCTGTGTTAGTTTGCCGTTTTGCCAGTTTCAAGGGCAGATCTATTACCTTGTTGACGTTCATATTTGTTCCTGCTTTAGACAGTTTCAAGTGTTTATGGTATTCATGTCAACACTATTGACAGAAAATCGAACTGGGCATTTCAACAAGCGATCAGATTTTGTTATTAAGCTTAAAATATTTACGTCAAATGTTTACTTGTAGCGGCTGTCAACTAACGCACACCAAACCTCTACTCCTGTAAATGTTGTTTGTTTGTTTGTTTGTTTGTTTGTTGTTTAACGTCGCACTCAGCAATATTCCAGCTTTATGACGGCGGTCTGTAAATAATCGAGTCTGGACCAGACAATCCAGTGATTGACGTTTTGAGCATCGATCCACGCAACTGGGATACGATGACATGCATCAACCAAGTCAGCGAGCCTGACCACCCGATCCCGTTAATCGCCTTTTACGACAAGCACAGTCGCCTTTTACGGCAAGCATGGGTTGCTGAAGACCTATTCTACCCCGGATCTTCACGGGTCTCCTGTAAATGAAACTTGTTGATGATAAAGATAGTGTCATACAAACTTTTATCTGAATTGTTTACATTTATTTAGCATGTTCTTAACACAACCGAAAACTAATTCATATAAATGTAATCACGTTGTTGGTAAAATAATTTACCCGATAACGTATGTAATACTTCCTCATTTGCAATATGGGGCGGTGGGGTATCCAAGTGGTTTAAGCGTTCGCTCGTCACCCTGACGGCTCGTGTTCGATTCCCCACATGGGTACTATGTGTAAAGCCCATTTCTGGTTCCAATGCTCATTATTAAACCTTGCTTGACAACGGTGTAACAATCTATACCGAAACGTCGCCTTTACAATAAATAAAGAAGTTGCTATCCATAAATTATCTCTACTTTGTAACCCGTCAACTTCTAAGTAATGCCTATCAAACAATTCAAATCAAAGAACCCAAAACATAAAACATTCGTTTTCAATTTATACATTTTAGAATTCCTATACAATCGTGTTTGGCGGGGTGACCAATGTGGGATGATTTGTATTAAGTTCCAGAAATGTGTATCACAGGGGCTCAGGTTGTACATTGAGCCGGCTGCTGTACATGGGAATATCGTCAGAGCCGGTATCGTCATATCACTGGCAATTTTCCTTCCTTAATACGATGTACCACTCACACAGGAAAAGTGTAGAGTTGACAATGGTAGTGTAAATATGTTGTTTATGTAGATGGCACGTTCCCGCAAGAATAGAAGAAGGAAGACGTTATACATAGGTGTGTGTTTCTGTCTGTGTTTGTCTCTGTCTATGTCCCGAATGTCAGTATCTCTATATGTTTCTGTGCCTGAATGGTTGTGTCTGTCTGTGCCTGAGTGGTTGTGTCTATGCCTGTGCCTGAGTGGCTGTGTCTGTGCCTGAGTGGCTGTGTCTATGTCTGTGTCTATGTCTGTGCCTGAGTTTCTGTGTCTGTACTTTAGTAAGTAGTCGTTCAGTCGGGTGACGATATTCATGTAGGGCTCGGTGTAAAATTCAACAAAGTTATTTTGTCCACTTGTGACTCAACCAGGAACAGATATGAGAATAGTTGAAAACAAGAAGCACAGTAAATACAACTCTATATGGGAAACGTATCTCTTCAATGACGCACATGACCCTTTGTTAATCATACGTGAATGTTCCGTTACGCCGCAGTCAGCGATAACCTCGCTATATCACAGCTACCTGTAAATAATTGAGTCTTTATCAGACAAACCGGTGGTAAATATTATGAGCCACGTTAAACGTCGTAAGGGTTTCTCTAAGTAGTTAGTTGTGTTTTTGTATGGATACGAGTTTCTCCGAGTAGTTGGAATCTGTCTTCCCTGGATCAAATCCCAGATACGCATCGATTGTGTTCCATGGTTTACAGCACGTGGGTTTCACTGGAGTGGTAATCGTCTACGATCTGCATCACAGCCATGTCGTTATATAACTGAAACACTGTTCAAAGCGGCGTTAAATAAAGATCACTGAGTATTGTTCATGCCAAGTCTCGTCATAGTCACACACTTCTCCGTGCGATCACAGAATTCAACTGTAGTTAAGAATTCGAAAATGTTATTTGTGTGGCAAATCGTCTTGATATTGTTTAGTAATTTGCGAATATAATTTGATCAGTAACAGGTTCCTTTAATTCAACTATTCAGCTTGTCAAACGCAGCAGAAGTATATTTGTAGCGTGTGTGATGTCTCAACGGCAAGCTAAGGTAATGCAAGATTGTAGTGCGCTTCCATCACCATCTTCGTGGTCTGTCTTCGGAGAACGCATCTTATACGAAGCAGTTTCATCAAAATTGCAATATTCACTCACTCATTCATTCATTCATTACTTCTTAAGATGATCGGTTAACTTTTTTGCCACAATCCTAAACGCTGACACGCTCCTGTTTACAACTGGTGACTACTATACAAGTCTACATTATATCCTGTTCAAGGGTGTATCTTGTGTATATGAAAAAGATGGGTCGATACCTGATTAAAGGCAACTGTTTCCAGACATGTTGGTTTCAGTTCATTCCTGAGTTCGATGCTGAATTATTGTTCCCAGCTTGTCATGATGACAGTACTGCTGCAAGCGCCGCAGACTAAAACTCACTCACTCACTCCACGATAAACGTTAGGAAGCAGATGAAGGGCATTCGACGTCCCTGTTGGGATCTAATCCTTGCCATATTTTTGTGATGGGAGAACGTACTAACCATTGTGCTAACACATGTGAGTAGATGTCTTTGAACAATTAAGTCTAGTGTCATTGTTCTTAAAAACATCAATAACAATTTCGCAATATTGACTATTTATTGAATATCATGGTATGTACAAACGTTAGGAAGGAGATAAAGGACACCTAACGTCCGTGTAGGGAATCGAACCCTCGCAGAATTCGTGAAGGGAGAACGTTCTAACCATTGTCCTATCAATTGTGAGAAGTGTTCTTTAAAACATTAGGACTAGTGTCATTGTACAGAAAAACAACATCAATAACAATTCCGCAATTAATGTCAAGGAACACCAACGTTCCCACGACAACTATGACGCCGATGGAGCTATGCGAGTATGATTATTCTTTTAAACTTCAGTATATATGAAACATGTCATGGTATCCAAATTATGCTGATCGATGCTCATAATGTCAATCACTGGATTGTCTGGTCCAGACTTATAACGAACTACGGTTATTACGAACTAAAATTAGTGGTCCCTTTGAGTTCGTTATAACCGCAGTTTATTGTATATTGAATAAAATGAAAATAAAAAGAAGCTATTCCTGCACGGAGGAAACACTTATCGATGTCCAATCATATAACAAATCATGCATTATTCTCAGTTATCAAGACATAAGCTGCCATCAAATATCATAACACACCAGGAACAAATAAATCTTAAAGAATCAGATTCATATGTGCACATAATAGATTGTCCATTAGATTACGTCAATTAATAAGAGCTAACTGGTGTTTTGTAAAGAGTATAAATTGTGAACAAGTGCTATAAAATAACATGAAAACTTTATTTTGTCAACACTTAGGCATCGGAAATGCCCTTGGCAAGACTGTAAACGTTTTCTTGATCATTTTCATCAGACCGATCATCACCTCCGGGATGTCCATCAAGATTCCCATCGTCTCGAAGAAGACACTTTGTGTTGTAGTAGTCGGCCTTGTCTCTGTCTTCCTCATCGACCTTAGTGGCGTGGTCGAAGGTGTCATCAGAACATCTTTCCGGTTGCCGTTTACTTGCAACATCATAAGCATCCTCTTCACATTCAGTGTTTGTCCTCTGAATGTGACTGTAAGTATCATCCACTTTGCTGGGATTCTTACCCTGCTGTGTAGTGTCACAATCCCCCTCGTCCGCTGCCACGTGGTCGTACACCCCCGCGTCGGCATCAACTGTTCTGGGAGAGTCGTGCTGACCGAGCACATTGTACTGACCCTCCTCTAAGTTCTGACTACTCGCTGCATCAGACAGTCGTGTATCTGCGGTCGTGTTTTTCAGCCCAGTGGTCTCTTCTCCTGCCTGTGGAACACAGTTTGCAGTGTCGTAGTCTCCTTTGGACTCGTTACCTCTGTCAGGTCCCGAAAGGTGATTGTAGGGATTCCCGTGTGGCATAGCCTTCTTGGAGTTGTCGGATTCTGACAACACGTTGTACTCATCCTCATCATTAATCTGAGAGGTGTTGATGTAGATGTTGTCATTGTGAGCATTGGGTCGGACTATCGCCGTTTGAACCGTGGATGACGTGGATGTTCTATCTATGTCAGGAGGTGTTATGACTGAATATGCTCCATTTGCTGTTTGTGCCTGAACGGCTAATCCATAAGTGGTGTTTTCTGTGACTGAAGTGAAGTGTATTGGTTGATTCCCACTTTTTGTCTTAAAGCACAGTTTCTTTTGCCTGAAACACCGAAGCATCAATATGAAGTTCAATCTATCAGAACAGCAATATGTTCTGGGTGGTTAATTTTAGTTTCCTTGAACAACAATGGTGTTGCTATGAAGTCCATTTCTTATTTCAGTTTCGAGACACCAAACATACCATGCAAGTATAGAGGAATAATTTTGGATTCCCTTTAGTATATAGTACTATTTCATAGAATAAACCCTTCAGTCTTTTTCGTCCTTGATATTTTACAGATGAGGTATGTTTTCATGAAGCACGCCTCTCGTCTTACCTTCTCAACACGACGACTACAATGAGGATTGCCAGCACAAGCAGCCCACATCCTATACCTAGTCCTATGAAGCCACCTTCAGGAAGATAAATACTACATATGTACTCTGAATACATATTATATTGACATCAAATCAAAGATACATTTGGTATGTCATCATGGAGATGATTACATTAAAAAGGGTTAATAGAACATCAGAAATGGTAAACATTTTTAACCTTTAAGATAAAGAACACAACACTGGCAAGTTCTAAGATGTTAATGAACGTTAATAATATGTTCAAAAACAACTTCTAGAGCTGCAATAATTCCCTTTTGGGGCTTTAAATATCTTGTTATATCTATCCAATACAAGACCCTATTAAAATTGTGGTCTACGTAAACAGTACAACTTTCTCGACACTTGACGCTGAGTAAGAGGGATGGGTTGAAATCTGCACTTTTTAAAAGATCTCCTTCTGTGCATGCACACGTGATGCCATGTTAGCACGATAATGGTGCTGGAAAATCATTATCCCTGTAATCACTGTACAGCAATTTGAGGTGCCTTAGACGACTCGGTCACACATACACCTTACTTGTCGTTGATTGTTTTGAAGTTTCGCGAGCTTTCTAGATCATAAGTATTCTCCACACATTATTTCGAAAGTACTTGTAGGCCTGAAAGTGAACATTTCGTTTGTCTTATACTATTGTATATATCATATGATGAAACATATTTATGATTATATATTAGAGCGTTTGATACACACCTGCCTGGGGATTGCTCGAAGAGTTCATAGCATCTTTCCGTCCTGCAAGTGGTGTGGTAACTTCGGTAGAGTGGACGCCATCGGTTGTACCAACTCCTCCTTGTGGCTGTGATTTTGTTTCTGATGATGAGGGATGTGTTAAGATTGTTGGAGTCATTGTGGGTGATTTGGTTGCTGATGATGAGGGATGTGTTAACATTTTGTTGGAGTCATTGTGGGTGATTTGGTTACTGATGATGAGGGTTGTGGTAATGATGTTGGTGGCATTGTAGTTGACGCTGTAGATATTTTTACTGGAATGATCACAATGAACGATTAATAGATAACGAATCAAAGTTTAATTTCAAATGAGGGAGGGTGTTGGTGTCAAGGCTGCTTTTAGCATTATTACAGATATATTACAGCGAGAGAGAGAGACCACATTTGAGCGTCATATATTCATTTGTATCCCTTTGGGGAATCGAAGCTTGGCATTCGGTGTTGCGAACCAACCACTAGGACACCCCTTCGGCGTCTTGTTTAAAAAATCATAAAAATAATCATTATTGAAAGTTGACAGTCAGTTATGATAAAACTAAAGGCAGATATTGCACATGATAGTGAGAATAAATACACCTTCTCAAAGCATTAAGGTTGTGTGATAATGAGGCATTATTATAGCTGTGGATATATTAATTATCTGAGACTACAGCCTGTTTCTAATTCATAATTACAGTTTCATGGTCACTTAACTTCAAAGTTTAAAAACAACAACCAAACTATACATCAGTTTGTTGATGATGAGTTTTAAAATGACAAGCACGCTTTCACAAAAGTACTAAGCATCTATGATCTGTGTCACTACCGTTTTCCTCCCACTTTACATGTAACATTCATTAAAAGGTGTTATGCTTAATGACCTTGACTCTACCAAAATTCATCCAGCTACAGCATACACTTATTTGGTGATTGTGACTATAATTTAGGAGTGAATTAGACCTTCAATATACAACACAAGTATTTCAAGGTTATGTTCAAAGGCTATACAGCATATAAACAAACTATGATATCCTGTGCTGGTACTTCCAAACACTAGATTTTGAGTAATCCACCGAGAATGCCAAAATGTTTGCATATCTTCAAAAACAAATCCTACTGTCTGCTTTCAGAGCCATGATTGCAGAATGACAAGAAGAGAAGTGATCTAAGACCCGTACCATCTTCACATATGAACCTCCTTTGTTCTGAGCATGGCCTCCAGTATAAACGCTTTCCTCCATTCTTCTGCTTGTATACACCCAGGCACATTGTGTCTGAAGACGCACTACCGCGATACTCATCGTACTCCAAAGCGTCCTCTCCTAAATAGAATATTGAATAGGATATAGGCACATGTAGTAGCACAACCTTTCAGGAAGATACAATCCCATACATTTTACTTCATGTAGTGTCGCTGACGAAAGTGTATCGCATAGATTTAATTAAAGCTGTAAGACACCAAACTTAATGGCAAATGTAGGAACACCTTAAGTGTATCAGATATATCTCCACTCCACCGAGACAAGTTGCTTTTTTGTAAAAGGACATGAAGACAAAAAACCTTTTGCTGGGAGTAACAAATTTTTAACGAATGCACTTGTTTTGGGGGACAGGCTGTCACACCTTGTAATGTAATTATACACATTCAATACACACACTCTCAGTTTATACTCTGGATATCGTATAATAATAGATTGCTAATGGTAAAAACGAAAGTTTCAATCAATTCTCTTGAGCATCCTCTTTTGATAAAACGTTTTTATTCTTTGAGAAGGGGTAGATGTTTACATATCAGAGAGACAAGGAAAAGAAGCAAAAGTCATACGAATATTCAAATTCAATTGATAAGGACAACTTCATTTTCATTTGTGTTGTGATAACTCTATTACCAATAAAGGTGAAATAAATTAATGCAATCTTATATTTAAGTAGCAGTTTTACTATTGTCAATGTTGATGCAATGAGCTTGGACATGTGAACAATATGCAACAATTTTCAATAACCACTGCTACAAATCTTCTTGAAATGATCTTGATTTTCATACAAATCAGTCAAAACAATTTCGGATTAAAAAACGGACCAAATGGAACTTAGTATCTATTGCGAGTAGTTTGGTTTTCGCAAGTGAGTCGCTGTGGTACATGATAAAGACAAATAACTGTCAGAAATGCATAATGCAAGAGGAGATTCAGGACATATTTCAAATACAGAGCAAAGATATGTACTTTCGTGGTAAGGGATATTGACCCATTTGAAATGTCAAATTATAAAATTATGGAAGATTTTAAAATATTATTAAAGGTATCGGGCGTGATCAGGTGTGACATCTATCCGGTTCATGGTACTACCAAGTTCAGAAGTATGATCAAGGACGTAAGCAAAAATGATTGTTTCACTATATGGTCGTACTGTCTTTATCCATGTATCCTGAGAAAAACAGCTTCGATCAAACTGAATAAAAAAAATTAAAAAGACCGAAAGCCTCCAAGATTTGCCATATTGCTTCAGAGAGTTAAGTCAGGGGGCACAGGACCCGAGTCGTCTAAGGCCCGCTTTTCACTGTTGCGTCGTTTGGGCACAGAAACCTATGATCATGGGTTCGATTCCTAGTTCGCCCCGATTATGTCTCTAGGTTTGTTATCACCACATCCGTGCTCGTTGGTTTCACCAAAGGGGTAAATGTCTGGGACCTGCATTACTTCCGGCTTTCCTTTCACATTAAGCTGACACACCATGATATAACTGAAATACTGTTAAAAGCGGCTTTAAACCCCAATCAATGACTTTAAAGTAAAAAATACCAGCTTCGCTCATTTATGAAATTGTGAAGATCTTACAGTCCAAATAGGGCTCCTACTAGACTCCGTCCTTTGAACATTCTAGATGCCAATATGCAACACTAGACCCTGGGACAATATCTATTCAAAGTGACACGAATGAATTCTGAGTTCTGATCCAGAAAGGAAATGAACCAACAATGCCGTTGGCCTCGTATTCGAAATGATCTGAAAGAAACACCACGTTCAATTAACACCTTAATGGTTCGCATGTAAACATATTATTTGCGCTGTGCTGTAAACTGGTTTAAATCAATCGTGAAATAACCCCTACTTTATGTGAATAGCTGGTGTATGACACTTACCGTTTATCCATTGCCTGTGTGTATATTTGTATAAGCCAATCCAGTATCTTGTTATCGTACTCGTGAGGCTAAGGAGACCGTTCTGAACAGCTGTATTAAGTTTAACCAAGTGGCATGTCCTGGCGGCATCATTCCAGGACTTTCTCCAGCAATGTATATTGACGTGTGTACTTGGATCTATAAAATAAAAGGACAACAGTTGAATGTTTGATTAGAAATGCTGGTGCAAGTTTGTTGCATGTATGGTTGTTTACAACTTTCTCTATGGTGGCCGAGAGGGGACATCGCTGTCTCGCCTTCATTTATGACCGAGAGAAAGCGATGAAACGATAACACGAGACGAAAAGTGATAACACGAGCCGAGAAAGCGATATGTGGGTCGCTTTCTCGTCTCGAGCTATCGCTTTATCGCGGTAAAGCAATATCCCCTCTTAATCACTATAGGGATCGCATGTGTTATGGGTCTCTATATCATAAAAAGTATATACCTAAAACAGCAGTAATTTATCGTTAAACCACACCTCAGTATCATTAAGGGGCTGACCATTTAATACACGGATATAAGGGTTGTGGGGATGGGGGTCGCCATGATGTTGTTTTCTTTGTTTTGGGGGCTGGGAGTATGGGGGTAGTTTAATTCATTAAAGAGAGCTGCGATTTTTTCCAGTCACATTTCAAATTATGCCAATCGAGGGAATGTTAAAAAACTGTATAGACGTAGGTGATTTTAAAACAATCCAGGGATTTCTGAGTAAAATGTTATTGATTGATTCATAGCCCTATTTATGAGTTGTGTGCGCCGTCAGCGCGTGGCGGGTCATGACAATACTCTCTAGTTAAATCAGGTTAAAATCTAAATCTATACTATTCAAAAGAAGTTGAAGAACACCCGATCACCCGATATGACTGGTTAATCAGCCATGGCTGATTGTATTCCAAAACACAGCCTTATAATTGTTTGTGTTCTTTAACTTGTTTTGAGTAGTATAAAATGTTACAGTGTGAATGCCATAATACTGTTGTCCGTAAATATTCTTTTTGACATCACGACTGGGAACACTAGAAATGGGCTTAAAACTAGTAATTCCCATAACAGGTGCAATTAAGTTTCCCCAAAAATGCAAATTATCCGCCGATACAGTAAAAGTAACAGACTTTTCTGTTGTAGTGTATGTGATTGTTGCTAATGGACTACAATACAGGAAAGTAAACACATGCGTGTATCCAAGCAAACCGAGAAAGAATTCTGTATCTATATCTAACAAACGTATCTACTACAAAAGGTTAAAAAGGTATTATTTCTCTGCTGAAACATTGGCCTTCATGATTTGCCATGGGATGAACAATAAGCATGTATAGCTGAAGAATAGCATTTCGTTTTAATCAATATTACTGAGTAACAGACACTTGAAGAAATTGTAACAAGCAACAAAGCCATTTCCATATCATAAGAAATCTCCTTATAGGATTCCGACAATAGCATTAACATGCATTTTGTAATCACCATCAGAACGCGAAAAGCGTATCCTGCACCACCGATGACACCCCATCACAAGGACATGCAAAGGTCAGACAAGTGTTCAACTGAAGAAACACTGGGACGACACAGTGTACAAGTTAAAATAGGAAATTGCATCGGACAGCATTCTAGACACTGATGCATCAAATTGGAAATTTCTTCCACCTTACTATGACATTGATTGGGGTAGCTCTGATCAAACAACAAGAGTCGTGTAGCGCTTTTAGAAATTTTGGTAGAAAGAGCATGCTCGTTTGTACCTCAAAAGACACCAAAGGCTGGAACTGCTGAAATATTGCTCGACAAAGAGCGAACGTGTTGACTATTGGAAAGCTGAAGTCTTCCCTCTTGTCATGCGTCTTAAGTCCATAGATGGCTATCTAAATATGAGTGAGTGAGTATGTTTTTTATATCTGTACCCATGTGAACTCTCAGTAAATTGCTTTCACTTTTGACAAATTCCTCTAAACGTTTGATGATACTGATGGAACTATATATGTGGTCGCCACAATTAGTGACAAATGCCCCACGGGTCGAGGAATGAAGTTTGTTGTTTGGGATAGCGGGGGACACAGTTTAGAAAATCAAATGCTTGACTAATTTAAACTTCTTTCTTTTCTGAGATTACAAAAAATCAGGCAAATCCTTTAAGTTTTTGAGAATTCACATGGTATTAAATCTATTTAGCACCATAATTTTCTGTGAGCATAACGAAAGTCCTTCCTTGATTGTTTAGAGATTATGCTTAATCATTCAGACAGGAATTTGGTGGTACATTTGCTGTAGTGAGTGAGTGAGTATGGTTTTACGCCGCTTTTAGCAATATTCCAGCAATATCACGGCGGGGGACACCAGAAATGGGCTTCATACATTGTATCCATGTCGGGAATCGAACCCGGGTCTTCGGCGTGACGAGCGAACGCTTTAACCACTAGGCTAACCGACCGCCCCACACTTGCTGTACCTTGCAATATATCTATCTTCGTATGGATTTTTTATGGAGTGTTGGAATCTAGTACAAAAGAGGAATGGACATGCCTTCAGGTATTTGAGCCAAGTCACGGTTTAGAGTCCCTGGTGACAACATGGTAGTGGTGATTCAGGCAATGGTCTTGAGGAATAGGTTGCTATGACAATGTGACCCGCAAATGTAACATCCTCTCAACAAACGCTGCTATGAAATACTCTACAATATATTCGTGAACATATTGAGATGGCTAATATATTTTCTTCGTGTGAATGGTGGATATATTTTATATGTCATTATGAGGTCATTTTATTTGTTATCATCCAGAAAATGGTCTAACATACATAACATTAAGGTTGTGACACATAAAATGACAAGTATCAATGAGGACTAATCTTCTTGTGTATGAAACGTAATGAAAACATACCGCTAACAATGCAGGCTTGACATCTGCCTTTGTTTTCGCATGTGCTGCTGTGTATGGAGTGGTCCCCACCCCGACGTATTGCATAAGCACAGTACTTGTCTGGCTCTTGATCAAAGGTAGTGTTTTCTACAAACATAAAGACAAATTATCAATCCAACATAAAGTTTAGTTATTTAGTCCGCTCTCTCACTTTGAATGAAGGCTGGCATGCTGATGGTAATGACACACTTTGAAAGAAGGACGTTTTCGACACTGATCAAAATATAGTATGCAGTCTGTCACCACTGACCTTTTTGACAATATGGAACTGAAGTGTGGTAGGAATGAATATAAAAAGATTCCCAAACAGTCCTGTGCCTCGTGCCACAAAGTGATCTCAACGCTACGACGACCGCGTGTCTTTGTTAAGTGTGGGTGGTAGGGTGATTTAGTGACCTAGAGATCCAATTTACAAATGGTTTTAGCTAAAGAAAACCGCCACAAAACAAGATACACCCTCGATAGAAAAAGGATGTGGATGTAGATTCCATGGTGATCAGAAACGACAGGATGTATACAATTAGTGTCTAATGTAATTAATGGCTCTAAGACCTAGTAACGAACCAGAAAACGTTGTCTGTATCAGGAGTCTAGGAACCGATCAGAGTTACGTTTAAACTAATCAGCATCATATCATTATTTCAACAATTACATGGATATGATATCACTGCAGTTCATACCTAGCCTATATACTGACATCCCTTGGACGTTGCCACACTTTTCGTCCAAGTTTCCTGGACACGTGCTCTCAGGTGCCATCGAAGTTGTAGTGCTGTATCCTACTTTTAGACAGTAGCACGTGGTTTCCTGTAAATGCGCACAAAAGTAGATATGATATCATAATGATTCGGTCTTGCCATGGGTATTTACGCTACATTTGCATGACATCGCAATGGAGCTCAAAACAAAACTGTATGGTGAACGTACTGCGCTCGTATAAGCAAAGGGAAGATAAGTAACGGTTTATTTCACCTCGTCTCGAAACATAATACATTAAACAATGAAAACATAAACACATTGTTTTAAATATCTATATTTTCATCGGGTATCTCAGGCCTCTGATAAATGATACAACCTTGGATAGGATTGGGCTTCAGTGATCCTTGAGGCCTAAAAACTTGTTTTATCATCATTGTACGTTTATGAGTGAGTGAGTTGAGTTTATTGCCGCTTTGAAGAGTATGCCAGTTATATCACGGCGTTCTTTTTTGGAATATGGTGGTTTATGTATTAAATGAGAGTGTTCAAGCTATATAAAGGCGATCTGAAAATAATCGAGTCTGGACCAGACAATCCAGTGATTGATATCATGAGCCTCGATCCACGCAATTGGAATACGATGACATCTATCAACCTAGCTAGCGAGCATCCGATCCCATTAGTCGTCTCTTGCTATAAGCATGGATTGCTGAAGACCTATTCTAACCCGGATCATCACGGGTCTAGATGAGAGTGATGTCATATCACAGTGCTTAATGTGTGAGATAAATCTAAACAGATGACGGCTTTAGAAGTGTACTTCTTCATCTCAGACGGATACAGTGCTGACAGTGCTGATCATAACCAGGGCGAATGTCGGATTCCAATTCTGCAAGCATGCGCGACGTATCTCTGCAGAGAGAGTCCCGTCGTCTTAGACGACAGGGCTACCACTCACACTGCACTTGAATTAATTAAAACATATTCCGAACAGTAGTATATACAATGTCACTTCAACTGCCATACTGCATGTTGCATATATTTCAAATGATGAACTTGACGAACCAACCTTCATGCCTACTGAATCTGCTTGGCTGCAGTGACGATGGCACTTCCATACCGAGTTATCAAGGAATTCTACCATTGATTCTGCTGTCACACTCTCCAGGGGAAGGAAGCCAGCATAGGTGTACAGGGGACTGAAATCTTCTGTATGTGAACAATTGAAGGTAATGAACGTGTAAGAAAGCTTTACTGTTCCTACTTCAGGTGTACTGCTATGACAAATGATGTACTTCTAATAAGGACATTACATCATGTATGCTTGTGAAACGGTTATGTTACAAGAAATGAATTGACCAAGTATGTGATTGTCCTTAACCAATCAAAATTAAACGTTTTTGTAATAGTGTAAGGTGTGGCCAGTAGGCCGATATTTTCAATTGCCCTTATTGTACCTGTCCAAAGCCAGGCTAAGTAATCCATGGCACCTATCCAGTAGTAGGTGCCGAGCTGTAGACGGTTCAGAAGGTCTAGTGGAATGTCCTCTGAGCCTGGTGTGTACAACCTGCCTTTCACATTGCATCGGCTTTGTGCCTCCCACCAGGTGCTTGGTTCATCCATAAGGCGTATTCGAGAAGATTCTACAAATTGATTTTCAGAAAGTGAATTGTTTGATAGGCATTAGTAAGAAGTTGACGGATGACAAAGTAGACACAATTTATGGATAACAACGTATTTAATTCCTGTAAAGGCGACGTTTCGGTATAGATCCTCCCTTCACGTCTTGCTTGACAACGGTATAAGAATCTATACCGAAACGTCGGCTTTACAGTAAATAAGAAAGTTGTTATCCATAAATTATCTCTACTTTGTCATCTGTCAACTTCTAAGTAATGCCTATCAAACAATTTAAATCAAAGGACCCAAAACATAATAACTTTCGTTTGACGTTTCATATTATAGAATTCCTATACAATCGTGTTTGGCAGTAATTAAGGAAGTTGTTATCCATAAATTGTGTCTACTTTGTTTCAGAAAGTTATTAAGTATAGCAGCATAATTCGGATATCAATTTTAACGGGCATTCCTTTCTCTTGTATGTCTCTTCCAAATATGTTTAGATTTCGTCAATTATGTCTCATTTATGAAAAGTGAAATTAAGATAAAAGAGTTTGTACATCTTCATCCATTTTTCAAACCATTAGTTTCTACCGTGCATTGTGACAACACACGCATGACGTCACGAAAACATCAAGTGCCCTCAGTACGTGTTCACATAACTATAACATGTGATAGCTTTACACAAGTATACGTAGAGATGCACGTGTACCTGGTTGCCGCTGAAGACTAACGGCTGTATGATTATATAAGAAGCACAGGGTTAGTAAAACACGCGTGACACATAAACGCAATATAGCGACAAGAGCGAATATATGTCCTATATATCATATTCACTTTTCAGGAGTATTTGTCACTTATATCCTCGCACCCAAACCAAAGACGTTACGATTAATCTGTTAATACCTACTAAAGGCTGCCATCATAGCTTTATATAGAACACAAATTCGAACGCCATCACAATCAAGAGTCCATCATTATACCCTGAAATCTGCACGATTTGTCTCTAAAATAGTTACCGATTGATCTCGCGAAACATCAAGTATAAACATAGTTACTGTGGACGTTAATGTTTGAAGCAGCAGGCAAGACATAGTACCTTTATACAGGTAAGCCCGTGTATGAAGATATAATATCATACCAAGTTTTATACATAGGGGACAGTTTGTCAGGATCTTAATGCAATGAGAACTTACGTATTCAAATTAAGCATATCAACAATCAGAGTGGACGTGACTCTGCGAATATTATGTTCAGACTAGGGAGACAAATCATGCATATCTATCTTCAGTAGTGTAGTATAAATTTCAAAGTGTTGTCATTTTGGTATCGATGCATACAGCATGCATAATTACAACTTGCAGCATTCGCTTGGTGGGGTGGTATAAACCAAGAAAATATCATCTTATAGTGATTACAATAATTGTCAAAACTTTCATTGTTAACTTCATTGAAAATAAATCAAGGGTCAACACGACCAGGCTAACTCCTTTACGTGTTATACGTTCTGCTTACACCGAGGGGGAACGAGCAATCGTTGATCACCCAAAATACATGTAGTTCTAAATGTTCATCTGGGCATAACAGAAGCAGTGTTAGATTATCTAGGTAAAGAGAACTTACGTATTCCCAGGCATATGACAGCTCCCCAACAGACGAACAGCCATGTCAACAACATATCCGACACCCACTGCGTACATGGAGCAACTGCATACAGTTGTCTGTCGCCTACAAGGAAGTATGATTCACTCACAACTATCGTTGTCAACAAAGCCAGTCAAAATAAAACAAAACAGATTGTGTTTATGACTGCATGTCACGCATGATTCAGCGGAATTCTGAACACAGGCAACCAAATACTGCACACAGGCAACTAAATACTCCACACAGGCAACCAAATCCCACAGACTGGCAACCAAATAATCCACACCGGCAGCCATATAATCCACACAGGCATCCAAATACTGCACACAGTCAACCAAATACTGCACACAGGTATCCAAATACTGCACACAGGCAACCAAATACTCCACACAGGCAACCAGATACTGCACACAGGCATCCAAATACTGCACACAGTCAACCAAATACTGCACACAGGCATCAAAATACTGCACACAGTCAACCAAATACTCCACACAGGTAACCAAATACTGCACACAGGCATCCAAATACTGCAAACAGTCAACCAAATACTGCACACAGGCATCCAAATACTGCACACATGCAACCAAATAATGCACACAGGCAACCAAATAATGCACACAGGCAACCAAATACTCCACACAGGTAACCAAATACTGCACAAAGGTATCCAAATACTCCACACAGGCAACCAAATACTCAACACAGGCAACCAAATACTGCACACAGGCATTCAAATACTCCACATAGGCAACTAAATACTGCACATAGGCAACCAAATATTCCGTAGAGGCAACCAAATACTGCACAAAGATATCGAAATACTGCACAAAGGCATCCACAAACCCCACACAGGCAACCAAATACTCCACACAGGTAACCAAATACTGCACACATGCATTCAAATACTGCACACAGGCAACCAAGTACTCCACACAGGCATCCAAATACTGCACACAGGCAACCAAATAATGCACACAGGCAACCAAATACTCCACACAGGCATCCAAATACTGCACACATGCAACCAAATACTCCACACAGGTAACCAAATAATGCACACAGGCATCCAAATACTGAACACAGGCAACCAAATACTGCACACAGGCATCCAAATACTGCACACATGCAACCAAATACTGCACACAGGCAACCAAATAATGCACACATGCAACCAAATACTCCACACAGGTAACCAAATACTGCACAAAGGTATCCAAATACTCCACACAGGCAACCAAATACTCAACACAGGCAACCAAATACTGCACACAGGCATTCAAATACTCCGGATAGGCAACCAAATACTCCACACAGGCAACCAAATATTCCGTAGAGGCAACCAAATACTGCACAAAGATATCGAAACACTGCACAAAGGCATCCACAAACCCCACACAGGCAACCAAATACTCCACACAGGTAACCAAATACTGCACACATGCATTCAAATACTGCACACATGCAACCAAGTACTCCACACAGGCATCCAAATACTGCACACAGGCAACAAAATAATGCACACAGGCAACCAAATACTCCACACAGGTATCCAAATACTGCACACAGGTATCCAAATACTGCACACAGGCATCCAAATACTCCACACAGGCAACCAAATACTGCACACAGGCAACCAAATACTGCACACAGGGATTCAAATACTGCACACAGTCAACCAAATGCTGCACACAAGCATCCAAATACTGCACACAGTCAACCAAATACTCCACACAGGCAACCAAATACTGCAGACATGCATCAAAATACTGAACACATGCAACCAAATACTGCACACAGGCAACCAAATAATGCACACAGGCAACCAAATACTCCACACAGGTATCCAAATACTGCACACAGGTATCCAAATACTGCACACAGGCAACCAAATACTACACACAGGCATCCAAATACTGCACACATGCAACCAAATACTGCACACATGCAACCAAATAATGCACACAGGCAACCAAATACTCCACACAGGTATCCAAATACTGCACAAAGGTATCCAAATACTCCACAGAGGCATCCAACTACTCCACACAGGCATCGAAATACTCAACACAGGTAACCAAATACTGCACACAGGCATCCAAATACTGCACACAGGCAACCAAATAATGCACACAGGCAACCAAATACTCCACACAGGTATCCAAATACTCCACAAAGGGATCCAACTACTCCACACAGGCAACCAAATACTCAACACAGGCAACCAAATACTGCACACAGGCATTCAAATACTCAAAACAGGCAACCAAATACTCCACACAGGCAACCAAATACTCCGTAGAGGCAACCAAATACTGCACAAAGATATCGAAATACTGCACAAAGGCATCCACAAACCCCACACAGGCAACCAAATACTCCACACAGGTAACCAAATACTGCACACATGCATTCAAATACTGCACACAGGCAACCAAGTACTCCACACAGGCATCCAAATACTGCACACAGGCAACCAAATAATGCACACAGGCATCCAAATACTCCACACAGGTATCCAAATACTGCACAAAGGTATCCAAATACTGCACACATGCATCCAAATACTGCACACAGGCATCCAAATACTGCACACATGCAACCAAATACTCAAAACAGGCAACCAAATACTACCCACGGGTAACCAAGTACTCAACACAGGCAACCAAATACTCAACACAGGCAACCAAATACTACCCACGGGTAACCAGATACTCAACACAGGCAACCAAATATTCAACACAGGCAATCAAATACTACCCACGGGTAACCAAGTACTCAACACAGGCAACCAAATACTCAACACAGGCAACCAAATACTACCCACGGGTAACCAAGTACTCAACACAGGCAACCAAATACTCAACACAGGCAACCAAATACTCAACACAGGCAACCAAATACTCAACTCGGACAATATGTCAGTATAATGTCCTCAGATTGATGCACTTCGTCGTCGCTTCATTATCTCATCCTACGATGCGATGAGTGCTGTAATGGACGATGTTGCCATCCGATGCAGGGTATGGCGATGCGATATAAACGTGTTGATGTGTGATTTGTCGATAGAAGTGTTAATCGAGACTATCTTGCCTACTGAAGAAAGTATGTTCAGTTCATGAGTTTTGTTTGTTGTTTCAGATATTTTGCTCTGTCAAATGTCTCAGTTAGGACACACAAGGTTACAGTACTGTCTTGGAAATATATTAAAATGGTTGCAGGAGAAAATAACCATCAAATTCGTATTTACCCAGATCTCTTCCAGGTTAACTATCTAAACTCCTAAATTACGATACTCCTCGCTAGGCCTTCCTTAAGCAATCTTGAAAGACAATAGCATGTCTACGCTATGTCTGTAAGATGTAATGTGGATGAAACTATTTGGGTGATGTGGCCATTTCTGTTTGTGGTACATAATATTTATAACGTCATTATTGAAGCTAATATAGCCATTGGTAGCTATCGGTATATAAAGATATATCAAAGTGCTGTATGTTGAAATAGGAGACCGATCTGGGTAATGCAGACAACTGTTGATTACACAACAGCGAGGCCTTATCCTACCCCGACCCCCCACCCCCAGCCCCAGCCCCACCCCCCACTTGTTGATGATAAAGATAGTATCATACAAACTTTTATCTGAATTGTTTACATTTACTTAGCATGTTCTTAACACAACCGAAAACTAATTCATATAAATGTAATCACGTTGTTGGTATAATAATTTACCTGATAATGTAGTTTATACTTCTTCATTGGCAATATGGGGCTTATATCCAAGTGGTTTAAGCGTTCGCTCGTCACCCTGACGGCTCGTGTTCGATTCCCCACATGGGTAAAATGTGTGAAGCCCATTTCTGGTTCCCATGCTCATTATTCAGCCTTGCTTGACAACAGTGTAACAATCTCTACCGAAACGTCGCCTTTACAGTAAATAAGAAAGTTGTTATCCATAAATTATCTCTACTTTGTCATCCGTCAACTTCTAAGTAATGCCTATCAAACAATTCAAATCAAAGAACCCAAAACATATAACTTTCGTTTTCAATTTATACATTGTAGAATTCCTATGCAATCGTGTTTGGCAGGGTGACCAATGTGGGATTATTTGTATTAAGTTCCAAAAATGTTTATCACAGGGGCTCAGGTTATCCCGTTTTCCGTACAATGAGCCGACTGCTGTTCATGGGAATACCATAAACGGCTAACGACTCACACAGGAAAAGTGTATGGTTGAACATGGCAGTGAAAGCATCACAATGTAAATTTGTGCTGATGTAGACAGCTCGTTCCCGCATGCATGTAACAAGGAAGACATTATACATATGTGTGTTTGTGTCTACCTGCCTGTGTTTGTTTATGTCTATGTCCCGAATGTCTGTGTCTCTGTCTGTGCCTGGGTGGCTGTGTCTGTGCCTGAGTGACTGTGTCTGTGCCTGAGTGACTGTGTCTATGTCAGAGTGACTGTGTCTGTGCCTGAGTGACTGTGTCTGTCTGTGCCTGAATGAGTGTGTCGGTGTCTGTACCTGAGTGGCTGTGGCTGTGTCTGTGGCTGTGCCTGAGTTGTTGTGTCTGTGTCTCTCTCTGTGCGTGAGTGACTGTGTCTGTGGTTGTGTCTGTGCCTTTGCCTGTGCCTGTGTCTGAGTTGTTGTGGCTGTGTCTATGTCTGTGCCTGAGTAGCTGTGTCTGTGCCTGAGTGACTGTGTCTGTCTGTGCCTGAATGGGTGTGTCGGTGTCTGTACCTGAGTGGCTGTGGCTGTGGCTGTGGCTGTGCCTGAGTTGTTGTGTCTGTGTCTCTGTCTGTGCCTGAGTGACTGTGTCTGTGGTTGTGTCTGTGCCTTTGTCTGTGGCTGTGCCTGAGTTGTTGTGTCTGTGTCTCTCTCTGTGCCTGAGTGACTGTGTCTGTGGTTGTGCCTGTGCCTTTGCCTGTGCCTGTGTCTGAGTTGTTGTGGCTGTGTCTATGTCTGTGCCTGAGTGGCTGTATCTGTACTTCAGTATGTAGTCGTTCAGTCGGGTGATGATATTCATGTAGGGCTCGGTGTAAAATTCAGCAAAGTTAGTTTGTCCACTTGTGACTCAACCAGGAACAGATATGAGAATAGTTGCAAACAAGAAGCACAGTAAATACAACTCTATATGGGAAACTTATCTCTTCAATGACGCACATGACCCTTTGTTACGCCGCAGTCAGCGATAACCTCGCTATATCACAGCTACCTGTAAATAATAGAGTCTGGATCAGACAAACCGGTGTTAAATATTATGAGCAACGTTAAACGCCGTCCAGTACGATGACACACAATCTCCCAGGCAACCAAATCTAACTAACCAATCATTTGAGCCGTCTCTTACAGCAAACATAACTATCATGGGCCAGTTGCACCCCGGATGTCACACGGGGTTATGTTTAGTCACGATCAGTGTTATCTGAATGCCTTGTATCAGTACAAAGAGAAAGAATTGATTGTTTAGTGGACCGACTGCAATTCGGCAAAATGTATCTGAGGATGGTTAAGACGTCGCAATAGCTTTACAGAGTTGCATCCTTTTACCGTGCCAGGATCCGCTGGTCGGTGATCAGATTCGCTCAAATTATGACCCATGTACTGCATCACTGTGGGTTTGGGCACGGTTAGCCCAACGTCTAAGGTGTTTTGGTGTGGATAAGTGTTTCTCTAAGTAGTTGGAATCTGCCTTCCCTGGATCAAATCCCAGATACGCATCGATTGTATTCCATGGTTTTTCAGCACCTGGGTTTCACTGGAGTGGTAATATTCTACGATCTGCATCACAGCCATGTCGTTATATAACTGAAAAACTGTTCAAAGCGGCGTTAAATAAAGATCACTGAGTATCGTTCATGCCAAGTCTCGTCATAGTCACACACTTCTCTGTACGAGCACAGAATTCAACTGTAGTTAAGAATTCGAAAATGTTATTTGTGTGGCAAATCGTCTTGATATTGTTTAGTAATTTGCGAATATAATTTAATCAGTAACATGTTCCTTTAATTCAACTATTCAGCTTGTCAAACGCAGCAGAAGTATATTTGTAGCGTGCGTGATGTCTCAACGGCAAGTGAAGGTAATGCAAGATTGTAGTGCGCTTCCATCACCATCTTCGTGGTCTGTCTTCGTAGAACGCATCTTATACGAAGCAGTTTCATCAAAATTGCAATATTCACTCACTCATTCACTCATTCATTACTTCTTAAGATGATCCGTTTCCTTTTTTTTCATAATCCTAAACGCTGACACGCTCCTGTTTACAACTGGTGACTACTATACAAGTCTACATTATATCCTGTTCAAGGGTGTATCTTGTGTATATCAAAAAGATGGGTCGATACCTGATTAAAAGCAACTGTTTCCAGACATGTTGGTTTCAGTTCATTCCTGAGTTCGATGCTGAATTATTGTTCCCAGTTTGCCATGATGACAGTACTGCTGCAAGCGCCGCAAACTAAAACTCACTCACTCACTCACTCCACGATAAACGTTAGGAAGCCGATGAAGGGCATTCGACATCCCTGTGGGGATCTAATCCTTGCCATATTTTTGTGATGGGAGAACGTACTAACCATTGTGCTATCACATGTGAGTAGAGATCTTTGAACAATTAAGTCTAGTGTCATTGTTCTTAAAAACATCAATAACAATTTCGCAATATTGACTATTTATTGAATATCATGGTATGTACAAACGTTAGAAAGGAGATAAAGGACATTAACGTCCGTGTAGGGAATCAAATCCTCGCAGAATTCGTGAAGGGAGAACGTTCTAACCATTGTCCTATCAATTGTGAGAAGTGTTCTTTAAAACATTAAGCCTAGTGTCATTGTACAGAAAAACAACATCAATAACAATTCCGCAATTAATGTCAAGGAACACCAACGTTGCCACGACAACAATGACGCCGATGGAGCTATGCGAGTATGATTATTCTTTTAAACTTCAGTATATATGAAACATGTCATGGTATCCCAATTACGCTGATCGATGCTCATAATGTCAATCACTGGATTGTCTGGTCCAGACTTATAACGAACTACGGTTATTACGAACTAAAATTAGTGGTCCCTTTGAGTTCGTTATAACCGCAGTTTATTGTATATTGAATAAAATGAAAATAAAAAGAAGCTATTCCTGCAAGGAGGAAAATCATATAACACTTATCGATGTCCAATCATATAACAAATCATGCATTATTCTCAGTTATCAAGACATAAGCTGCCATCAAATATCATAACACACCAGGAACAAATAAATCTTAAAGAATCAGATTCATATGTGCACATAATAGATTGTCCATTAGATTACGTCAATCAATAAGAGCTAACTGGTGTTTTGTAAAGAGTATAAATTGTGAACAAGTGCTATAAAATAACATGAAAACTTTATTTTGTCAATACTTAGGCATCGGAAATGCCCTTGGCAAGACTGTAAACGTTTTCTTGATCATTTTCATCAGACCGACCATCACCTCCGGGATGTCCATCAAGATTCCCATCGTCTCGATGAAGACACTTTGTGTTGTAGTAGTCGGCCGTGTCTCTGTCTTCCTCATCGACCTTAGTGGCGTGGTCGTAGGTGTCATAAGAACATCCTTCCGGTTGCCGTTTACTTGCAACATCATAAGCATCCTCTTCACATTCAGTGTTTGTCCTCTGAATGTGACTGTAAGTATCATCCACTTTGCTGGGATTCTTACACTGCTGTGTAGTGTCACAATCCCCCTCGTCCGCTGCCACGTGGTCGTACACCCCCGCGTCGGCATCAACTGTTCTGGGAGAGTCGTGCTGACCGAGCACATTGTACTGACCCTCCTCTAAGTTCTGACTACTCGCTGCATCAGACAGTCGTGTATCTGCGGTCGTGTTTTTCAGCCCAGTGGTCGCCTCTCCTGCCTGTGGAACACAGTTTGCAGTGTCGTAGTCTCCTGTGGACCCGTTACCTCTGTCAGGTCCCGAGAGGTGATTGTAGGGATTCCCGTGTGGCATAACCTTCTTGGAGTTGTCGGATTCTGACAACACGTTGTACTCATCCTCATCATTAATCTGAGAGGTGTTGATGTAGATGTTGTCATTGTGAGCATTGGGTCGGACTATCGCCGTTGGAAACGTGGATGACGTGGATGTTCTATCTATGTCAGGAGGTGTTATGACTGAATATGCTCCATTTGCTGTTTGTGCCTGAACGGCTAATCCATAAGTGGTGTTTTCTGTGACTGAAGTGAAGTGTATTAGTTGATTCCCACTTTTTGTCTTAAAGCACAGTTTCTTTTGCCTGAAACACCGAAGCATCAATATGAAGTTCAATCTATCAGAACAGCAATATGTTCTGGGTGGTTAATTTTAGTTTCCTTGAACAACAATGGTGTTGCTATGAAGTCCATTTCTTATTTCAGTTTCGAGACACCAAACATCCCATGCAAGTATAGAGGAATAATTTTGGATTCCCTTTAGTATATAGTACTATTTCATAGAATAAAGCCTTCAGTCTTTTTCGTCCTTGATATTTTACAGATGAGGTATGTTTTCATGAAGCACGCCTCTCGTCTTACCTTCTCAACACGACGACTACAATGAGGATTGCCAGCACAAGCAGCACACATCCTATACCTAGTCCTATGAAGCCACCTTCAGGAAGATAAATACTACATATGTACTCTGAATACATATTATATTGACATCAAATCAAAGATACATTTGGTATGTCATCATGGAGATGATTACATTAAAAAGGGTTAATATAACATCAGAAATGGACATTTTTAACCTTTAAGATAAAGAACACAACACTGGCAAGTTCTAAGATGTTAATTAACGTTAATAATATGTTCAAAAACAACTTCTAGAGCTGCAATAATTCCCTATTTGGGCTTTAAATATCTTGTTATTTCTATCCAATACAAGACCCTATTAAAATTGTGGTCTACGTAAACAGTACAACTTTCTCGACACTTGACGCTGAGTAAGAGGGATGGGTTGAAATCTGCACTTTTTAAAAGATCTCCTTCTGTGCATGCACACGTGATGCCATGTTAGCACGATAATGGTGCTGGAAAATCATAATCAGGGCGATCAGTACTTGGATTCCGGTACACAAAAGGGATCTAATCCTGTACAGCAATTTGAGGTGCCTTAGACGACTCGGTCACACATACACCTTACTTGTCGTTGATTGTTTTGAAGTTTCGCGAGCTTTCTAGATCATAAGTATTCTCCACACATTATTTCGAAAGTACTTGTAGGCCTGAAAGTGGACATTTCGTTTGTCTTATACTATTGTATATATCATATGATGAAACATATTTATGATTATATATTAGCAGCGTTTGATACACACCTGCCTGGGGATTGCTCGAAGAGTTCATAGCATCTTTCCGTCCTGCAAGTGGTGTGGTAACTTCGGTAGAGTGGACGCCATCGGTTGTACCAACTCCTCCTTGTGGCTGTGATTTTGTTTCTGATGATGAGGGATGTGTTAAGATTGTTGGAGTCATTGTGGGTGATTTGGTTGCTGATGATGAGGGATGTGTTAACATTGTTGGAGTCATTGTGGGTGATTTGGTTACTGATGATGAGGGTTGTGGTAATGATGTTGGTGTCATTGTAGTTGACGCTGTAGATATTTTTACTGGAATGATCACAATGAACGATTAATAGATAACGAATCAAAGTTTAATTTCAAATGAGGGAGGGTGTTGGTGTCAAGGCTGCTTTCAGCATTATTACAGATATATTACAGCGAGAGAGAGACCACATTTGAGCGTCATATATTCATTTGTATCCCTTTCGGGAATCGAAGCTTGGCATTCGGTGTTGCGAACCAACCACTAGGACACCCCTTCGGCGTCTTGTTTAAAAAATCATAAAAATAATCATTATTGAAAGTTGACAGTCAGTTATGATGAAACTAAAGGCAGATATTGCACATGATAGTGAGAAGAAATACACCTTCTCAAAGCATTAAGGTTGTGTGATAATGAGGCATTATTATAGCTTTGGATATATTAATTATCTGAGACTACAGCCTGTTTCTAATTCATAATTACAGTTTCATGGTCACTTAACTTCAAAGTTTAAAAACAACAACCAAATTATACATCAGTTTGTTGATGATGAGTTTTAAAATGACAAGCACGCTTTCACAAAAGTACTAAGCATCTATGATCTGTGTCACTGCCGTTTTCCTCCCACTTTACATGTAACATTCATTAAAAGGTGTTATGCTCAAAGACCTTGACTCTACCAAAATTCATCCAGCTACAGCATACACTTATTTGGTTATCGTGACTATAATTTAGGAGTGAATTAGACCTTCAATATACAACACAAGTATTTCAAGGTTATGTTCAAAGGCTATACAGCATATAAACAAACCATGATATCCTGTGCTGGTACTTCCAAACACTAGATTTTGAGTAATCCACCGAGAATGCCAAAATGTTTGCATATCTTCAAAAACAAATCCTACTGTCTGCTTTCAGAGCCATAATTGCAGAATGACAAGAAGTTAAGTGAACTAAGACCCGTACCATCTTCACATATGAACCTCCTTTGTTCTGAACATGGCCTCCAGTATAAACGCTTTCTTCCATTCCACTGCTTGTATACACTCAGGCACTTTGTGTCTGAAGACGCACTACCGCGATACTCATCGTACTCCAAAGCGTCCTCCCCTAAATAGAATATTGAATAGGGTATCGGCACATGTAGTAGCACAACCTTTCAGGAAGATACAATACCATACATTTTACTTCATGTAGTGTCGCTGACGAAAGTGTATCGCATAGATTTAATTAAAGCTGTAAGACACCAAACTTATTGGCAAATGTAGGAACACCTTAAGTGTATCAGATATATCTCCACTCCACCGAGACAAGTTGCTTTTTTGTAAAAGGACATGCAGACAAATAACCATTTGCTCGGAGTAACAATTTTTTAACGAATGCACTTGTTTTGGGGGACAGGCTGTCACACCTTGTAATGTAATTATACACATTCAATACACACACTCTCAATTTATACTCTGGATATCGTATAATAATAGATTGCTACTGGTAAAAACGAAAGTTTCAATCAATTCTCTTGAGCATCCTCTTTTGATAAAACGTTTTTATTCTTTGAGAAGGGGTAGATGTTTACATGTCAGAGAGACAAGGATAAGAAGCAAAAGTCATACGAATATTCAAATTCAATTGATAAGGACAACTTCATTTTCATTTGTGTTGTGATAACTCTATTACCAATAAAGGTGAAATAAATTAATGCAATCTTATATTTAAGTAGCAATCTTACTATTGTCAATGTTGATGCAATGAGCTTGGACATGTGAACAATATGCAACAATTTTCAATAACCACTGCTACAAATCTTCTTGAAATGATCTTGATTTTCATACAAATCTGTCAAAACAATTTCGGATTAAAAAACCGGACCAAATGGAACTTAGTATCTATTGCGAGTAGTTTGGTTTTCGCAGGTGAGTCGCTGTGGTACAAATAACTGTCAGAAATGCATAATGCAAGAGGAGATTCAGGACATATTTCAAATACAGAGCAAAGATATGTACTTTCGTTGTTAAGGATATTGACCCATTTGAAATGTCAAATTATAAAATCATGGAAGATTTTAAAATATTATTAAAGGTATCGGGCGTGATCAGGTGTGACATCTATCCGGTTCATGGTACTACCAAGTTCAGAAGTATGATCAAGGACGTAAGCAAAAATGATTGTTTCACTATATGGTCGTACTGTCTTTATCCATGTATCCTGAGAAAAACAGCTTCGATCAAACTGAATAAAAATTTTTAAAAAGACCGAAAGCCTCCAAGATTTGCCATATTGCTTCAGAGAGTTAAGTCAGGGGGCACAGGACCCGAGTCGTCTAAGGCCCGCTTTTCACTGTTGCGTCGTTTGGGCACACGTCAGAAAACCTATGATCATGGGTTCGATTCCTAGTTCGCCCCGATTATGTCTCTAGGTTTGTTATCACCACATCCGTGCTCGTTGGGTTCACCAAAGGGGTAAATGTCTGGGACCTGCATTACTTCAGGCTTTCCTTTCACATTAAGCTGACACACCATGATATAACTGAAATACTGTTAAAAGCGGCTTTAATCCCCAATCAATTACTTTAAAGTAAAAAATACCAGCTTCGCTCATTTATGAAATTGTGAAGATCTTATAGTCCAAATAGGCTCCTACTAGACTACGTCCTTTGAACATTATAGATGCCAATATGCAACACTAGACCCTGGGACAATATCTATTCAAAGTGACACGAATGAATTTTGAGTTCTGATCCAGAAAGGAAATGAACCAACAAAGCCGTTGGCCTCGTATTCGATATGATCTGAAAGAAACACCACGTTCAATTAACACCTTAATGGTTCGCATGTAAACATATTATTTGCGCTGTGCTGTAAACTGGTTTAAATCAATCGTGAAATAACCCCTACTTTATGTGAATAGCTGGTGTATGACACTTACCGTTTATCCATTGCCTGTGTGTATATTTGTATAAGCCAATCCAGTATCTTGTTATCGTACTCGTGAGGCTAAGGAGACCGTTCTGAACAGCTGTATTAAGTTTAACCAAGTGGCATGTCCTGTAGGCATCATACCAGGACTTACTCCAGCAATATACATAGACGTGTGTACTTGGATCTATAAAATAAAAGGACAACAGTTGAATGTTTGATTAGAAATGCTGGTGCAAGTTTGTTGCATGTATGGTTGTTTACAACTTTCTCTATGGTGGCCGAGAGGGGACATCGCTCTCTCGCCTTCATTTACGACCGAGAGAAAGAGATGAAACGATAACACGAGACGAAAAGTGATAACACAAGCCGAGAAAGCGATATGTGTGTCGCTTTCTCGTCTCGTGCTGTCGCTTTATCGCGGTAAAGCAATATCCCCTCTTGGCCACTATAGGGATCGCATGTGTTATGGGTCTCTATATCATAAAAAGTATATACCCAAAACAGCAGTAATTTATTGTTAAACCACACCTCAGTATCATTAAGGGGCTGACCATTTAATACACAGATATAAGGGTTGTGGGGGTGGGGGTCGCCATGATGTTGTTTTCTTTGTTTGGGGGGCTCGGGAGTATGGGGGTAGTTTTGTTCATTTAAGAGAGCTGAGATTTTTTCCAGTCACATTTCAAATTATGCCTATCGAGGGAATGTTAAAAAAATTTATAGACGAAGATGATTTTAAAACAACCCACGGACTTATGCGTAAAACGTAATTGATTTATTTATAGCCCTATTTATGAGTTGTGCGGGACCATTGCGCCGTCAGCGCGTGGCGGGTCATGGCAATACTCTCTAGTTAAATCAGGTTAAAATCTAAATCTATACTATTCAAAAGAAGTTGAAGAACACCCGATCACCCGATATGACTGGTTAATCAGCCATGTCTGAATGTATTCCAAAACACAGCCTTATAATTGTTTGTGTTCTTTAACTTGTTTTGAGTAGTATAAAATGTTACAGTGTGAATGCCATAATACTGTTGTCCGTAAATATTCTTTTTGACATCACGACCGGGAACACTAGAAATGGGCTTAACAGGTGCAATTAAGTTTCCCCAAAAATGCAAATCTTCTGCGAAATACAGTAAAAGTAACAGACTTTTCTGTTGTAGTGTATGTGATTGTTGCTAATGGACTACAATACAAGAAAGTAAACACATGCGTGTATCCAAGCAAACCGAGAAAGAATTCTGTATCTATATCTAACAAAAGAATCTACTACAAAAGGTTAAAAAGGTATTATTTCTCTGCTGAAACATTGGCCTTCATGATTTGCCATGAGATGAACAATAAGCATGTATAGCTGAAGAATAGCATTTCGTTTTAATCAATATTATTGAGTAACAGACACTTGAAGAAATTGTAACAAGCAACAAAGCCATGTCCATATCATAAGAAATCTCCTTATAGGATTCCGACAATAGCATTAACATGCATTTTGTCATCCCCATCAGAACGCGAAAAGCGTATCCTGCACCACCGATGACACCCCATCACAAGGACATGCAAAGGTCAGACAAGTGTTCAACTGAAGAAACACTGGGACGACACAGTGTACAAGTTAAAATAGGAAATTGCATCGGACAGCATTCTAGACACTGATGCATCAAATTGGAAATTTCTTCCACCTTACTATGACGTTGATTGGGGTAACTCTGATCAAACAGCAAGAGTCGTGTAGCGCTTTTAGAAATTTTGGTAGAAAGAGCATGCTCGTTTGTACCTCAAAAGACACCAAAGGCTGGAACTGCTGAAATATTGCTCGACAAAGAGCGAACGTGTTGACTATTGGAAAGCTGAAGTCTCCCCTCTTGTCATGCGTCTTAAGTCCATAGATGGCTATCTAATTATGAGTGAGTGAGTATGGTTTTTATATCTGTACCCATGTGAACTCTCAGTAAATTGCTTTCACTTTTGACAAATTCCTCTGAACGTTTGATGATACTGATGGAACTATATATGTGGTCGCCACAATTAGTGACAAATGCCCCACGGGTCGAGGAATGAAGTTTGTTGTTTGGGATAGCGGGGGACACAGTTTAGAAAATCAAATGCTTGACTAATTTAAACTTCTTTCTTTTCTGAGATCACAAAAAAAACAGGCAAATCCTTTAAGTTTTTGAGAATTCACATGGTATTAAATCTATTTAGCACCATAATTTTCTGTGAGCATAACGAAAGTCCTTCCTTGAATGTTTAGAGATTATGCTTAATCATTCAGACAGGAATTTGGTGGTACATTTGCTGTAGTGAGTGAGTGAGTATGGTTTTACGCCGCTTTTAGCAATATTCCAGCAATATCACGGCGGGGGACACACATTGTATCCATGTCGGGAATCGAACCCGGGTCTTCGGCGTGACGAGCGAACGCTTTAACCACTAGGCTAACCGACCGCCCCACACTTGCTGTACCTTGCAATATATCTATCTTCGTATGGATTTTTTATGGAGTGTTGGAATCTAGTACAAAAGAGTAATGGACATGCCTTCAGGTATTTGAGCCAAGTCACGGTTTAGAGTCTTCTTAATAGATAATGATGAAATGTTTTCAAATTCATACAATTTAATCTGTGGAGATATGAACGCGAGAACAGGTGAGAGAAATAACCCTGATATTAGCAATAATGATGATAGCTTCAATCATACCTCCCCTTTCCCTGAGGAGGAGGATGACCCTGTTGAGGATCGTACTTCACAGGATACAGTTGTAAATAGATTTGGTCAAATGTTGTTGGATTTATGCTATGTTTTTAAACTTTACATCGTAAATGGACGTGTATATGGTGATACTAATGGGGAATTTACTTATTGTAGCCAACATGGATCTAGTGTGAACGATTATTTTATAAGTTCACCAGATTTTTTTCAGTTTATCAATATGTTCACTGTCGGTGATCGATCTGATTCTGATCACTTTCCATTAGAATTGATGTGTAGATTTCCAAATATGGGTAAGAGGTGCAATAATGATTCATGTATGGATCCACAAGCATCAGAGAAAATTGTATGGAATGATCATTACTCCAGTTTGTTTCTTGATAACCTGAGATATAATTTTACTGAAAACAAAGAAATGGTCCTTAAAGAAATTGATAATGCTATTGAAAACGCAATTAGCCACTTTGTCGACATTGTGTTAGACTCTGCTAACTGCATGAAAAAGACAATACGACATAATCCACAATTTGCCAATCACAAACCACTAAGTCTAGAATGTAGACAAGCGAAACGAGAAACACGTAGGGCACTTAGGAGATTTAGAACACAAAGAACAGTCGCTAACAGAATTGTGTACTGTAGACAAAGAAATCATTATAAATTTTGTTGCAGAAAATTTAAATCCATTTCACGTAAGAAATCAGTTGAAAGATTGCATAGAAGCATAAATAGTCAATCTAGCTTTTGGAAACAGATAAGATCATTACAAAACAAACCCAGACAGAAGAATCATATAACGAAAGCAGAATGGCTGTGCCATTTTAGAGAGGTTTTTGCAAATGACAATGTTTTTTCTCCTCACTTAGATGATGAAAATGAACTCAGTTCTAATCAGTTTACAGATATTGATGCATTCATACTTAAACTTCGATAACTGAACATGAAATTACATCATCAATAAATAAGTTAAAAAAAGGAAAATCCGCCGGGCCCGATCAAGTGCTGATAGAAATGCTTAAATGTTCCCAATTAGATATTATGCCATTTCTTCATAAATGTTTCAACAAACTCTTTGATAATCAAATATTTCCAAACAGTTGGTCTTGTTCAGAAATAGTCCCTCTACATAAAAAAGGCGATCCGAGAAACCCTGACAACTACAGGGGGATCTCATTAATGAGTGTTCTGGGGAAAATTTTTACCTCTGTTTTGAATAACAGGCTTACTAACTGGGCAAATATGAGAGATAAGATACCGGAAGTTCAAGCTGGTTTTAGAAAAAATTATTCAACCGTAGATCATATTTTTACATTATATGCTGCAATTCAAAAATGTCTAACACGTCGTAAACACAAGGTTTACGTTGCTTTTATTGATTTTAAAAAGGCATTTGATACAGTTGATCGTTATAAATTATGGTGTTGTTTAAGAAAAGCTGGACTACAAGGGAAGATGTTTAATATAATACAATCAATGTATTCAAATATCAAGTCATGTGTACGTAGTGATTATGGTGTTACTGATTTTATCGATTGCCCATCTGGTTTACGTCAGGGATGTATACTGAGTCCTCTGTTATTTTCGTTTTTCATAAGCGAATTATATTATGAAATCTCAAGTAACGGCAAGCATGGTATACAGATGTATCCTGACATCCTTGAACTTCTTATGCTCCTTTTTGCCGATGATGTTATTTTACTATCTGACACTGTTATTGGTCTACAGAATCAGTTGAATGTATTAGATAAATATACTAAGGAATGGAATTTATCTGTAAATTTAGATAAGACAGAAATTATAGTATTCAGAAAAGGGGGTCCTTTAAATTTTAGGGAAAGATGGTACTTAAATGGACAACAAATTAATGTAGTTAATGGTTATAAGTATCTCGGCATAATGTTTAATTCAACACTAAATATGAACAAATGTGTATCTGACTTATCACTGCGAGGGAAACGAGCTTTACTTAATATAATGTCTGTTTCACATAAACTTGGAGTTATTACTCCAAAAGTATTTTTCAAATTATTTGATACTCAAATACAGCCAATTTTATTGTATGGATCTGAAGTGTGGGGTTACCGAAGATATGAATGTTTAGAAAGAATTCACCTACTGGCATGTAAAAAGTTTCTTCGCGTTGGAATAGCAACACCAAATAATATGATATATGGAGAATGTGGAAGATACCCACTTTACATTAATTCACAAATAAAGTGTTTAAAATATTGGTTTAATATCATCCGTATGCCAGAACATCGGCTTCCGAAAAAAGCTTATAACATGCTCTTTCATTTAGATAGTATCGGTAAGGTTACATGGGTATCGCATATTAGGACACTATTATTCTCACATGGATATGGGTATATATGGCTTAACCAATCTGTTGGTGATCAACATTTATTTCTAAATGATTTTCGTAAAATAGCAATAAATATGTTCTATCAAGGGTGGCAATGCAACTTGGAAAATAGTTCACGTTATGATTTGTACAGAACATTTAAGACTCTATTAGAGCCAGAAAAATATCTATCAGTTTTAACAAATAGTCACCTAAGAAATGGATATATTAAATACAGACTTGGCTTGTCAAAACTTATGATTAACTATGGACGGAATATATCACTTGAAAGAATACAAAGAATTTGTCCATTCTGTAACTCTGCAATAGAAGACGAAATACATTTTACCTTTGAATGTCCTTATTATGCAGAATTACGTACTAAATATATACCAGAATGTTTCTTATCTAAGACAAGTAGAATAGCTTTTGTTTCTATTTTGTCATCGAATGATGCCGATGTAATGTTTAAACTGTCTTTATTTGTAAAACATGGGATGGAACTACGAAATAACATGTTGAGTGGAAATTCATAATTTTAATTACCTCACCCTAGAAAGTCCTCATGATTATCACCGATTGTTAAATGAATGTTATATTTATATAATTTTTGTTGTATCTCCCAATCTGTAAATTCTCACCCACTGTATTTATCTGAACTTGTATATGGGCCGATGGCCTTTGATACAATAAACATCTTTGACTTGACTTTGAGTCCCTGGTGACAACATGGTAGTGGTGATTCAGGCAATGGTCTTGAGGAATAGGTTGCTATGACAATGTGACCCGCAAATGTAACATCCTCTCAACAAACGCTGCTATGAAATACTCTACAATATATTCGTGAACATATTGAGATGGCTAACATATTTTCTTCGTGTGAATGGTGGATATATTTTATATGTCATTATGAGGTCATTTTATTTGTTATCATCCAGAAAATGGTCTCAAATATATAACATTAAGGTTGTGACACATAAAATGACAAGTATCAATGAGGACTAATCTTCTTGTGTATGAAACGTAATGAAAACATACCGCTAACAATGCAGGCTTGACATCTGCCTTTGTTTTCGCATGTGCTGCTGTGTATGGAGTGGTCCCCACCCCGACGTATTGCATAAGCACAGTACTTGTCTGGCTCTTGATCAAAGGTAATGTTTTCTACAAACATAAAGACAAATTATCAATCCAACATAAAGTTTAGTTATTTAGTCCGCTCTCTCACTTTGAATGAAGACTGGCATGCTGATGGTAATGACACAATTTGAAAGAAGGACGTTTTCGACACTGATCAAAATATAGTATGCAGTCTGTCACCACTGACCTTTTTGACAATATGGAACTGAAGTGTGGTAGGAATGAATATAAAAAGATTCCCAAACAGTCCTGTGCCTTGTGCCACAAAGTGATCTCAACGCTACGACGACCGCGTGTCTATGTTAAGTGTGGGTGGTAGGGTGATTTAGTGACCTAGAGATCCAATTTACAAATGGTTTTAGCTAAAGAAAACCGCCACAAAACAAGATACACCCTCGATAGAAAAAGGATGTGGATGTAGATTCCATGGTGATCAGAAACGACAGGATGTATACAATTAGTGTCTAATGTAATTAATGGCTCTAAGACCTAGTAACGAACCAGAAAACGTTGTCTGTATCAGGAGTCTAGGAACCGATCAGAGTTACGTTTAAGCTAATCAGCATAATATCATTATTTCAACAATTACATGGATATGATATCACTGCAGTTCATACCTAGCCTATATACTGACATCCCTTGGACGTTGCCACACTTTTCGTCCAAGTTTCCTGGACACGTGCTCTCAGGTGCCATCGAAGTTGTAGTGCTGTATCCTACTTTTAGACAGTAGCACGTGGTTTCCTGTAAATGCGCACAAAAGTAGATATGATATCATAATGATTCGGTCTTGCCATGGGTATTTACGCTACATTTGCATGGCATCGCAATGGAGCTCAAAACAAAACTGTATGGTGAACGTACTGCGCTCGTATAAGCAAAGGGAAGATAAGTAACGGTTTATTTCACCTCGTCTCGAAACATAATACATTAAACAATGAAAACATAAACACATTGTTTTAAATATCTATATTTTCATCGGGTATCTCAGGCCTCTGATAAATGATACAACCTTGGATAGGATTGGGCTTCAGTGATCCTTGAGGCCTAAAAACTTGTTTTATCATCATTGAACGTTTATGAGTGAGTGAGTTGGGTTTATTGCCGCTTTGAAGAGTATGCCAGTTATATCACGGCGTTCTTTTTTGGAATATGGTGGTTTATGTATTAAATGAGAGTGTTCAAGCTATATAACGGCGATCTGAAAACAATCGAGTCTGGACCAGACAATCCAGTGATTGATATCATGAGCCTCGATCCACGCAGTTGGAATACGATGACATCTATCAACCTAGCTAGCGAGCATCCGATCCCATTAGTCGTCTCTTGCGATAAGCATGGATTGCTGAAGACCTATTCTAACCCGGATCTTCATGGGTCTAGATGAGAGTGATGTCATATCACAGTGCTTAATGTGTGAGATAAATCTAAACAGATGACGGCTTTAGAAGTGTACTTCTTCATCTCAGACGGATACAGTGCTGACAGTGCTGATCATAACCAGGGCGAATGTCGGATTCCAATTCTGCAAGCATGCGCGACGTATCTCTGCAGAGAGAGTCGCGTCGTCTTAGACGACAGGGCTACCACTCACACTGCACTTGAATTAATTAAAACATATTCCGAACAGTAGTATATACAATGTCACTTCAACTGCCATACTGCATGTTGCATATATTTCAAATCATGAACTTGACGAACCCACCTTCATGCCTACTGAATCTGCTTGGCTGCAGTGAAGATGGCACTTCCATACCGAGTTATCAAGGAATTCTACCATTGATTCTGCTGTCACACTCTCCAGGGGAAGGAAGCCAGCATAGGTGTACAGGGGACTGAAATCTTCTGTATGTGAACAATTGAAGGTAATGAACGTGTAAGAAAGCTTTACTGTTCCTACTTCAGGTGTACTGCTATGACAAATGATGTACTTCTAATAAGGACATTACATCATGTATGCTTGTGAAACGGTTATGTTACAAGAAATGAATTGACCAAGTATGTGATTGTCCTTAACCAATCAAAATTAAACGTTTTTGTAATAGTGTAAGGTGTGGCCAGTAGGCCGATATTTTCAATTGCCCTTATTGTACCTGTCCAAAGCCAGGCTAAGTAATCCATGGCACCTATCCAGTAGTAGGTGCCGAGCTGTAGACGGTTCAGAAGGTCTAGTGGAATGTCCTCTGAGCCTGGTGTGTACAACCTGCCTTTCACATTGCATCGGCTTTGTGCCTCCCACCAGGTGCTTGGTTCATCCATAAGGCGTATTCGAGAAGATTCTACAAATTGATTTTCAGAAAGTGAATTGTTTGATAGGCATTAGTAAGAAGTTGACGGATGACAAAGTAGACACAATTTATGGATAACAACGTATTTAATTCCTGTAAAGGCGACGTTTCGGTATAGATCCTCCCTTCACGTCTTGCTTGACAACGGTATAAAAATCTATACCGAAACGTCGGCTTTACAGTAAATAAGAAAGTTGTTATCCATAAATTATCTCTACTTTGTCATCTGTCAACTTCTAAGTAATGCCTATCAAACAATTTAAATCAAAGGACCCAAAACATAATAACTTTCGTTTGACGTTTCATATTATAGAATTCCTATACAATCGTGTTTGGCAGTAATTAAGGAAGTTGTTATCCATAAATTGTGTCTACTTTGTTTCAGAAAGTTATTAAGTATAGCAGCATAATTCGGATATCAATTTTAACGGGCATTCCTTTCTCTTGTATGTCTCTTCCAAATATGTTTAGATTTCGTCAATTATGTCTCATTTATGAAAAGTGAAATTAAGATAAAAGAGTTTGTACATCTTCATCCATTTTTCAAACCATTAGTTTCTACCGTGCATTGTGACAACACACGCATGACGTCACGAAAACATCAAGTGCCCTCAGTACGTGTTCACATAACTATAACATGTGATAGCTTTACACAAGTATACGTAGAGATGCACGTGTACCTGGTTGCCGCTGAAGACTAACGGCTGTATGATTATATAAGAAGCACAGGGTTAGTAAAACACGCGTGACACATAAACGCAATATAGCGACAAGAGCGAATATATGTCCTATATATCATATTCACTTTTCAGGAGTATTTGTCACTTATATCCTCGCACCCAAACCAAAGACGTTACGATTAATCTGTTAATACCTACTAAAGGCTGCCATCATAGCTTTATATAGAACACAAATTCGAACGCCATCACAATCAAGAGTCCATCATTATACCCTGAAATCTGCACGATTTGTCTCTAAAATAGTTACCGATTGATCTCGCGAAACATCAAGTATAAACATAGTTACTGTGGACGTTAATGTTTGAAGCAGCAGGCAAGACATAGTACCTTTATACAGGTAAGCCCGTGTATGAAGATATAATATCATACCAAGTTTTATACATAGGGGACAGTTTGTCAGGATCTTAATGCAATGAGAACTTACGTATTCAAATTAAGCATATCAACAATCAGAGTGGACGTGACTCTGCGAATATTATGTTCAGACTAGGGAGACACATCATGCATATCTATCTTCAGTAGTGTAGTATAAATTTCAAAGTGTTGTCATTTTGGTATCGATGCATACAGCATGCATAATTACAACTTGCAGCATTCGCTTGGTGGGGTGGTATAAACCAAGAAAATATCATCTTATAGTGATTACAATAATTGTCAAAACTTTCATTGTTAACTTCATTGAAAATAATGTTCAAGGGTCAACACGACCAGGCTACCTCCTTTACGAGTTATACGTCCTGCTTACACCGAGGGGGAACGAGCAATCGTTGATCACCCAAAATACATGTAGTTCTAAATGTTCATCTGGGCATAACAGAAGCAGTGTTAGATTATCTAGGTAAAGAGAACTTACGTATTCCCAGGCATATGACAGCTCCCCAACAGACGAACAGCCATGTCAACAACATATCCGACACCCACTGCGTACATGGAGCAACTGCATACAGTTGTCTGTCGCCTACAAGGAAGTATGATTCACTCACAACTATCGTCGTCAACAAAGCCAGTGAAAACAAAACAAAACAGATTGTGTTTATGACTGCATGTCACGCATGATTCAGCGGAATTCTGAACACAGGCAACCAAATACTGCACACAGGCAACTAAATACTCCACACAGGCAACCAAATCCCACAGACTGGCAACCAAATAATCCACACCGGCAGCCATATAATCCACACAGGCATCCAAATACTGCGCACAGTCCACCAAATACTGCACACAGGCATCCAAATAATGCACACAGGCAACCAAATACTGCACACAGGCATCCAAATACTGCACACAGTCAACCAAATACTCCACACAGGTAACCAAATAATGCACACAGGCATCCAAATACTGCAAACAGTCAACCAAATACTGCACACAGGCATCCAAATACTGCACACATGCAACCAAATAATGCACACAGGCAACCAAATAATGCACACAGGTAACCAAATACTGCACAAAGGTATCCAAATACTCCACACAGGCAACCAAATATTCAACACAGGCAACCAAATACTGCACACAGGCATTCAAATACTCCACATAGGCAACCAAATACTCCACATAGGCAACCAAATATTCCGTAGAGACAACCAAATACTGCACAAAGATATCGAAATACTGCACAAAGGCATCCACAAACCCCACACAGGCAACCAAATACTCCACACAGGTAACCAAATACTGCACACATGCATTCAAATACTCCACACAGGCAACCAAGTACTCCACACAGGCATCCAAATACTGCACACAGGCAACCAAATAATGCACACAGGCAACCAAATACTGCACACAGGCATCCAAATACTGCACACATGCAACCAAATACTCCACACAGGTAACCAAATAATGCACACAGGCATCCAAATACTGCACACAGTCAACCAAATACTGCACACAGGCATCCAAATACTGCACACATGCAAACAAATACTGCACACAGGCAACCAAATAATGCACACTTGCAACCAAATATTCCGTAGATGCAACCAAATACTGCACAAAGATATCGAAACACTGCACAAAGGCATCCACAAACCCCACACAGGCAACCAAATACTCCACACAGGTAACCAAATACTGCACACATGCATTCAAATACTGCACACATGCAACCAAGTACTCCACACAGGCATCCAAATACTGCACACAGGCAACCACATAATGCACACAGGCAACCAAATACTCCACACAGGTATCAAAATACTGCACAAAGGTATCCAAATACTCCACACAGGCATCCAAATACTCCACACTTGCAACCAAATACTCCACACAGGCAACCAAATACTGCACACAGGCATTCAAATACTGCACACAGTCAACCAAATGCTGCACACAAGCATCCAAATACTCCACACAGTCAACCAAATACTCCACATAGGTAACCAAATACTGCACACAGGCATCCAAATACTGCACACATGCATCAAAATACTGCACACATGCAACCAAATACTGCACACAGGCAACCAAATAATGCACACAGGCAACCAAATACTGCACACAGGTATCCAAATACTGCACACAGGTATCCAAATACTGCACACAGGCAACCAAATACTGCACACAGGCATCCAAATACTGCACACAGGCATCCAAATACTGCACACATGCAACCAAATACTGCACACAGGCAACCAAATAATGCACACAGGCAACCAAATACTGCACACAGGTATCCAAATAATGCACAAAGGTATCCAAATACTCCACAGAGGCATCCAACTACTCCACACAGGCAACCAAATACTCAACACAGGCAACCAAATACTGCACACAGGCATTCAAATACTCCACATAGGCAACCAAATACTCCACACAGGCAACCAAATACTCCGTAGAGGCAACCAAATACTGCACAAAGATATCGAAACACTGCACAAAGGCATCCACAAACCCCACACAGGCAACCAAATACTCCACACAGGTAACCAAATACTGCACACATGCATTCAAATACTGCACACAGGCAACCAAGTACTCCACACAGGCATCCAAATACTGCACACAGGCAACCAAATAATGCACACAGGCATCCAAATACTCCACACAGGTATCCAAATACTGCACAAAGGTATCCAAATACTCCACACAGGCATCCAAATACTGCACACTTGCATCCAAATACTGCACACGGGCATCCAAATACTCCACAAAGGTATCCAACTACTCCACACAGGCAACCAAATACTCAACACAGGCAACCAAATACTGCACACAGGCATCCAAATACTGCACATAGGCAACCAAATACTCCACACAGGCAACCAAATACTCCGTAGAGGCAACCAAATACTGCACAAAGATATCGAAATACTGCACAAAGGCATCCACAAACCCCACACAGGCAACCAAATACTCCACACAGGTAACCAAATACTGCACACATGCATTCAAATACTGCACACAGGCAACCAAGTACTCCACACAGGCATCCAAATACTGCACACAGGCAACCAAATAATGCACACAGGCATCCAAATACTCCACACAGGTATCCAAATACTGCACAAAGGTATCCAAATACTCCACACAGGCACCAAATACTGCACACAGGCATCCAAATACTGCACACAGGCATCCAAATACTCCACACCCACAATATGTCAGTTTAATCTCCTTAGATACAAAACAAATACACTTTGTCGTCGCTTCATTACCCCATCCTACGATGCGATGAGTGCTGTAATGGACGATGTTGCCATCCGATGCAGGGTATGGCGATGCGATATAAACGTGTTGAGGTGTGATTTGTCGATAGAAGTGTTAATCGAGACTATCTTGCCTACTGAAGAAAGTATGTTCAGTTCATGAGTTTTGTTTGTTGTTTCAGATATTTTGCTCTGTCAAATGTCTCAGTTAGGACACACAAGGTTACAGTACTGTCTTGGAAATATATTAAAATGGTTGCAGGAGAAAATAACCATCAAATTCGTATTTACCCAGATCTCTTCCAGGTTAACTATCTAAACTCCTAAATTACGATACTCCTCGATAGGCCTTCCTTAAGCAATCTTGAAAGACAATAGGATGTCTACGCTATGTCTGTAAGATGTAATGTGGATGAAACCTTTTTGGGTGATGTGGCCATTTCTGTTTGTGGTACATAATATTTATAACGTCATTATTGAAGCTAATATAGCCATTGGTAGCTATCGGTATATAAAGATATATCAAAGTGCTGTATGTTGAAATAGGAGACCGACCTGGGTAATGCAGACAACTGTTGATTACACAACAGCGAGGCCTTATCCCACCCCGACCCCCCGACCCCAGCCCCAGCCCCAACCCCCACTTGTTGATGATAAAGATAGTATCATACAAACTTTTATCTGAATTGTTTACATTTACTTAGCATGTTCTTAACACAACCGAAAACTAATTCATATAAATGTAATCACGTTGTTGGTATAATAATTTACCTGATAATGTAGGTAATACTTCTTCATTGGCAATATGGGGCTTATATCCAAGTGGTTTAAGCGTTCGCTCGTCACCCTGACGGCTCGTGTTCGATTCCCCACATGGGTACAATGTGTGAAGCCCATTTCTGGTTCCCATGCTCATTATTCAGCCTTGCTTAACAACGGTGTAACAATCTATACCGAAACGTCGCCTTTACAGTAAATAAGAAAGTTGTTATCCATAAATTATCTCTACTTTGTCATCCGTCAACTTCTAAGTAATGCCTATCAAACAATTCAAATCAAAGAACCCAAAACATATAACTTTCGTTTTCAATTTATACATTGTAGAATCCCTATGCAATCGTGTTTGGCAGGGTGACCAATGTGGGATTATTTGTATTAAGTTCCAAAAATGTTTATCACAGGGGCTCAGGTTGTACCGTTTTCCGTACAATGAGCCGACTGCTGTTCATGGGAATACCATAAACGGCTAACGACTCACACAGGAAAAGTGTATGGTTGAACATGGCAGTGAAAGCATCACAATGTAAATATGTGCTGATGTAGACAGCTCGTTCCCGCATGCATGTAACAAGGAAGACATTATACATATGTGTGTTTGTGTCTACCTGCCTGTGTTTGTCTATGTCTATGTCCCGAATGTCTGTGTCTCTGACTGTGCCTGGGTGGCTGTGTCTGTGCCTGAGTGACTGTGTCTGTGCCTGAGTGACTGTGTCTATGTCTGGGTGGCTGTGTTTATGTCTCTGCCTGTGCTTAATTGGCTGTGTCTGTGCCTGTGCCTGAGTGTCTGTGCCTGTCTGTGCCTGAGTAGCTGTGTCTGTGCCTGAGTGACTGTGTCTGTCTGTGCCTGAATGGGTGTGTCGGTGTCTGTACCTGAGTGGCTGTGACTGTGTCTGTGGCTGTGCCTGAGTGGTTGTGTCTGTGTCTCTGTCTGTGCCTGAGTGACTGTGTCTGTGTCTGTGGTTGTGTCTGTGCCTTTGTCTGTGTCTGTGCCTGAGTGGCTGTATCTGTACTTCAGTATGTAGTCGTTCAGTCGGGTGATGATATTCATGTAGGGCTCGGTGTAAAATTCAGCAAAGTTAGTTTGTCCACTTGTGACTCAACCAGGAACAGATATGAGAATAGTTGCAAACAAGAAGCACAGTAAATACAACTCTATATGGGAAACTTATCTCTACAATGACGCACATGACCCTTTGTTACGCCGCAGTCGGCGATAACCTCGCTATATCACAGCTACCTGTAAATAATAGAGTCTGGATCAGACAAACCGGTGGTAAATATTATGAGCAACGTTAAACGCCGTCCAGTACGATGACACACAATCACTCAGGCAACCAAATCTAACTAACCAGTCATTTGAGCCGCCTCTTATAGTCCAGCAGATATGTGAACAATATCAAAGGATTGTGCATTTTGTCATAAAAGCATGAAATTTGGTATAGTCATAGACTATGCCCTAAAGAACAATTCCAGAATTGGCGCCACCAGAAAAATTCCCTGTGTCAGCATTGGCAGCCATTTTGAAAATGGTGACTCAAAATCACTAAATGTGGAAATGTTTGTATTTATTTGTCTATAATGACTCTTTGCAAGTCCCAAATAACTGGAATATTGCCCCCGATATTAGTAATATTAAGCTATGTTTGAATGATGCAGAACATGGTCTTTTGCAGCTCCAGTGTGTGCGCAGAGAATTAATGCTGAGTTAGCAGAAAGTGTAATTTCGAGGTGGTGGTAGTAATAGTGACGATGTCTAAAGCCTTTCAGCTTTATAGTCCAGAGCAACCTGATCCTTGCAAAAATACACCCATAACTGACTGGACAAGGTGTGTTCTTTGCCAAACAGTCCAGGTGAAGCTTTGCAATGCCCAGCAGAATCAAAGCGTCATGATGTTGGTGCTGGCCATGGTTACTCAACCTTTTCAGAGAACATTGTGCTTTTCCAAGAGCTGCACGAATTACCCATGCCCATAGATGTGAGACGCCTTGATGAAGGAGGTGGCATAGCCAATACTCTGCAGGTGAACAAGGCCACAGTAAACACAACTCTACATGGGAAACTTATCTCTTCAATGACACACATGACCCTTTGTTAATCATACGTGAATGTTCTGTTACGCCGCAGTCAGCGATAACCTCGCTATATCACAGCTACCTGTAAATAATTGAGTCTGGATCAGACAAACCGGTAGTAAATATTATGAGCAACGTTAAACGCCGTCCAGTACGATGACACACAATCACTCAGGCAACCAAATCTAACTAACCAATCATTTGAGCCGCCTCTTACAGCAAACATAACTACCATGGGCCAGTTGCACCCCGGATGTCACACGGGGTTATGTTTAGTCACGATCAGTGTTATCTGAATGCCTTGTATCAGTACAAAGAGAAAGCATTGTTTGTTTAGTGGACCGACTGCAATCCGGCAAAATGTATCTGAGGGTGGTTAAGACGTCGCAATAGCATAGGGCATTCGACGTCCTTGTGGGTATCTAATCCTTGCCATATTTTTGTGATGGGAGAACGTACTAACCATTGTGCTATCATATGTGAGTAGAGATCTTCGAAAAATTAAGTCTAGTGTCATTGTTCTTAAAAACATCAATAACAATTTCGCAATATTGACTATTTATTGAATATCATGGTATGTACAAACGTTAGGAAGGAGATAAAGGACATCAACGTCCGTGTAGGGAATCGAATCCTCGCCGAATTCGTGAAGGGAGAACGTTCCAACCATTGTCCTATCAATTGTGAGAAGTGTTCTTTAAAACATTAAGCCTAGTGTCATTGTACCGAAAAACAACATCAATAACAATTCCGCAATATTGGTCACGGAACACCAACGTTGCCACGACAACTATGACGCCGATGGAGCTATGCGAGTATGATTATTCTTTTAAACTTCAGTATATATGAAACATGTCATGGTATCCCAATTACGCTGATCGATGCTCATAATGTCAATCACTTGATTGTCTGGTCCAGACTTGATTATTTAGGGACCGCCGTCATATTGCTGAGTGCTGCGTTAAATAACAAACAAATGTCCCATTGAGGAAAAACATCATAATGGGGTATGGATTCTCATGTCACTGGGTTACAACCACACTACTTCTCTCAGACCTTTTCACATCCAATCACCTATAGCTGTATTTTCGAAGTGAGAAGAAAAGCAAAATACAATTCAATCCAGAAAACTTTATTTCATTGCATTGTTTTGGGAAACTGTAACAGCAATGTAAGATGTTCTCCATAACACGTCAGGATATGTAAATCAAGCATGTGAATACATGCCATCACCATCTGTTAGTATTCCACGAACCTATTCCTTGTATCCACATAAAATATATTGAAAATATGAATGTTTTAGTCTTTTCAACCTACAAAAGTAATTTCTAAGAGAAAGTTGCCTCGTTTCTCAACCCTTAGTTGGTTCAACATCTTATAGTTCACTAGAAATTGATTATTTGTTCTTTGAAACACACCAGCATATCGTTTTCTAACCTAAAAACATATTTCGGTGGTGGTGATTTGAGTAACACAAACGGAAGAAACACTAACGTTGCCAACAAGGCATTACTGTGTGAGTGAGTTTGGTTTAACGCTGCTATGAACAGTATTCCAGATATATCACGGAGTGAAATGTGGGAGGAAACCCAGAAGTGATGCAGGTCTTAAACCTTTACCACTTTGGTGAAACCCACGAGCATGAGTGTGGTACTGACAAACCTACAAACATACCAGGATTCAAACCCCAAGGGACATAACTCTGCACAACGAATTGCGTTTACTTAGACAACTGGCCCACCTGTGCCCCCACCTTCTTACTAAAGTAACAAAAAAGTTGTTGAAATATACTCTAGAAACTTATTACCAATCTTACCCTATTTAAAATTGTTGAAAATCGCAGCTCATTAGTCGTACATCGCCGAAAACAGGTGAAACCAGGATAGCTTTTGTGCCAGGACAGTGTTAAAAAATGATCGTATACTCATAAATATATAGCTAAGTATGTAAAGCAATCTCTTTTACTACGTACAAAGACCTGATATTATACGTAAGTAGTGTTTTCAATGTAAATTGCCTCAAATGTGTGTAAGTGTATGTTTATATAACTGAAATGTACATGGGCCTTTGGACCCCCATACATGATTAAAACATTCACGTGTTAATGTGGTCGGATGTCAAAGTTGCATCTGCATGATACAAGTAATCTGAAATAGTGGTATTTTGAGACTGTACTTCTAAACCTCCACTTATGTGATCCTATTGTCTTGACAAGAATATGTCAACCTAGTTCCGTAAACAGGAAGAAAAATAATACAATGGGTCTGTCATCATAACTATATTTTGGGACTTAACATTTACACATCCTGTGACGTGATTCCATTGTCCCCTCAACGCCTCTTTTTTTGAGAATATCCTGCTGGCTTGAACTTTATATTGAATATGCCATAGGGCTCTTCAGTCTATCCATCTACACAATACACCCTTCTTTCTTGCAATATCATCAATTCAATCATTTCAGTGTATTCCAAAAGAATACTCATTATTTGTTTATTTTTATAAATGATCATAAACTGTTACCGACCAGTTCGGTCTCAATTATTCTCTTAAAAGTATAGTTTATATTAGACATTTCTAATTGTCCGGTGCATTCCCTATTTTGACTTGTGAGTGAAGAGTTGGTTGATTACCCGCGGGATGTCCCCTTACATTATGTTAGGATCACTCATGAATCATGTACCCCGTCGCTGCTATTTCAACAAAACTATTTCTATAACCATAACAATCTATGATCCATTGTACGATTTAGACTACGTCATAACCATATGAATCACGATTAATTAGTATTGATACCAGGTGTTCTGCCTCACCGATGGCACCCGTCACAAACACACGCAAAGGCAAGTGTTCACCTGAACAAACACTGGCACATGTGGTACAGGTCAAAATAGGTAATTGCATCAGACATCACTTTGCATCAGACTTTAATAACTTTTGAGTCATATTAAGCACTTTGTATGTCAGGTTTCTATTTGGATTTTCAAATTGACCTACAACGCGTGTGACGTGTCTGGCAGATGTGGTGGCGGGTTAGTTACACTGTTGATATGTCACACTGATGCATCAAATCTGTGGGGTAGCCTAGAATCTGAAGCGTTAGCCTAAGCAAGAAACACTAAGCTACACTATGTGAAACCTAATCTATACTGCTGGTGTTAACTAATTCATTATACACAGCTGCATTATATTTCCTGAACCTGTTAGAAATGTATTTTATATAATCAACAACATCCCTTTGAAAATTGTTTTTCTAGTTATAAACATTACACATAATATTATTTCAATTTAAAAAACGTTTATTTGTGCATTCAAAAAAATGAAATACAGTAAACTACGTTTGTAACGAACACGCTTATAACGAACTGGCCGATATAGCGAACTTATTGTTTAGTCTCTGCCGGTTGTTGTACATATGCTGTATATACGCTTATAACGAATTATTACGAACTAAAATGAGTGGTCCCTTCGAGTTCGTTATAACCGTAGTTTACTGTATATTATATATAATGAAAATAAAAAGAAGCTATTCCTGCAAGGAGGAAAATCATATAACACTTATCGATGTCCAATCATATTACAAATCATGCATTATTCTCAGTTATCAAGACATAAGCTGCCATCAAATATCATAACACACCAGGAACAAATAAATCAGATTCATATGTGGACATAATAGGTTGTCAAAACGGAGCTATTACACCAATCAATAAGAGCTAACTGGTGTTTAGTAAAGAGTATAAATTGTGTACAAGTGCTACATAATAACATTTCTATATTTTGTCAATACTTAGGCATCAGAAATGTCCTTGGCAAGACTGTAAGCGTTTTTTTGATCATTTTCATCAGACCGATCATCACCTCCGGGATGTCCATGAAGATTTCCATCGTCTCGAAGAAGACACTTTGTGTTGTAGTAGTCGGCCTTGTCTCTTTCTTCGTCATCGACCTTAGTGGCGTGGTCGCAGGTGTCATCAGAACATCCTTCCGGTTGCCGTTTACTTGCAACATCATAAGCATCCTCTTCACATTCAGTGTTTGTCCTCTGAATGTGACTGTAAGTATCATCCACTTTGCTGGGATTCTTACACTGCTGTGCAGTGTCATAATCCCCCTCGTCCGCTGCCACGTGGTCGTACACCCCCGCGTCGGCATCAACTGTTCTGGGAGAGTCGTGCTGACCGAGCACATTGTACTGACCCTCCTCTAAGTTCTGACCACTCGCTACATCAGAGAGTAGTGTATCTGCGGTCGTGTTTTTCAGCCCAGTGGTCGCCTCTCCTGTCTGTGGAACACAGTTTGCAGTGTCGTAGTCTCCTGTGGACTCGTTACCTCTGTCAGGTCCCGAGAGGTGATTGTAGGGATTCCCGTGTGGCATAACCTTCTTCGAGTTGTCGGATTCTGACAACACGTTGTACTCATCCTCATCATTAATCTGAGAGGTGTTGATGTTGTTGTCATTGTGAGCATTGGGTCGGACTATCGACGTTGGAAACGTGGATGACGTGGATGTTCTATCTATGTCAGGAGGTGTTATGACTGAATATGTTTCATTTTCTGTTTGTGCCTGAACGGCTAATCCATAGGTGGTGTTTTCTGCGCCAGAAGTGAAGTGTATTGGTTGATTCCCACTTTTTGTCTTAAAGCACAGTTTCTTTTGCCTGAAACACCGAAGCATCAACATGAAGTTCAATCAATCAGAACAGCAATAAGTTCTGGGTGGTTAAATTTAGTTTCCTTGAACAACAATGGTGTTGCTATGAAGTCATTTCAGTTTCGAGACGCCAAACATCCCATGAAAGTTGAGAGGAATAATTTTGGATTCCCTTTAGTATATAGTACTATTTCATAGAATGAAACCTTTAGTCTTTTTCGTCCTTGATATTTTACAGATGAGGTATGTTTTCATGAAGCACGCCTCTCTTCTTACCTTCTCAATACGACGACTACAATGAGGATTGCCAGCACAAGCAGCACACATCCTATACCTAGTCCTATGAAGCCACCTTCAGGAAGATAAATACTACATATATACTCTGAATACATATTATATTGTCATCAAATCAAAGATACATTTGGTATGTCATCATGGAGATGATTACATTAAAAAGGGTTAATAGAACATCAGAAATGGTAAAAGTGTTTAACCTTTAAGATCAAGAACACAACACTGGCAAGTTCTAAGATGTTAATGAACGTTAATAATATGTTCAAAAACAACTTCTAGAGCTGCAATAATTCCCTATTTGGGCTTTAAATATCTTGCTATATCTATCCAATACAAGACCCTGTTAAAATTGTGGTCTACGTAAACAGTACAGCTTTCTCGACACTTGACGCTGAGAAAGAGGGATGGGTTGAAAGCTGCACTATTTTAAAGATATCCTTCTGTGCATGCACACGTGATGCCATGTTAGCACGATAATGGTGCTGGAAAATCATAATCCCTGCAATCCCTGTACAGCAATTTGAGGTGCCTTAGACGACTTGGTCACACATACTCCTTACTTGTCGTTGATTGTTTTGAAGTTTCGTCAGCTTTCTAGATCATAAGTATTCTCCACGCATTATTTCTAAAGTACTTTTAGGCCTGAAAGTGAATATTTCGACTGTTTTATACTATTGTATATATACTCACACGCAAAAGAAACGCAAGTGGTTTTAAGCAAATAGGTAACAAATAATGTAGTGAAGCCTGATGGTGTTATCAATATTTTTAGTTGCATTTTGGAAGCAACATAAAAAACGAATTACCAAAACGCACCATTTCAATGAATATGTGGGTATCATGCACCCAATTCTCGCGAAATGGAAAATGCACGAACTGTCACGAACTGTAGTGGGTATAAAACTGTGGCCGATTCTTGGACCTACCACTCCTTGGTCAACAATGCCACGCCTAACTCAAATTCAGAGAAACCAGGCTATGTATCGGACGTTTGGAAGCTGTAGAGTCTGTCCAAGATGTTGCCCGTCACTTCAACGTTAACATAACCACAATTTACCGTCTCCTGCATCGATACAATGCTACACAGACCACAGATAACCTTCCTCGGAGCGGTCGTCCTAGGGTCACCACACCTCGACAAGATCGGCAGATTACCCGTCAAGACCAGCGATATCCGTTCCTAACTGCAAGTGAAAGTGCTCGACAGACCATAGGAAAAACTCGACACATTAGCCGGAACACTGTGATCCGACGTCTTCGTTCGAGCAACCTCAGATGTCGCCGAACAGCACGTCGTCCTGTTCTCCAACCACGGCATCGACAAGCACGACTTCAGTGGGCACAGGGTCATCACAATTGGCGTCATCGTGAGTGGAGGCGTGTCATCTTCTCTGATGAAAGTCGCTTTTGTGTCTCCCATGCAGACGGAAGAGGCAGAATTTGGCGGCGTCGAGGTGATCGTTTCGCTGACAGAAACGTTGTGGAAAGGGATCCATGGGGTGGACCTAGCGTCATGATATGGGCAGGGATTGGACTTAATGCGAGACTTGTGCTTTCTGAATGTTGGGACACGGCGTCACTGCTCAGCGGTATATCGACCAAGTGATCAGACCCCACGTTGTTCCATCAACAACACATTTTCCAGCAGGACAACTCTCGTCCCCATGTTGCCAGAGCTACCATGGCCTTTCAGCAACAACACATCCGTGTTCTACCGTGACCAGCACTCAGCCCTGATCTGAACCCCATCGAACACTTTTGGGATGAGGTTCGAAGGCGTCTGCACAGTGTGCGCCCAGTCCCTACAACTGCCGATGAACTACGCACAGCTGCTCCTGAGGTGTGCAGGAGGATCCCTAGGGCCTTCACAAATCGTCTGATCCACTCAATGTACAGGAGATGTGTGGCAGTGATCAATGCTTATGGTGGTCACACCAGGTATTGACTGACATTTTGGGTATTGACCCGAAACTGTGCCCTTAACATTTGAAAAAAATAATGATGTTATCTGCCTTTTAATCCATTAAACTGTCTTCAGTCAAATTTTGTCAATCTTCTCCTATTAGTATTTCTTGTCTTTACTGTTGAAAATAAATAACATGTATACTGCATACTCGACTTGCGTTTCTTTTGCGTGTGAGTATATTATATGATAAAACATATGTATGATTATTTGTTAGCAGCGTTTGATACACACCTGCCTGGGGATTGCTCGAAGAGTTCATAGCATCTTTCCGTCCTGCAAGTGGTGTGGTAACTTCGGTAGAGTGGACGCCATCGGTTGTACCAACTCCTCCTTGTGGCTGTGATTTTGTTTCTGATGATGAGGATGTGTTAAAATGTGGAGTCATTGTGGGTGATTTGGTTGATAATGATGAGGATTGTGGTCATGATGTTGGTGTCATTGTGGTTGATGCTGTAGATATTTTTACTGGAGTGATCACAATGAACGATTAATAGATAACGAATCACAGTTTAATTTCAAATGAGGGAGGGTGTTGGTATCAACGCTGCTTTTACCATTATTACAGATATATTACAGCGAGAGAGACCACATTTAAGCGTCATATATTCATTTCTGTTATGCCTCAGAGTGAGATTGACCCATCAGAGAGCAGAACTACTGACCCCACATGAGCCCGTATACCGTCAGTAAAAATCCAAGATGGTTGTTACTGACCTTATATGAGACCGTATACCGTCAGTAACAGCCATCTTGGTTTTTTCAACAACAACCTCAGATATTTCACATGAAAATTCTGGTACAGAAATTCGTTATTCGACACTGTTTTGTGTTTTAATATCATTAGTTTTTATGTGCAAGGATGTTCATGTTTTTGGATCACGTTCGTGACTTTAATAAGATTATATAAAGTTAACATTAACAGCAAGGTTTGGCTTCTGAGGTTTGAAGAGTAGTCTCGCTTTGACCTTAACGTCTTAGGTTGTAAGTGGTAAGTTTTGAGTTTTAAGTTTTGACATGTGCGACAAAGATACCAAATAGTGTAAACTTTTCGGAATAATAAATTCGTTATGTCGTCTTTAGTTGCCGTATACGGTGTCATATTAGGTTAGCCTCGTCCAATATGTTTCTGCTAACCTAATATGACACCCTCAACTAAAGACGGCAACGGCAACTAAATACACCATAACTAATAGTATCCCTTTGGGAAATCGAAGCTTGGCATTCGGCGTGGCCGACCAACCACTAGGACATCCCTTCGGCGTCTTGTTTAAAAAATTATAAAAATAATAATTATTGAAACCTATAGCTGTGGCTGTCATAGCTATATGAGACTAAAGTCTGTTTCTAATTCATAATTACAGTTTCATGGTCACTTAACTTCAAAGTTTATAAACAACAACCAAAGTACACATCAGTTTGTTGATGATGAGTTTTAAAATGACAAGCACGCTTTCACTAAAGTACTAAGCATCTATGATCTCTATCACTACCGGTTTTCCTCCCACTTTACAACATGTTATATTCATTTTTAAAAATCTTAACGACCTTGACTATAATAAAAAATTCATGACCATAATTTAGGGAGCGAATTTGACCTTCAATATATAATACAAGTATTTCAAGGTTACATACAGCATATAAAAAAACTATGAAATCCTGTCCTGGTGTGGTAAAGAAACAACTAGTTTTTGAGAACACCAAAATATTTTACTTTGTTCAAAAACAAATCCTTTTAGAATTGTATATATTTCCATATCGTGACATCAAATCTCGATATGAATCTGTTAGATACATTACCCAGTTCGTGTTACGCCTATGTGAACAGAATATCTGACTCAACACTTGACCTTCAGTGAGTGAGTGAGATGGGTTCAACACCACTCTTGACACTTTTCAGAAATATGATGCATGTAAGCTTAAGTGATGTAAATTCAGGTTAGCCTGAAATCCACGAACACGATGATAGTAACGACAACACTAGAATCAAAATAAAGGCACATCTTCGATCCCATGATTATAGGATTCATGCCTGACTCAAGCTTGCAACACTGTAAAGCAAATTGCGGTACATTAGACGACTGGTTACACATGCGCCTTACTTGTCGCGGTTTGTTTTTAAATTTCGTTTAGCGTTATAGATCATATTTATTCTCAAAGGATTATATCTAACAGCAATTTTGGGCCTGAAAGTGGAAATATGTCAACTTTGATTCAAAATGGGTGAAATGGGACAAATGAGCTTAACTGATTTTGAGTAGCCGCAAACTAACATGTGCTTGTCTGGTTTCAGAGCCATTATGACAGGATGACTGAAGTAGAGAAGTGAACTTTACCATTTTCACATATGAACGTCCTATTTTCTGAACATGGCCTCCAGTAGAAACGCTTCATTCCATTCTTCTGCTTGTATACACTCAGACACATGGTGTCTGAAGACGAACTACTGGGATAGCCATCGTAGCTCAAAGCCTCCTTTCCTGAAAAGAATATTAGAATAGGGTATCGGCACATGCAGTAGCACAACCTTTCAGACAGATACAATACCATACATTTTACTTCATGTATAGGTAATGTCGCTGACGAAAGTGTATAGCATAGATTTAATAAAAGCTGAAGGACACCAAAATTATTGGCAAATGTAGGAACACCTTAATTGTATCAGATATATCTCCACTCCACCGAGACAAGTTGTTGTTTTTTGTAAAAGGACATGAAGACAAATAACCATTTGCCGGGAGTAACAACTTTTTAACGAATGCACTTGTTTTGGGGGACAGGCTGTCACACTTGTAATGTAATTATATATATTCAGTACACACACTCTCAGTTTATACTCTGAAAACCGTATAATAATAGTTTGCTTCTGGTAAAAACGAAGGTTTCAATCAATTCTCTTGAGCATCTTCTTTTGATAAAACGTTTTTATTCTTGGTGAAGGGGTGGATGTTTTCATGTCAGAGAGACAAGGATGAAGAAGCAAAATTCACACGAATATTCAAATTCAATTGATAATGACAACTTTATTTTCATTTGTGTTGTGATAACTCTATTAGCAATAAAGGTGAAATAAAATAATGCAATCTTATATTTAAGTAGCAATCTTACTGTTGTCAATGCTTGATGCAATGAGCTTGGACATGTGAACAATATGCAACAATTTTCAATAACCGCTGCTACAAATCTTCTTGAAATGATCTTGGTTTTCATACAAATCTGTCAAAACAATTTCGGATTAAAAAATGGACCAAATGGAACTTATTATGTATTGCGAGGAGTATGGTTTTCGCAAGTGAGTCGTTGTGATACATGATGAAGACAAATAACTGTCAGAAATGCATAATGCAAGAGTAGAGTCAGAACATGTTTCAAATACAGAGCAAAGATATATACTTTCGTGGGTAACGATATTGACCCATTTGAAATGTCGAATTATAAAATAATAGAAAATTTTATAATATTATTAAAGGTATCGGGTCGTGATCAGGTGTGACATCTTTCCGGTTCATTGTACTATCAAGTACAGAATTATGATCAAGGACCTGAGCAAAAATGATTGTTTCACTATATGGTCGTACTGTCTTTATCCATGTATCCTGAGAAAAAACAGCTTCGATCAAACTGAATAATTTTTCCAAAAGCCTCCGAAAGCCTCCAAGCTTTCTATATTGCTTCAGAGGGGGGTTTGTCCAAGTCAGGCACGGGACCCCAGTCGTCTAAAGTCCCGCTTTTATCTGTGCATAGCTGCGTCGTTTGGGCACGTCAGAAACCTATGATCATGAGTTCGAATACTAGTTCTCTAGGTTTGTTATCACCACATCCGTGCTCGTTGGTTTCACCAAAGGGGTAAACGTCTGAGACCTGCATTACTTCAGGCTTTCCTCCCACATTAAGCTGACACACCGTGATATAACTGAGCGTTAAACCCAAATCAATGACTTTAAAGTAAACCAATCAGCTTTTCTTATAGTCCAAATAGGGCTCCTACTAGACTATGTCCTTTGAACATTCTAGATGTCAATATGCAACACTAGACCCTGGGTCAATATCTATTCAAAGTGACACGAATGAATTGTGAGTTCTGATCCAGAAAGGAAATGAACCAACAACGCCGTTGGCCTCGTATTCGATATGATTTGAAAGAAACGTTCGATTAACACCTTAATGGTTCGCATGTAAACATATAATATGCGCTGTGCTGTAACCTTGTTTAAATCAATCGTGACATAACCCCAACTTTATGTCAATATCTAGTGTATGACCCTTACCGCTTATCCATTGCCTGTGTATATCTTTGTATAAGCCAATCCAGTATATTGTGGTCGTACTCGTGAGGCTAAGAAGAACGTTCTGAACAGCTGTATTAAGTTTAACCAAGTGGCATCTCCTGTCGGCATCATACCAGGACTTTTTCCAGCAATCTATGTATGTACGTGGACCTATAAAATAAAAAGACAACAATTGAAAAGTTTGATAAGAAAAGCTGGTGCAAGTTTCTTGCATGTATGGTTGTTTACAACTTTCTCTATGGTGGCCAAGAGGGGACAAGGCTGTCTCGCCTTCATTTACGACCGAGAGAAAGCGATGAAACCATAACACGAGACGAAAAGTGATAACACGAGCCGAGAAAGCGATATGTGTGTCGCTTTCTCGTCTCGTGCTGTCGCTTTATCGCGGTAAAGCAATATCCCCTCTTGGCCACCATAGGGATCGTAAGGGTTATGGGTCTCTATATCATAAAAGGTATATACCCAAAACAGCAGTAATTTATTGTTAAACCACACCTCGGTATCATTAAGGGGCTGACCATTTAATACACGGATATAAGGGTTGTGGGGGTGGGGGTCGCCATGATGTTGTTTTCTTTGTTTTGGGGGCTCGGGGTATGGGGGTAGTTTTGTTCATTAAAGAGAGCTGAGATTTTTTCCAGTAACATTTCAAATTATGCCTATCGAGGGAATGTTAAAAAATTGTATACACGAAGGTGATTTTAAAACAACCCACGGACTTATGCGTAAAACGTAATTGATTGAATTATAGCCCTATTTATGAGTTGTGTGGGACCATTGCGCCGTCAGCGCGTGGCGGGTCATGGCAATACTCTCTAGTTAAATCAGGTTAAAATCTAAATCTATACTATTCAAAAGAAGTTGAAGAACACCCGATTCACCCGATATGACTGGTTAATCAGCCATGGCTGAATGTATTCCAAAACACAGTCTTATAATTGTTTGTGTTCTTTAATCTGTTTAGAGTAGTAGAAAATGTTACAGTGTGAATGCCATAATACTGTTGTCCGTAAATATTCTTTTTGACATCACGACTGGGGACACTAGAAATGGGCTTAAAACTAGTAATTCCCATAACAGGGGCAATTAAGTTTCCCCAAAAATGCAAATTATCCGCCGACTTTCTGCGAAATACAGTAAAGTAACAGACTTTTCTGTTGTAGTGTATGTGATTGTTGCTAATGGACTACAATTCAAGAAAGTAAACACATGCGTGTATCCAAGCAAACCAAGAAAGCATTCTGTATCTATATCTAACAAAATTATCTACTACGAAAGGTTGAAAAGGTATTGTTTCTCTGCTGAAACATTGGCCTTCATGATTTGCCATGGGATGAACAATAGCATTAACATGCATTTTGTCATCACCATCAGTACGCGAAAAGCGTATCCTGCACCACCGATAACACCCCATCACAAGGACATGCAAAGGTCAGACAAGTGTTCAACTGAAGAAACACTGGGACGACACAGTGTACAATTTAAAATAGGGAATTGCATCGGACAGCATTCTGGACACTGATGCATCAAATTTGAAATTTCTTCCACCTTACTATGACGTTGATTAGGGTAACTCTGATCAAACAGCTTTTCAGCAAGAGTTGTGTAGCGCTTTTTGAAATTTTGTTAGAAAGAGCATGCTCGTTTGTACCCCAAAAGAAACCATGCGTCTTAAGTCCATAGATGGCTATCTAATTATGAGTGAGTGAGTATGGTTTTTATCTCAGTAAACTTGTGAACTCACAGTAAATTGTTTTCACTTTTGACAAATTCCTCTGAACGTTTGATGATACTGATGTAACTATATATGTGGTCACCACAATAAGTGAAGTTTGTTGTTTGGGAAGGCGGGGGACAAAGTTTAGAAAATCAAATGTTTGACAAAATTAAACTTCTTTCTTTTCTGAGATTACAAAATGTCAAGCAAATCCTTTAAGTTTTTGAGAATCCACATAGTATTAAATCAATTTAGCACAATTACTTGCTGTGAGCATAAAGAAAGTCCTTCCTTGATTGTTTAGAGATTATGGTTAATCTTTCAGACAGGGATTTGGTGGTACATTTGCTCTACCTTGCAATATATCTATCTTTGTATGGTTTATTTATGGATTGTTGGAACCTAGTACAAAAGAAGAATGGACATGTCTTCCGGTTTTAGAGCCAAGTCACGGTTTTAGAGTCCCTGGTGACAACATGGTAGTAGTGATTCAGTCAATAATAGGTTGCTAAGACAATGTGACCCGCAAGTGTAACATCCTCTCAACATACGCTGCTATGAACTACTCTACAATATATTCGTGAACATATTGAGATGGATAACATATTTTGTTCATGTGAATGACCGATATATTGTTTATTTTATTTTTGGGTCATTTTATTTGTTATCATCCAGAAAATGGTCTAAAATACATAACATTAAGGTTGTGACACATACCATGACAAGTATCAATGGAGATTAATCTTCTTGTGTGTGAAACGTAATGAAATCATACCTCTATCAATGCAGGCATAACATCTTTCTTTGTTTTGGCAATCTTCATATGTGCTGCTGTGTATGGAGAGGTCCCCATCCCGACGTATTGCATAAGCACAGTAATTATCTTCCTCTTGATCAAATTTAATGTTTTCTACAAAACATAAAGACAAATTATCAATCCAACATAAAGTTTAGTTCATTAGTCCGCTCTCTCACTTTGAATGAAGACTGACATGCTGATGGTAATGACACAATATAAAAGAATTACTATTTCGACACTGATCAAAATATAGTATGCGGCCTGTCACCACTGACCTTTCCACAATATGGAACTGAAGTGTGAAGGGAATGAACATTCAAAGATTCTGAAACAGTCCTGTGCCTCGTGCCACAAAATGATCTCAACTCTACGACGACCGCGTGTTTATGTTAAGTGTGGGTGTTATGAGAGTAGTAGGAAGTTTTAGTGGCTCAGAGATCCCAATTTTCAATTGCTCTACGCCAAAGAAAACCTCCACAAAACAAAGATATACCCTTGATAGTAAAACATGTGGATGTAGATTCCATGGTGATCAGAAATGTCAGGAAATATAAGATAAGTGTCAAATGAAATAAATTATTAATGGCACCAAGACCTGGTAACGAACAAGATAACGTTGTCTGTGTCAGGGGTCTAGGAACCGATCAGAGCATGAATAGCATTATTTCAACAATTACATGGATGGTATGATATCAATGCAGTACATACCTAGCCTATATACTGACATCCCTTGGACGTTTCCACACTTTTCGCCCAAGTTTCCTGGACACGTGTTCTCAGGTGTAATCGAAGTTGTAGTGCTGTATCCTACTTTTAGACAGTAGCACGTGGTTCCCTGTAAATGCGCACAAAGGTAGATGTAATGTCATAATCATTCAGTGTTGCCATGAGTATTTACGCTACATTTGCATGGCATCAAAACAAAACTGTATGGCGAACGTACTGCGCTCATATAAGCAAAGGGAAGATAAGTTACGGTCTATTTCACCTCGTCTCTAAACATAATAGATTAAACAATGAAAACATAAACAAATTGTTATAATATCTATATTTTCATCGGGGTCTCAGGCCTCTGGAAATGATAAAACCTTGGATAGGATTGGGCTTCAGTGATCCTTGAGGCCTAAAAAACTTGTTTTATCATCATAGTACGTTTATGAGTAAGTGAGTTGAGTTTATTGCCGCTTTGAAGAGTAGTTATATCACAGCGTTCTTTTTTGGAATATGGTGGTTTATGTATTGAATGAGAGTGTCCAAGCTATATAACGGCGATCTGAAAATAATCGAGTCTGCACCAGACAATCCAGTGATTGATATCATGAGCCTCGATCCACGCAATTGGAATACGATGACATCTATCAACCTAGTCAGCGAGCCTGACCACCCGATCCCGTTAGTCGTCTCTTGCGATAAGCATGGATTGCTGAAGACCTATTCTAACCCGGATCTTCACGGGTCGTGATGAGAGTGAGTGAGTCTGGTCATAACACAGTGTTTAATGTGTGAGATAAATCTCAACAGATGACGGCTTTAGAAAATTACTACTTCATCTCAGACGGATACAGTGCTGACAAACAAAGGATCATAACCAGGGCGAATATCGGATTCCAATTCTGCTAGCATGCGAGACGCTTCTCTGCAGAGAGAGTCGCGTCGTCTTAGACAACAGGGCTACCACTCACATTGCACTTGAATTAAATTAATACATATTCCGAGCAGTAGTATATGCAGTATCACGGAAGGTGCCATACTACATGTTGCATATATTTCAAATGATGAACTTGGTGAACCTACCTTCATGCCTACTGAATCTTCTGGGCTGCAGTGAAGATGGCACTTCCATACCGAGTTATCAAGAAATTCTACCATTGACTCTGCTGTCACACTCCCCAGGGGAAGGAAGCCAGCATAGGTGTACAGGGGACTGGAATCTTCTGTATGTGAACAATTGAAGGTAATGAACGTGTAAGAAAGCTTTACTGTTCCTACTTCAGGTGTACTGCTATGACAAATCACATACTTCTAATGAGGACATTAACATCATGTATGCTTGTGTGTGATTGTCTTTAACCAATCAAAATTAAACGTTATTGTAATAGTGTAAGGTGTGGCCAGTAGGCCGATATTTTCAATTGCCCTTATTGTACCTGTCCAAAGCCAGGCTAAGTACTGCATGGCACCTATCCAGTAGTCGGTGGCGGGCTGTAGACGGTTCAGAAGGTCTAGTGGAATGTCCTCTGAGCCTGGTGTGTACAACCTGCCTTCTCTCACATTGCATCGGCTTTGTGCCTCCCACCAGTTGCTTGGTTGATCCATAATGCGTATTCGAGAAGTTTCTACAAATTGATTTTCAGAGAGTGAATTGTTTGATAGGCATTACTAAGAAGTTGACGGATGACAAAGTAGACACAATTTATGGATAACAACTTATTTAATTCCTGTAAGGCGACGTTTCGGTATAGATCCTACCTTCACGTCTTGCTTGACAACGGTATAAGAATCTATACCGAAACGTCGCCTTTTCAGTAAATAAGGAAGTTGTTATCCATAAAGTATCTCTACCCGTCAACTTCTAAGTAATGCCTATCAAACAGTTCAAATCAAAGGACCCAAAACATAATAACTTTCGTTTTGACCTTACATATTGTAGAATTCCTATACAATCGTGTTTGGCAGTAATTAAGGAAGTTGTTATCCATAAATTGTGTCTACTTTGTTTCAGAAAGTGATTAAGTATAGCAGCATAATTCGGATATCAATTTTAACTAGCACTCCTTTCTCTTGTATGTCTCTTCCAAATATGTTTAGATTTCGTCAATTATGTCTCCGTTATTAAAAGGGAAATTAAAATAAAAGTGTTTGTACATCTTCATCCATTGTTCAAACCATTGTTTTCTACCGTGCATTGTGACAACACACGCATGACGTCATGCTAACATCAAGTGCCCTCAGTACGTGTTCACATAATAATAGCATGTGATAGCTTTACACAAGTATACGTAGAGATGCAGGTGTACCTGGTTGCCGCTGATGACTAACGGCTGTGTGATTATATAAGAAGCACAGGGTTAGTAAAACACGCGTGACACATAAACGCAATATAGCGACAAGAGAGAATATATGTCCTAAATATCATATTCACTTTTCAGGAGTATTTGTCACTTATATCCTCGCACCCAAACCAAAGACGTTACGATTAATCTGTTAATACCTACTAAAGGCTGCCATCATAGCTTTATAAAGAACATAAATTCGAACGCCATCACAATCAAGAGTCGATCATTTTACCCTGAAATCTGCACGATTTGTCTCTAAAATAGTTACCGATTGATCTCGCGAAACATCAAGTATAAACAGAGTTATTGCGGACGTTAATGTTTCAAGCAGCAGGCCTTTATACAGGTGAGCCCGTGTCTGAAGACATAATATCATACCAAGTTTTATACATAGGGGACAGTTTGTTAGGATCTTAATGCAATGAGAACTTACGTATTCAAATTAAGCATATCAACAATCAGAGCGGGCGTGACTCTGCGAATATTATGTTCAGACTAGGGAGATAAATCATGCATATCTATCTTCAGTAGTGTATTGTAAATTTCGAAGTGTTGTCATTTTGGCATCGATGCATACAGCATGCATAATTACAACTTGCAGCATTCGCTTGATGGGGTGGTATAAACCAAGAAAGTATCATCATATAGTGATTACAATAAATGTCAAAACTTTCATTGTTAACTTCATTGAAAATAATGTTCAAGAGTCAACACGACCCGGCTACCTCCTTTACGAGTTATACGTCCTGCTTCCACCGAGGGGGAACGAGCAATCGTTGATCACCGAAAATACATGTAGTTCTAAATGTTCATCTGGGCATAACAGAAGCAGTGTTATATTATCTAGGTAAAGAGTACTTACGTATTCCCCGGCATATGACAGCTCCCCAACAGACGAACAGCCATGTAAAAAACATATCCGACACTCACTGAGTGCACGGAGTAACTGCATACAGTAGTGTGTCGCCTACAAGGAAGTTTAATTCACTCACAACTGTCGTAGTCAACAGAGCCAGGAAAAATGAAAAAAAAATAATTGTGTTTATGACTGCACTTATGACTCTACACAGGCAGCCAAATAATCAACACAGGCATCCAAATATTCCACACAGACAACCAAATACTGCACAAAGGCAACCAAATACTCCAAACAGGCAACCAAATACTGATACTGCACACAGGCAACCAAATACTGCACAAAGGCAACCAAAAACTCCAAACAGGCAACTGAATACTTTACACAGGCAACCAAATACTGCACACAAGCAGCTAAATAATCCACACCGGCAACCAAATACTCCACACAGCGACAAAACACTGCTCACAGGCAACAAATACTGCACACAGACAACCAAATACTCCACACAGCGACAAAACACTGCTCACAGGCATGGATAGAAGAAGGAAGACGTTATACATATGTGTGTGTGTGTGTGTGTGTGTGTTTCTGTCTGTGTTTGTCTATGTCTATGTCCCGAATGTCAGTGTCTTTATCTGTGTCTATGTCTGAGTGTCTGTGTTTATGTATATGCCGTGTGCCTGAGCGGCTGTGTATGTGTCTATGTATGAGTGGCTGTGTTTATGTCTATATCTGTGCCTGAGTGTCTGTGTCTGTGTCCGTGTCTATGTCTGAGTGGCTGTGTTTATGGTGTATGTCTATGCCGTGTGCCTGAGCGGATGTGTATGTGTCTATGTATGAGTGGATGTGTTTATGTCTATGTCTGTGCCTGAGCGGATGTGTCTGTGTCTATGTCTGAGTGGTTGTGTCTATGTATGAGTGGATGTGTTTATGTCTATGTCGGTGCCTGAGTGGCTTTGTCTGTGTCTATGTCTGAGTGGTTGTGTCTATGTATGAGTGGATGTGTTTATGTCTTTGTCGGTGCCTGAGTGGCTTTGTCTGTGTCTATGTCTGAGTGGTTGTGTCTGCGTCTATGTTTGAGTGCCTGTGTCTATGTCTGTGCCTGAGTGTATGTGTTTTTGTCTGTTTCAGTGTCTGAGTGGCGGTCTGTGTCTGTGTCGGTGTATGTGTCTGAGTGTCTGTGTCTGTGTCTTTGTCTATGTGTGTACCCGAGACACTGTGGCTGTTTCTGTGTCTTTGTCCGTGTCTAAGTATGTGCCTGAGACGCTGTGGCTGTTTCTGTGTCTATGTATGTGCCTGAGTGGATGTGTCTTTGTCTGTTTAAGTGTCTGGGTGGCTGTGGCTGTGGCTGTGGCTGTCGCTGTGGCTCTCTCTGTGTGTCTGTGTTCTTGTCTATGGCTGTACCTGAGTGGTTCTGGTTGTTTCTATGTCTGTGCCTGTGTCTATGTCTGAGTGTATGTGTCTTTGTCTGTTTCAGTGTCTGGGTGGCTGTGGCTGTGGCTATGTCTCTTTCTCTGTGTCTGTGCCTATGTCTGTGCCTGAGTAGGTGTGTCTGTGCCTATGTCTGTACCTGTGTCTATGTATGTGTCTGTGTCTATGTCTATGTCTGAGTGTATGTGTCTTTGTCTGTTTCAGTGTCTGGGTGGCTGTGGCTGTGGCTATGTCTCTTTCTCTGTGTATGTGCCTTTGTCTGTGCCTGTGTCTATGTCTGTGACTGTGTCTATGTCTCTGTCTGACTGTATGTGTCTTTGTCTGTTTCAGTGTCTGGGTGGTTGTGTCTATGTCTAGGTCTGAGTGTCTGTGTCTATGTCTGTGCCTGAGTGTATGTGTCTTTGTCTGTTCAGTGTTTTGGTGGCTGTGTCTGTATCTGCGTCTCTTTCTCTGTGTATGTGTTCTTGTCTATGTCTGTACCTGAGTGGTTCTGGCTGTGTCTATGTCTGTGCCCTAGTGTATGTGTCTTTGTATGGGTCTGGGTCTGTGCCTGTGTCTATGTTTGTGTCTGTGTCTATGTCTGTACCTGAGTTTCTGTGTCTGTGTCTATGTCTGTGCCCGAATGGCTCTGGCTGTGCCTATGTTTGTGACTGAGTGTGTCTATGTCTGTGCCTGTGTCTATGTGCCTTTGTGTATGTGTCTTTGTCTATTTCAGTGTCTGGGTCAATGTGGCTGTGGCTGTGTGTGTGTCTCTCTCTCTCTCTCTGTGTCAGTCTGTGTCTATGTCTGTGCCTGTGTGTATGTGTCTTTGTCAGTTTCAGTGTCTGGGCGGCTGTGCCTGTGGCTGTGGCTGTGGCTGTGGCTCTTTCTCTTTCTCTGTGTCTGTTTCTGTGTCTATGTCTGTGCCTGGGTGTATGTGTCTTTGTCTATTTCAGTGTCTGGGTGGGGTTGTTGTGCCTGTGTCTCTTTCTTTGTGTCTGTGTCTGAGTGTCTGTGCCTGTGTCTATGTCTGTGCGTGAGTGGCTGTGTCTGTGTCTGAGTGTCTGTGTCTATGGCTGTGCCTGAATGGCTCTGCCTGTGTCTTTGTCTGTGCGTGAGCGGCTCTGGCTGTGTCTATGTCTATGCGTCAACTTGAACTTCAGTATTTAGTCGTTCAGTAGAGTGATGATATTCATGTGGGGCTCAGCAAAGTTGTTTTGTATACGTATGACTCAACCAGGAACAGATATGAGAATACAATTCTATATGGGAAACGTATCTGCGCAATGACGCCCATTCACGTGACCCTGTGTGAGTCATAAGTGAATGTTCTTTTGCGCCGCAGTCAGCGATAACCTCACTATATCACAGCTACCTGTAAATAATTGAAACTGGATAAGAGTAGCCGTGGTTGTGCGTATGTCTGTGTCTATGTCTGTGCCTGAGTGGCTGTGTCTATGTCTGTGCCTGAGTGGCTGTGTCTGTACTTCAATATGTAGTCGTTCAGTCGGGTGACGATATGCATGTAGGGCTCGGGGTAAAATTCAGCAAAGTTTGTTTGTCCACTTGTGACTCAACCAGGAACAGATATGAGAATAGTTGAAAACAAGAAGCACAGTAAACACAACTCTATATGGGAAACTTATCTCTTCAATGACACACATGCCCCTTTGTTAATCATACGTGAATGTTCTGTTACGTCGCAGTCAGCGATAACCTCGCTATATCACAGCTACCTGTAAATAATTGAGTCTGGATCAGACAAACCGGTAGTAAATATTATGAACAATGTTAAACGCCGTCCAGTGAGATGACACACAATCACTCAGGCAACCAAATCTAACTAACCAATCATTTGAGCCGCCTCTTACAGCAAACATAACTACCATGGGCCAGTTGCACCCCGGATGTCACACGGGTTATGTTTAATCACGATCAGTGTTATCTGAATGCCTTGTATCAGTACAAAGAGAAAGCATTGTTTGTTTAGTGGACCGACTGCAATATGGCAAAATGTATCTGAGGGTGGTTAAGACGTCGCAATAGCTTTACAGAGTTGCATCCTTTTACCGTGCCAGGATCCGCTGTTCGAGTATCAGAGTCGCTCAAATTATGACCTATGACCTGCATCCTTTTTTTCTATGTAGTTAGTTGTGAATGGTGTAGTTCGTACAGTCTTGTCATATTCACACGCTTCTCCCTGCGATCACAGAGAACTCCCATCAAAACGACGTTGCGCCCAATTCTCTCAGGACTCAACTGTAGTTAAGAACCCGAAAATGTTATTTGTGCGGCAAATCGTCTTGACACTGTTTAGTAATTTACGAATACCATTGAATCAATTACAGGTTCCTTTATTCAAATATTCAGCTCGTCATTTTTAGCGTGTCTGATGTGTCAACAACGAGTAGAAGTATTTCCAAGATTGTAGTGCGCTTCCAGTACCATATTCGAGGTCTGTCTTTATCGAATTGGGCGTATTTATACAAAACAGTACAAAACTGCAATATTCACTCACCCACTCATTCATTTCTTCTTAAAATGATCGGCTATATTTTTCTTCATGATTCTAAACGCTGACACGCTTCTGTAAACAGCTGGCGACTACTGAACAAGCCTAAAAGTGTATTACACTATACACTGAACAAGCCTAATAGTGTATTACACTATACACTGAACAAGCCTAATAGTGTATTACAGCTACACTGAACAAGCCTAATAGTGTTGTACACAATACACTGAACAAGCCTAAAAGTGTATTACACTATACACTGAACAAGTCTAATAGTGTATTACACTATACACTGAACAAGCCTAATAGTGTATTACACTATACACTGAACAAGCCTAATAGTGTATTACACTATACACTGAACAAGCCTAATAGTGTTGTACACAATACACTGAACAAGCCTAATAGTGTATTACACTATACACTGAACAAGTCTAATAGTGTATTACACTATACACTGAACAAGCCTAATAGTGGTTAACAGCTACACTGAACAAACCTAATAGTGTTGTACACAATACACTGAACAAGCCTAATAGTGTATAACACTATACACTGAACAAGTCTAAGAGTGTTTTACACTCTACACTGAACAAGCCTAATAGTGCATTACGCTATACACTGAACAAGCCTTATCGTGTAGTACATTAAACGTCGTATCCCAATTGCGTTGATCAATGCTGAATGCATCAATCACAAGATTATCTGGTCCAGACTCGTTATTTACAGACCGCCGTCATGTTGCTGGAATATTGCTGAGTGCGGCGTTAAACAACAAACAACCAACAAACACTATTTGCAAATTGTTTTCGATCCCGGCCGTTAAAATATCGTACTTGTTGTTGCCATCCATCCATCCATCCATCCATCCAGACAGACAGACAGACAGACACACACACACACACACACACACCACTTCACGTGTCAGTTGAAGTAAACTACCGGGCAAAAGAAAGTTTTCACCAACTTCACTTGACCAAACACCGAGAACAAAAGGCATATGTGAGACTTATGATAATTAATTTATGAACAGAAATCATTTTCCATGAATTAGAATGAAAATGCCGATATTGCATTCTCTGCAATACACAAAGAAAGGGTCAAGGGGTCAAATTTAATAATTACACAAATCAGAGTTCATTGAAAAAGTGCATGAAGAGTCCATTAATGACACAGTAGTCAGGTAACACGTCATCAACAGCGAGTGTGACCACCCTGGACATCCATGCACGCCAACACATGCATCCTCATTGACGTCGTCAGTCGGAGGATAACGTCAACAGGAATCCTGTTCCATAAGTTCAATAGAGTCTATTGAAGTTCCTGTCGCTTCGCTGGAGGCGGTACATGTCTCAGCTGACGATCAAGATGATCCCAGATATGTTCAATGGGGTTCATGTCTGGAGAACAAGGTGGCCAGGACAATACGTTGACGTTAACGTTGTTCAGGTAGTCTTGAACAATTCGGGCGGTGTGAGGCCTTGCGTTGTCTTGTGGCAAAATTAATCCTCTTGGCTGATGTTGAATAAAGGGCACCACAACAGGTCTCAACACTTCATCCCTGTATCGCTGAGCATTCAGGTTTCCTCGGATGATAACCAGCCGTGTTGTAATCTGGCCACACATGCCACCCCATACCATGACGCCTCCACTTCCAAACAGCTGAACTTCTCTAATGCAGTTTGGCGCCAGTCGCTCTCCCCTTCGTCGAAAAACTCGAAGACAGAACCGACTTTCATCTGTAAAGAGCACTCTCGCCCAGTCACGTCGCTGCCCAATGCAGTCTGCGTTGACGGTGTAGACGGAAGGTTCGGTAGGGTCGTATACCAGCCGTACTAAGTCGTCGAAGGACTGTTCGTCTGCTGATGGCATGCCCTAGTGCTGTTGTCGCCGTTGACGTCGCCGTCACACATCTGTTTCGGAGGTGAATCTGCCGGATGTAGCGATCGTCGGCCGGTGTTGTCACTCTCGGTCTTCCCGATCTTGGCCGGTCTAGAGTCTGTCCTATCTGTTGGTAGTGGATTATCGACTTGCTTGCTGGGAGCAGTTGAAGGTTCTGGCTATCAGACGTTGAATAGCCCCCATATTGGCCACACCGATCGCTCTGTCTCGTTTTGCTTGTGTAAGTCTGGGCATATTCTTGGTGGTTTTTTGCTTACTTGAATGCCTGCTCTGTCCAACGTCGGTATTTATGCCACAATCACGCAGGTGCATTTGGACCAATGTCTCACGTTTTGCACGTTTTCAACAATGCATGATTTAGAAAGCTGCGTTCGAAAATCTGCGTTGTGGTGGTGGTCATGTTGCATTTGGGCGAATGTTTTCTGCGGGGGTTCAAACCTGTACCAGCCTTTTTCTTTTTATACAACTATTTTTAAAGTGAAAACTTTCTTTTGCCCGGTAGTTTATAAATGACAGAACACCAAAAGAAAGTTAAAGAAATAATTTATTAGGAAGTGAAAATAATCAAAAGCAAAACAAATTACATTATTCCCACTAAATTCTAAGTACCTAATCCTATTACTCTACTACTAATACTAAATACAAACCTAATAATAATGCTGATACTAACCTAATACTAATGCTTCTATTACACTTCTACCAAAATATTACACTCTTAATACTACTACTAAGACTCCACCACTAATACTAACACTAATACTAAGACTAACCACTAATACTATCCACTAAACTACACACTAACCTATACTCTGATACTACTAATTACATATCTACACAAACAAATGCTAGTACAATACATAATACAAGTTCAGGTTTCACACAATGTTTCAGGTCACACTTTAACTGTTGATGATTTACATATACAAGGTATTTTGTCTAAAAACAAAATTTAGGGTTGGTCTACATGTATTATGACAACACAGGCAGGTTCATGATAATATGTACTCATTCAAGAAGTGTCGTTTATGACAAAAGTTGTGTTGATCTCGTCATAGTTGGTACAGTTGTCCACCATGACAAAAGAGTTCATAGACTTAGGTCGAGGTATTGTCTACAACAGTTCATATTGTGAGATATAGTATCCGTCACAACACTTTCATACCCTACCTCGATGACAACATCCTCGCTTGTCACGTCAGACGGTCTCCTGTTGTATATCTGGGCGGTTACTCGTTTATCCCCAGGTAGAGACATGCTCGATGACCTACTGTAGATCTAATCCGACTACTCCACCGTGGGACCATGGGACCATGCAGCACTATGAACGGTTTTTAAGTGCAAGGTTTTAGATTGTCTGGCATCTGCGTCAATCGAACAGTGACAGTTCAAAGACATGCCAAGATAAACAGAAATTCAAAGAAACAACGTCATAGGCCGCTTGCAGGCAGGGGAATCCCGATGAGCTGTCGCCACGGTTTTCAGTGTAGCGCCCAGCACCATCACAAGGCTATGGGGCCGGTTTCAACAGCATGGGTCAACACATGATCGGCCAAGGTCGGGACGACCAAGAGTAACAACCCCCGCCAAAGATCGCTACATCCGACTGCGCCACCTACGTCAAAGGACGACCACAGCCACCTCAACCGCATCCCAAATACCCGGACTGCGCAGAATCTCCGACCAGACCATACAAAACCGTTTAAGAACAGTCCTGTTCGACGCGTCATATTGAGTCAACAACATCGTCAACAACGACTGTATTGGTGTCGTCAACACAGGGTATGGCCTCAACTGCGATGGAGAGATGTCTGGTTCAGCGACGAATCAAGATTTCTCCTCCGTCGAGGGGATGGAAGAGCACGGGTCTACATACGTCGGGGAGAACGTTACGCCGGAGACTACGTACAGGAAGTGGAAAGGTTTGGTAGGGGTTGCGTTATGATGTTGGCGACTATCTCTCATCATGGCTCGACAGGTTTGGTCCATATCCAGAGCAATCTTACGATACATCAACGACATCCTCCTACCACACGTCCCCCCAATTGCAGCCAACGGCAACGGTGTATTCCAGCAGGACAACGCTCGCATACAGCACGGATCACAAGAGCCTGTCTACACAACAACAACAACGTTCTCCCCAGGCGTTCCAGATCCCCGGATTTAACCAGATATTACACCTGTGGGATGAATTGAATAGACTGCTACGCCGACGTCAACTACAACCCCAGACGTTGCAGCAGTTGGCTTTTGCGTTGCAGGCCGGGTGGGCTACCATTCCCCAGGATGTGATTCGCATACTCGTCTCTTCCATGGCCGCTATCGATTCCAACGGGAGACATTCACGTTATTGATGGTAGCTGACCTTCACCTTGGGCTTTTCCTATGCACCGATAACTGAGATAACTACAATCGCCAAGTGTTCTCTCTACAATGTTTTGGCTCAATACCCTGAACGGTTCCTCGTATAAATGCATTTTCCTAACTCACACAAATCTGGCTTTGCGTTTCTTTTTTTTAAAAAGTATGTGTATGTAGGTTATTGTAAGTATTCCTGTGTGCCCTACGCCTCTTGGATTTCAGACTCATCAATAATCTGAGGGGTGTTGATGTAGGTGTTGTCACTGTGAGTATTGGGTTGGACCATCGCCGTTGCTCCATCAGTTGTGTCCGGATGTGTTATGACTGAATATGTTCCGTCTTCTGTTTGTGTGTGAGGGGCTAAACCGCAGTAGGTGCTTTCTGCGGCTGAAGTGACGTGTATTGGCCGATTCCCACCTTTTGTCTCAAAACACAGTTTCTTTTGTCTGAAACACCGAAGTGTCAACACGAAAATCGGTGTGGCAGAAAAACATTGTATTCTGGGTTGTGAAATTTCTTTTCCTTTAACAACATTGTTGTTGCTTAGGGAACGACCATTCAGTATTCTCTATTGAGTTTATCGAAATGCATAATTTGTCCCCGAAGATTATTGAACATTATGCTTCAGACTGTAGCAAAATAACAATTGCCTGCCTCAACGTTGTTGCCATAAAAATTCTGGCCCATAGTTCTACACCCCGGCCCCGACCCCGGGCCCCCAGAATATCAAATGGTCCGTCCTTTAGAAGTCAATTCTAATTCCAATTACCAAAGAAGCCAAAGTTCCAAGCTGGCACTGCATTTGAGATGAATGTATTTTGAATTCCCTGTACTGTATAATGGTTTTTCATAGAATAAAGAAAAGGTACCCTCCAGGTATATCCGTACTGGATATTTTACGGATTATGTATATTTTATCTTCTTACCCCCTCATTTACATTTATTGAAAGTATACCTTATGGGAGTAAGGCATAAATAAAGTGGCTGTGCACACAAAATTTCAAAAGTTTCAGCCACAATATCAAATGTAAATGTGTGTTCTGACGTGAACAAAATATAAATTATTGTCATATTTATCATACAGCAACAAGTGTTCATTTGAAATCATAGTAATATGGAATTTAGTTTGTATGCAGTCAAAAAAATTGACATTTGCAGTCATTTTTACAAAAAACATATCTGACCCCTAATATGATTCTACACAAAGAATATATTATTTTTCCTATAGGGATATTTCGATGGGAAGTTTACTCAGTTTTACAGTTTATTGTCAAGTGAGTATCTTCTCACCTTCTCAGCAGGAAGACTACAATAAGGACTGCAAGAACAACAAGGACCACGCTTCCAACACCAAGTCCTATGAAGCCACCTGCATCTGAATAGAAAATAAATGTATTAGCAGGGTATTAATTGCAATCAATTTGTGGGAGTAGAGGTGTTTATGTATTTCCTTCTTATTATCGAAGGTCTGATTCCCATAGCATGCTTAGTTTTTGGGTGCCATTGTACCAATCTTACAAACTAAGTTCACCATGTTTTTTAGCCTGCTTAAACCATTACCTAACATTATTTCTTGGTGTGCTCGTAAAAATTTACTGCGGTCACCCCGAAATCCAAAATGGCGTCCAAGATGGCCGCCCAAGTGGGAAAATTTCTCAATGCACTCATTACTCTGACAAAACAATAACAAGTCAGTTTTTTCAAAATCAGAAATGCATTTATAGGTGCACATATACATTTGTAATGCAAAATAATTCAGAATTCTGCAAAAAAGTACTTTTATAAAATTAAATAATGAATTTTGTAGAAAAAAATGCAACATATTTACATATCTGAGATTAGACACAAACTCAAAGGAAAATTGTTTTTAAATCAAAGTCCATTTTCATGATGTCAAAATGTTTCACACTCAATAGTACTGTATTTGATTCTGTAAATGATGTTTGAAGAGCTTTAATGCATTCAGATGCATCATTTTCATTGGACAAAGTTGATTCAGATATCACTGTCTGTGTCTGAAGATGAGTTTGACTCCATGTCTGAATCATGGATATTGCCATCAGGTATTTCAACTGAAGAATCTTCTGAAGGAAGTATGTCCACTTCAGCACCAGTATTTCTTGACTTGTTCTGGCATCCTGAGACACAAGAACACAGTCCTGTAAATTTCAGACTGTTCTTTACACATCCACACCTCTTTGTTCGGCAATCACTTTTGCAGCTGCAGCTGGTCATTGCTAGGACTGATGACAGTGCTGGTTGTACATCCATCCATTTAATTTCCAACTTTTAATCTGCAACAAACCATCCATGTCCATTTGGAGAAGGTGGTTGCTGGTCCTGTTTCAGACAATTTCTGGAGAGGAATGCTTGGTAATTAGCACGCTGTACTTTCTTTCTCAGAACATTCTGGCATGGAGGCAGTTTCTCTGGATCTGATGTACCTGATCCAAACATGATTGTCCGCAGTGTATTTACACTGTATGTCAAAACCGGATTCAGATGTTTGGTTCTGGAATTGAAGCTGTAGAAGATGCAAGTTTCTGCTTCACACGATTTCAATAGATCGTCAGTTACTTCTGAGCTTTTTCCTAGTGAAGCCATTGCATTGCAGAAGATTGCATCATTTTCAAGAAGCCAGAGTATGCCCATTTTTCCTTGCCCTTGAAGGCACTAGTACTATCGCAACCAGTGAAAGGATGAGCTCCTAAAAGACCTTCACATGCATCTTCTCCAAGAGTCCTTCCAATTCTTTTAAGATCCAGATAACGTGATTTGGATCCAGAACCAGTGAAGAAAAGGCACTTCGTTTTGATCCAGTCCAGTCCACACGCAGCTGTTGCTAACACCATGACATCTGTGTCCGGTGAGTGAATGATAACAACATCAGGTTCGATGTGATGCATAGTGTGCGTGAAGAATAAGCCTCTGATCAGCTTCTTCCATCCTGTATATCAACTCTGGAATTTCTTGGCATTCCATCCGTCCAGAGGACACACTGAAGGCATAACATTTATTTGCTGTTGTTGCAAACAGAGTATGATCGCCAATTATGGATGCATACTTGTGACTCTGTCATTCTTCAGCTAAAAACTGTGTCAAAGATTCTTTGAATTGACCATCTCTTAGAGCTTTTTTAAGCTGTGTATCTACCTTCTGATCCCGGCTGTTTATTGTAGTTGCAAAGCTTTCTTCTGCAGACAGCAAGCGAGACTCATGTTCAGTATATTCTTAATTGACATTTCTGGATATGTATCTGCTACCCAATGCACAGATGCACTTCTGCTTGTTGAAACATGTCTCAAGATCATTTTCATTACAGCTTCAGCAAGGTCACCAAATGTGGCAATCTTAGCAAGTTTCAATTGCTGAATCTGTGCCATAGCATCTACAATGATGGATTGGTGTGTCCTTCGGCAGGGAGTCTCTTCTTGTTGAGTCATCTTTTCTAATTCGTGCATGAGTACAGACTTGGAAGTCTTAGCCAATTTTCCTTCAGCAGTTGCTAGAGAATATGGCAAAGGCCCGAGTGGAAATGCCATAACTTCATCTATTGATAAACCTCTCTCCACAGCTGTCTCGAGTTTTTGAGTCTTGTTGTTTGACTTTTTACTGTTGTTTTCTTTTTTTTGTCATTAAGGCAAAGTTCTGCAGACCAAGTTTTGGCCATGCATCATGGAAACTCTTCTTTACCTGAGTTGTAGGAGTCTGAATTGAACTCACCGTTTGAACGTCCTCATCTGATGAAGAAGTTGAAGAACAGGTTTCTTCTCATCTCTCTTTCACAAAGGTCACAAGCGCAGATTGTCCTTTATCATGGGCATGAAGCATATCTCTTGCAACTTCTTCAGTGGCTTGTCTACCAGATGAGATGTGACAAAGTGGTCCTTCACCTACAAATGGATTGTTCCATTTTGTTATTGTGTTCATGATGTGCTGCACTTTCTCTTCATCTTCTCTGACCCGTATCTTGCCTGCATCATCAGCAATGAAGGGTTTGTCTTCCTCATCCCCAGTCAGAGAAGTGCAACGTCTCATAAACTCAGCTCTCTGAGTTGACAGGATTTCCCATTTCCGTGTTGCTGCTGGTTTCATGCTGATATCTGCTACACCTCCTGGAGCCTTAGAATCTATGTTAACACCCATTTCAGTTTCTTGGTCAGCAGGAACTCTGCCAAATGTTTGTTTTTTACTCTTCTGGATGGTGAAGAGGGATCCATTAAGAAGCTGCTCTTGGCAATCTGGGTGTGTGTTTTCAAGGTTCAGCATCATGAGCAGGTACAGAGGTTTGTATCGTCCATATACATTTCTTCCACAGGCAATAAACCAGAGGAGCATTTCAATTTCAGAGTGTAGACTTAGTTTCCAGTCACCTGTTCAAGCAGCTCGCACATGCCGCAAGAGTATCCCAACCATTTCGAGATACATTGACCAGAACTTTCCATTTGGTCCAAGAGATTAGATGTATGAGTTGTAGAGTGACAACACAAATCTGAAGGTGTCTGAGGTTGTTAGAGTGGCAAGTCTCTCAGGTGACATATCATGAGGAATACCATCAATTTCAGACTTCAAGATTTCAAGACATCTTCCATGATCAAGGTGTTTGACAAAAGCTTCAAAACGAAGTCTCTCACAAGCTTCAGCAACAAGGCATAGAACCCACGCTCCCAGTGCTCTCCTTGAAGGACCTTGTCAACTGATCCTTCTGCCAAAATTCCTGCCTCAATGAAGATGTCACGCAGTCCAGCACTACCAAAGAGGAAACCAGCACATGCCATGAACCGCATACTGGTATGAAATGGCCCCTGATGCAACACAATTCGGTTCATTTTAGGATCAGAATCTTGTTTGCTGTGGATAACTTCTATGGCCTTGGTCCATATTCCCATATCAACTACAACTTGGACAGAACAAGAACCTCTGCCATGATCATCATCCATTGTTTTGTCAGTCATCTCAACTGATCTGGTCAGAAACTTATAGATCACACTATGATCAGGGGCTTTGTGGATGGTTTGGCAGTATCCAATTCTGTGAGGCTCCATTGGTGTAGAGGGCTGGGTGGCGCTGTTAAATCCCTTCCATCCTGGGACAACTTGCTCTGATGGTTCGGGACAGCTGCCATACCAAATAGACCTGCCTAGCCTTTTTTGCACTTTTTGAATCCAGTGTAGTCAGCAGTTGAGCAGCATTATTATATCGAGGAGGTTCGGGTCTTTTGCTGATGATGCATGATAGAGACAGAGACATATGGATTTGCGTCCAGTTCGGGGGTGATTCTCTGATTAACCTGTAGGAGGTTCTCGATTAGCATCATGTCCAGGTAATCTTGCTTGAGCCATGTATCCAGTTGTATCATGGCCCTGTAATGATCCTGAGAAATGACCTCTGTTTTTGTAGTCATTGTTGTCCCAACCAAACAAAGAAGGTACATTTGGAACCATTCCCTGTGGCATATGGTTGCCAAGATTGTTCTGAGATGTCAGAATCTCTGCATTTGCACTATACATCTCTTGAAGAAGTGATTTATTTATGCAGTGCTGATGTTTGTTTAACCGAGCTACGAAGACTCTTTTCTGTGTTTTTGAATGCACAAATCTGTTGTGTACAATAACAAAGCAATGTACTTACCGACACGAAGATAATTTTGCAAAAATCAACACATTTTGTCCTCCAGTGGAGTCTGTTTGTCCTTGGCAACATTCTCTGAGACAGCACTTCCTGTACTACTTGCAAGACAACTGTTTATAGGAGTGATTATAAGCATAACCACTTTAAATGTTTTTGTTTTTTTATTTGTTTTTTTAACTGTTCAATGATGTTATTCATTGAATATACTGAATGCATGTATTCGTTTACAGTGCAGAAGATATTTTTATGATGCTATGCTTTTTAATTTCTCACCCTTATTGACAGATGAATTCCATATTTTTGGTCATTATTTGTAGTTTTATGAAACCTAATATACCTTTAATGAATATTTACTGAGCCAAAAGTGGTTAATTTGTATTATCCTATTCCAAATTGAAGTTCTGATTGGTATATCCATACAAAAAATACCCTGTTTTCTATTAAAGAATATAATTAATTTGAACTTGGCATCCATTTTGAACTAGTAATTCCGTTCTAAAATGTTAAATTTGGTGCCCAAACAAAATATATATATATTACACATCAGCTGTTCATGGTCAGTAGTGATTTATGATTAATATTTGATAAACAAATAGGATATATAGTGAAGTTAATAGGTTAGGTAGAAAAGTGGCGGCCATATTGGCGGCCATCTTGGATTTCAGGGTGACCGCAGTGAAAAAAATTGAGCACACCAAAACATTATTATTCCTCATCACATAATCATTCAATCTAAATAGGTGAACTTAGTTTGTAAAGCGGGTACAATGGGAGTGTCAGATATGAGAAACAGACCTTCGCTTATTAGTCTGTTTGTTTTGATGACAGATGCCTTCTATGACAGATACATATTTACAATCAAAGATAAATAGTCTTTTGGATCTATGTTTTTGGTGAATTTTCAGGTATGAGAGTATACTCAAAGAAAACAACGACATTGTTTTATTTCCTTAATGTAGGTCCTTTTCGTAATTATGAGAAATAGTAGTTTAAAGGGGAACAGATTGAGGTGGTACATCCTACAAATAGTTCGGGTTGTTTGGTGCAAAGCACATCTATCTCTTGTTTCACACGCCGAAAGAGCATTGAGCTCTATTTTCAACTACTCCAAACGATTTCGAGGTATTCCGTGTAACACATTGTTCAGAATGTTTTGCCCCATGGTCGTACCTATAGTGTGTTTATGGTTCGGAAATATATGGTGTTAATTATAGAAAGTGTACAAGTAAAATTATGTAAGTGGGTTCTTAGCGTTGGCAGAAGTACAAAAAATAATATGGTTCTGGGTTCTGGAAGGGTTCCACTCTTGCATGACTAGACCAGTAACAGGTGTTGGCATGTTTGATCTGAGGATGGTGGTTGGACATGTATTGAATGTACTGATCCCTGTGAGTGGGTTCACGGAGTACACCATCCAACAACCATCCACAGATCAAACAAGCTGTAATTGCCACCTTCACCCCACAAACGAGGCGCCATCTGCTATCCTTTCTCAGCAAAGACACCTGGCACCTTAATTACACCTTTATCGCCCTCCATGGATATGTCAAACATCCGTTGAAGAAAAACATTTAAAAACAAGAAACCCAGGTAACCCGACAAAAAGAGCCCAACCTCGTCAGCATATCATACCAATGTCCTTCTCATAACAACATCCAACATAAATGTGACATTCAACTTCAACTAGTCACTAAGAGACACCTTACACGCCAATGGTAAAGATCCAGCCCAGTCCACCCTAAACCCTACGGGATGTTTTTATGAAATCTTACGAAACTGTGGAGACAAATGTTTTAGTGAGGCTTTACGCCCAATAGCCACCAGAATAAAAGAAACACCTGACATGAAATCTTCCCTTTCGGAACATCTCATAAAAAACCTGACTGCCATATTTCCTGACAGCAGATTCTCCATTCCAGCTTCAGTCGCTGGAAAAAGAGGTGACTTCAAGAAACTATTAAAATCCAAAGAAGGAAGCCAGCCTTTAACAGAGACAAAGGCATATACCTACCAAGTGTGTACTCTATTGTGTTTAAATCATATTATCAACCACAAATGGACATCGTGATTGCTTTATTGTTAATGATACCATAGTCGTTACAAAGAATAAAATAAGTTATCTATAAAACAAGTGTCGTGTATTCATGCTCTTCCAATTTCTATATGCCTATTAAAGAGTTGAAATAAATCCGTGCGTCTGTCAATTTGCCGTAAAATCAAACTGATTAACATAAATCTCATCTCATCTCATCTAATCTTAATGACATAAGCAAACTAAGTACCGACGAGGAAGATATCAATAACAATAAGCAGTACACACCAGTCTGAGGATCGTACGGAGTTTTCTTTGCATCAGAAGTACCTGCTGGCGATGACCTGTTGCTAGAGTGGTTACCCGGCACAGTGGAAACATCTTCGGACAGAGTGGATGCTGATGATGGGTAACTTGATGATGACGTTGGCGTAACTTTTGTTGAAGTTGTACTTTCTTTAACTGAAAATAGTAATCAAGATTCCTTTCAAAATGAAATTCTCATCTCTGGTGACACCAACTAATGTTTCAATGCAATGGTTGGTAGTACCATGGGTATTGCCTTCATGATGACGTATATTGTGTGTGTGTGACTCAATTATCTCAAACAAGTGATTTTTATTGTAGATTTAAACGTCTTTGTCATTATATTAACAAAGCTATATATTTACAATGAAGACATACGGTGTTAGCAAAATATTGTTCAAGTATTAGCTCTCAATTCGTTTTGTTTTTTGGGCGGGTGCGCTGGTGGGCCGGGATTGGCACGCCTTTTCGCGAGCGCCAGGTGTCGTTGCTGTTTGGTTGTGAATCGTTGGACAACACATGCTTATTTCATGGTCGGAGTAGTGCAGTGGAAGGGGTTTATCGCTTGCAGTACCATTGCACCTGACATGATCACATGTTTACAAATGTTACGTAATATCCAGGCCAATTGTGAATCATTGTCATTGTGACTCCCTTCACCATGACACACTTGACTGCCAACCAAACTTAGATAGCGTTAGGTTTGAATCCATCAAATATGATGATATTATCATCAGGATAACAGTCACACATCAGTTTCAGACTAATCATGTTACCCATGGTCTTAATATGAACCTTTATTTGGGGCTATTGACAAACCAAAATAAAGGATGTTAAACTATTTTTCAGCTGTTTTAGAACAGCTCTAGTAAATGCCTACTTAGAGGTGTACCGATGTAAGTTGCAAACGAGTCACCCAGAGTCATCAACTGGTTACAGTTACAAAACCAGTGTATTGGGACTGAAACGGGAACATTGATCCTGAATTTTTATTAATAATAATACCATTTCCGCATATCCATCTTTGGTCTGAGTCACATGCTATCCAGAATAAGCGCGTGCTTCCGTTGCTCCGTTTGTATATAGTAAGACACCAAGTGTCTGGAAATGTATCAGTGCCATAAATGTAGCCATTGTATTTCAGAGCCGCTTTTTCTGGAAACAAACATAAAAGAAAATATATAAGAAAACCATATTTGTATCAAAAATCTATGTCAGTACATATTCTTTTCTGTTCAATGGCATTTTGATGATGATAATGGGTACAATGAGTCAATTGTCATACCAACAGTTATCTTCCCATGCCCCGCGTTAGTGTGTGTGTGTGTGTGTGCTTTGCGATGGAGCTATTTGTTTCAGTTCACAAATACTAACAAGTCCCACGATCCCTATGAACAAAATGAACACGATCACAACCAGAGCTATTTAATGTTAAATATGAAGCGCAATCACATAAAACATCTCGTCAAACTAGACAGGGAAGGTCAAATATGCCTCTACTTTGAGCACAAAACTTACTTACTGCAAATCATAGACTGAGACTTATCAGTTTGGTTAAACAAAGTCACATCAGGTCACTTTCATACGAAGTACGAAATGTATGTATTCAAGACTAAAACTTCTGACGAAACCTTTTAGACGATAAACCTACTTTTTTTAATTTGAGGTGGACTAACTGTAGAATAGATACATTCTATTCTAATTTGGAACTCAACGCTCAGCGCAACGTTTCAAATGTTGAATATTTCCTGTACTTTCGTCGGTGCTAACACACAGTTGAGACGTAACTTTTATACAACATACGCGAGCTGCGGACATTTTGTTTGGGGAGTGGTCAACATCTCTAGTCAGTTCATATTTCACGGAGAAATGGTTTAAATTGTATAGGTTATGTATAGCGAGGTGTTACGCGTGTTTGAGAAATAATCCTGCCACATCACGTCGGATGACACAAGAAAAAGGTTATACGCAGAATTGAACTGTGGGCTTCTGAGTGACGAATCAATGCTGTCACTACTGGGCCTCCCCTACATCCCCTGATTACTGAGGGATGATTGATGGCCAGTGATAATAATTGTGTGTAATAACAAAAATTAACTCACTCGACGCTCGGAAAAATGGATTATATGTCACTCTTGAAATTAACAATTAAATGTAATTCTAACGTAGCTCGTTCCTTATTTTCCAGTTACTAGCGGTCTTAATTTAATTTAATGTGTGAAGATATAGATTGGAAACTCTTCCCTTATTCTTACCGTTGATCCATTTCCTGTGTACAGGTTTATACAAACCGATCCAGCATCCATAGTTATTCTGCATGATCTTTTGAAGATGATTCTGAACAGGAGTAGTAAGTTTTACCAAGTAGAAGTTTTTGTTGGCGCCCGTCCATGTATACGTGTCATAACTCAGTAAAACGCAACCAGAGCCACCACAGTCATCAGAATTCAGGTCTGAAACAAGAGCAAATATTAAAGCGATTTGTAAGAAATGTTGGTCCACGTTTCATTGCAAACATATGTTCTACAAACATGTACTCGAGTGTTCATGTCAAAAACATCTTGGTTGCACTGCAATAGTCTTTACGAAAATACAACTGGTGTAAGCAGCCCCTAGACGAATCCATTTGTGCACACAGACAATATGGCCTTGATTGATTTCGGTGTTGTTTCCCATGGTCACTTTATTACAATATGAGCTTTTGTTGATAACTTACACGCGGGTCTACAGTTGATTTTGTACAAATACTACATAAGAGAAGTTAAAGAACACCTTATATGACTTCTTTTGAGTTGTATATATATTTGTAGATATACATACTCATCAACTTTATATTTTGCTCAGGGGTATCCTAACTGGGTCAGTGTGTTCAGAAATGTGTTACGGGTCGGATGTAGCCATCAATTAGTGGTAATTAGTTTGTAATTTTAGAAGTTTCAAACGTCTATTCGATACTTACAAAAATAACACGTCAATAAAAGAAGCAATGCAATTATCTTTGGCATATGTCAACGTTATTTACAGGGATCCAACGTAACGAATATACCTTGCAATGTTTTGTACGCATCACAGGTGTGACGTCGTAACCTTCTACACACGGCAGGTTTTTGACGAGGGAAACATTACATCACAAAACATCATCTGTGTATTACTCTGGTTTTACTATATAATTGGACAGTTCACTCTTTGCAGTCGATGTCTGTCGGGTTTCTCGTCTAATATATAAAAATACTACACCAACATAATATTGATACGAATACATAATATTTTGGTATATCAAAATATTTGTAGCGTTGATATAGTTTGTATCTTCTTACCAGTGAGTATAGAGAAAGAAGTGCTCTCAAATAACAACAAATAGATTGCGGTAATGATGTTATCAAGAAACAATAGCCCAACGTAGACTCGATACTGCTGGCTGACGTTCAGAATGCACGAATGTCATTGGGGAATTAACGTTATTGTTCATAGAAATAGCACCGATGCAAAGGCCGTTGTTGCATTCTTTGAATGAGCGAGTATTCCGCTTAACGGCAGTTCTATTCAGTATTACATGTTTTATATCAAGGCGTGACAGCTTAATGTTTTAGGTAAACCTAAATCACTGCAGGTTCTAAACATTCACTACTTCGGTGAAACTCACGAACATGTTAGTTTCTGACAGGCTATGTATCAGATCTAGTAAAAGCCAGTCCTGCCTGTAGAGGGACACAAGTCTACACAGACAGTTGCAGTGCTTTACAACTGGACCACCCGTGCCTTTTATTTCAAATTGGGACATTACGGTTCTACCATTTCTATTTCCACGGTAGAATCCGAGGTGGGTGTGTTCTTGGACAGTTGATTTATCAATGTACATATGGTTTACCAAAGCAGTTAAAGAAAGATCACGTTAGAGAACGACATCACAACCGGAATGCGATCAGGCATAGGAATGACACAAGGAACATACCATCAACATAGGCGGCATATCTTCTAGTTTTTCTTTCGCAATCTCTAGAACTGCTGGTGTAGGTAGTCAGGTCCGCATCGTTTCTCACCACATACGCACATTTTCCACTTCGTTGTTGTGTAAATCTAATGTTTTCTACAACACAAAAATCTAAATGACAGTACATACATTTGAAAATATGATAAGTCTTTACTTTAATAATCGAGCAGTTTTCATCACGAACGTTGAAATTTGCCCTCGAACCCTAAATGTTGGGACAGTTATATTTTGCGTACACCTTTGTAAATGCCATGCTAGTCAGTTGGGAAAAGGTTTACGACAAGCTTACTGTTTCCGATGAATTCACGTTTGTTTGAGTAATCAGATTGGTTCGAGATTGCTAGATAAGGAACAACTCCCAACTTCCCCCTTACAATTCTTACTACGCCATTTACATGGTAGTTTTAATGAAATAGAAATTCAAATTGACAAATAAAGAAAATAAATCAGCTGGGGGGATATTATTTGGCGTCAGTCATGACAGTCATCACTGTTTTTGTGAGTCAACATAATGGTCAATTGGTGGCGGGTTTAACCCCAAGCATGGTTGCGGCAGCCGAGCACAGTGGGGAGCTGTGACTGATGGCAGAGAAAGCATAGAGAGGCGCTCCGAGAACGGTCTTTCGCTGTAAGGAGCTTGACATCAGGGAATAAAATGTATGATTAACTCCTTATACTCATGCGTTGTTATATCCAAAACAGAAGAATAATATCATGACAAAAACATTTACATATTAAAGAATACAGCTATACAATGGCAGCTAATGTGTACTACTCAAAAGAAGTTAAAGAACATCCGATTCCTTCATATTACTGGTAATAGAGAATCGGGTGGTCTTTAAGATTGATGATTCTTTCACATAACTGGTAATATGAAAGAATCAGGTGTTCTTCAACCCGAGTTGTGTATAATCGAGTCCTGACAGGTGGATGATATTAACAATATCCACGCCATTCGGTCGGATACAAAAATGTACAACTAATCCGCACGCTCCAAGTCCCCTATCCCCCGAACACGGCGAACAAGACTTAACATTCCATATTAATCATTGCCCTGGTTCTGCCACTATGCTGGATGATTATGATTCAACAATAAATAGAGACGTTGGCATAGTAGATACCTAGTTTATAGACGGATATTCCATCGACGTTGCCACACAGTTCGTCAAAGTTTCCTGGACACCTGTTCTCAGTTGTGCTTGAATTTACCGTTTCATACCTTTCAGTTAGACAGTAACACGTGTTTCCCTGCACAGATCAGAAATTATGCGTCATTATACATACCAGTCATGTCTTATTTATGTACATAGAGTACATGCATATGAGAAAGCCTGTTCATATTCGTTAATTCGATAAATTTATATTTGAAAGAAATGTACAGAATATGGCATAAAACGTCAATCCTAATGGAACTGACGTCGTGTTTACGTACATTCATGTCTGTCCAGTTGGTGCGTTAGAATCAAAGACGTAATACAAGCTCACATGACCAGAAAAAAAATATCTACAATCTTCTACAGACCAGTTTTGCCCTGGAAATGATCACGTCGTTTACATATAGAAACAATTCCGAGAAATAGAAGTTTATTTCGGTCGTTTCAAATTAGACTGTCAACGGGGTAAAGTGAATATAGCTGTTTCTTCAGATTGTTTGATATGTCAGAGCCAATGGCGCGGTAAAAGTGTCATTCACAGATCTGACATGTTAAAAGAATCAAGTATAAGGAGTCATGCTCAAACAACTTACCCGCATGCCCATTAAAGAGTATAAACTGCATTCAAGATGGCATTTCCATACCGAGTTATCAAGATAGTCCACTGTCCATGTATATGTCACATCGTGCAGTGGAAGGAAGCCAGCATACTTGTACAGTGGACTGTCGTCTTCTGTTTGTGCACAATATAAACAGGCTTGTTCATTCTGGTTGGTTTCAAAGTATTGGATGGCAACATAGAGCCATGGTACTTGATAAATATATATAATAATAAAGATTTTCTTAATGGAAAGTTTACCTCAAACACATTAAGTGTATTAGCTCAGTATGTTAAATGTTATTAACGGAAATGAAAAAGAATATCTCAGATCAATCAAACTCAAGACTTTACTTTATTACTTAGTATAGGGGCGGTCGGGTAGCCTGGTGGTTAAAGCGTTCGCTCGTCACGCCGAAGACCCGGGTTCGATTCCCGACTGGGGCACAATGTGTGAAGCCCATTTCTGGTGTCCCACGCCGTGATGTTGCTGGAATATTGCTAAAAGCTGCGTAAAACTATACTCACTCACTATTACTTAGTATAAATTATAACCAGTAGACAATGGTACAGTGGTTTGTTTCCCTTCTAGTACTAGTACCTGTCCATATCCAGGCTAAGTAGTCCATGGCGCCTATCCAGTAATATGTGTCGGGCTGTAGACGCCCCAGAATGTCTGGTGGAATGTCATCTGACCCAGGCGTGTACATGTTGCCTTCTTCGAGACTGCAACGGCTGTGAGCATCCCACCAGTTGCTTGTTGCATCGCTGACACTTATCTGATCCGTTTCTACAAAAATGAATTTTAACATATTGAATATTAAGTATACCAATATATAGATATCGTTTATTTGTCTGATACAAGGCATTCCGCAGATTTCTTAAACGAGCCGAGGGTGTAGGACATACTTTCAATGTCAGTGTTGATTTTGTTGAAGGTTCTGTACAGAAATGCGTGTCAACCAAGCGCAGTGCTATATCAAATTGGCTTTCAGTGCGAAAACTGCAGCTGTATGCAGTGTGTTGTGCATGTGTACATGAACAGCAACCCCGCAGAGTCCTTCCCTTGGATGAAGTCGGCGGGCCTGAAAAGTGAATCAGGAGGCTTTCTGCTTGCTGCTTGGAACAAGTATCTTCCCACTAGAAACCGTCAATGAGTAAATATGAAATGTAGATTATGCGATAAATTTAATGAGACTGTCAAACACGGTGTCAACGGATGCCCAGTTTCGACACATACACAGCATCTTAAGCGACATAATGGAGTGGCTCGATCGCTATATTACCTTCTTCGCCATACCTGTGGTTTTGACACAGAGGTCCATCCATGCTACAACCCAGGATATTAAAGGGCGTCAAGGACAATAATATATACAAAATACTTTGGAATGGGCCGGTATAGAGCCTCAGACCTACCCAGGCCAACAACCCTGATATTGTCCCATTTGATAAATCTAAGGAAATAGTTTAGATTATAGAATTTTTTGTCCCCTTTGACACTAATGTGATTTATTAAGACTTAAGATATTGTATTCGGTATTTGAGCCCACATTGTACAGTTGAAATTTTCAGTTTCATTTGTTTAGTCACGTGATATACATGATATATAAACTATCTGACAGAGAATATATGTTTCAACAATATGGCTAAATAAATATTAATAAGATTCAGGAAAAACATAGCAAATATGCGGACCTCTCTTTCGAAATGTCACGCTTGGATCCCAAGTACCAAGTTGTCTGACTCCCCATTGTCCTCGGTACCTGGCATAGGAGAATGACCGGGTTTGCTGCCAGGAATCTTGGTAATGCAGAAGGTTGCAGTGTGGGGGAGTCTCCACATTCTCCGAAAAGTTCTGGGTGGGTTCGACTTGGCAGCGCTTCCTTGGAGAAGTCCCATTCGCTCTATGGCATGCGTGTAGAGGGGGCAAGGGACTTGGGCTGATAATGAACCTAACCAGCCTGTCTGTGTCAGGATCACCAAACCCCTATTTGCTGCCTTTATTTATTTTAATCTGTAAATAATAATAATAATCTGTGAACATTGCGGAAAGTGCTGCACACGTGTTTTACACGGCCGCTTTGCAGTAGTTCCCCGGTCAATGGATCAGTGTACACTCGATTTGTATTCTCAGTTCCCTGGGGAGTATACAACCCAAGCTTCCAGTTAGGCGCTGGAAGGATAACAGTCACAGCGTCATCTCATCCTCACGGGTACCCATTCACCGCTGTGTGAACAGGGCATATTTCGAACAAAGTCGCTTTGCTATGGGAAACCACATGTGTTAAATGTGCTTCAGTTTGGGGTAGAGCCGACTTCCTAGAAACTCTCTGGAGTCAAACTCCCAGGTTTAGCTGAAGAAACGTTCCTTTGCACATATACGTAGAAACAAGCATATTGTAGATGGCTAATTGTAATATTGCACCAGGTTAGTAAACCCCACACGGCACATATACGTAGAAACATGCATATAGTTGATGGCTAATTGTAATATCGCACCAGGTTAGTAAACCCCACTCGGAACATATACGTAGAAACAAGCATATAGTTGATGGCTAATTGTAATATCGCACCAGGTTAGTAAACCCCACTCGGAACATATACGTAGAAACAAGCATATAGTTGATGGCTAATTGTAATATCGCACCAGGTTAGTAAACCACACTCGGAACATATACGTAGAAACAAGCATATAGTTGATGGCTAATTGTAATATCGCACCAGGTTAGTAAACCCCACTCGGAACATATACGTAGAAACAAGCATATAGTTGATGGCTAATTGTAATATCGCACCAGGTTAGTAAACCCCACACGGCACATATACATAGAAACAAGCATATTGTAGATGGCTAATTGTAATATCGCACCAGGTTAGTAAACCCCACACGGTACATATACGTCTAATAACAACATCAGTGAATAAGTGTTCTATGTAACATTGTCTTGTCCTGATTATTTTCGACTTACTTCCGTTTCTTCAAATCAATTACATTCCAAAAACTATTCACGCGTTGAAACACATTTCCTTAACCATAAGAAATATCTACTTAAAGCAGTCCATTTTTGGAATCCGCGTTTATCATGAGCATGTGTTTATAAACCACTATACAATAGTGATAATCCAGGTGTTCTCAAGAAAAGGAGCATTTCTTTCCCCACCTGTGATACCGTCACAAACACATGCAAAGGGAAGTCAATTGTTCACCTGACAAAAAAGGCAACATAGGGTAAAAGTTAAAAATAGGAAATTACACACGACATCATTCTTGCCACTGATGCGTCAAATTTGAAAATGTCCCCCACATGGTGCTCTTTGAATTCTTCGTAGAAAGGGAATGCTCGATTGTGCCTCAAAAGTTGTGAAATGTAGACCCCAGAAGTTGGAGCTCCTGGAATATGGCTCGAAGTATTCGGAATGTTGAATACAAAACGTCATCGCCAGAAACGTCCCCCCTCTTGTCAAACAGTCATCATGTGATCACTATCAAGTATGTGAACCTACTTGTGACATTAAACGTAGGAAATACAAATTAAGCATATCAACAAACAGAGTGGACGTGACTGCGAATATTATGTTCAGACTAGGGAGATAAATCATGCATATCTATCTTCAGTAGTGTAGTGTGAATTTCGAAGTGTTGTCATTTTGGTTTCGATGCACACAGCATGCATAATTACAACTTGCAGCATTCGCTTGATCATTACAATAACTGTCAAAACTTTCATTGTTAACTTCATTGAAAATAATGTTCAAGGGTCAACACGACCAGGCTACCCCCTTTACGTATTATACGTCCTGCTTCCACCGAGGGGGAACGAGCAACCGTTGATCACACAATACACATGTAGTTCTAAATGTTCATCTGGGCATAACAGTAGCAGTGTTAGATTATCAAGGTAAAGAGAACTTACGTATTCAAATTAAGCACATCAACAATCAGAGTGGACGTGACTCTAACCTCTTTACGAGTTATACGTCCTGCTTACACCGAGGGGGAAAGAGCAACCGTTGATCACACAATACACATGTAGTTCTAAATGTTCATCTAGGCATAGCAGAAGCAGTGTTAGATTATCTAGGCAAAGAGAACTTACGTATTCCCCGGCATATGACAGCTCCCCAGAAGACGAACAGCCATGTCAACAACATATCCGACACCCACTGCGTACATGGAGCAACTGCATACAGCAGTTAATTCACTCACAACTATCGTCGTCATCAAAGCCAGGCAAAATAAAACAAAACAGATTGTGTTTATGACTGCATGTCACGCATGATTCAGCGGAATACTGAACGCGGGCAACCAAATACTGCACAAAGGCAACTAAATACTTCACACAGGCAACCAAATCGCGCAGACTTGCAACCAAATAATCCACACTGGCAGCCAAATAATCCACACAGGCAACCAAATACTCGATCAGGCAGCCAGGTACTGCACACAGGCAACCAAATACTGCGCACAATCAACAAAATACTCCACACAGACATCCAAATACTCCACACAGGCATCCAAATACTGCACACAGGCAACCAAATACTGCACACAGGCATCCAAATACTCCACACAGGCAACCAAATACTCCACACAGGTAACAAAATACTGCACACAGGTATCCAAATACTCCACACAGACAACCAAATACTCCACACAGGCAACCAAATACTGCACACAGGCATCCAAATACTGCACAAAGGCAACCAAATACTCCACACAGGCAACCCCAATACTCCACACAGGCACCAAATACTCCACACAGGTAGCAAATACTCCACACAGGCAGAAAATACACCACACAGGCACCAAATACTCCACACAGGCACCAAATACTCCACACAGGCATCCAACTACTCCACACAGACAACCAAATACTCCACACAGGCAACCAAATACTCCACACAGGCAGGAAATACTCCACACAGGCACCAAATACTCCACACAGGCAACCAAATACTCCACACAGGCATACAAATACTCCACACAGGCAACCAAATACTGCACACAGGCAACCAAATACTCCACACAGGCAGCAAATATTCCACACAGGTAGCAAATACTCCACACAGGCAGCAAATACTCCACACAGGCAACCAAATACTCCACACAGGCAACCAAATACTCCACATAGGCACCAAATACTCCACACAGGCACCAAATACTCCACACAGGCAACCAAATACTCCACACAGGCACCAAATACTCCACACAGGCACCAAATACTCCACATAGGCAACAAATACTCCACACAGGCACCAAATACTCCACACAGGCACCAAATACTCCACACCCACAAATACACTTTGTCGTCGCTTCATTATCCCATCCTACGATATGATGAGGGCTGCAATGGACGATGTTGCCATCCGATGCAGGATGTTGCGATGCGATATAAACGTGTTGGGGTGAGATTTGTCGATAGAAGTGTTAATCGAGATTCTATGAAAGCTATGTTTCAGTTCATGAGTTTTGTTTGTTGTTTCAGATATTTTGTTCTGTCAAATGTCTCAGTTAGGACACAAAAGGTTACAGTACTGTCTTGGAAACATATTAAAATGGTTGCAGGAGAAAAAAACCATCAACTTCGTATTTACCCAGATCTCTTCCAGGTTAACTATCTAAACTCCTAAACTACGATACTCCTCGATAGGCCTTCCTTAAGCAATCTTGAAAGACAATTGGATGTTGGCGCTATGGCTGTAAGATGTAATGTGGATGAAACTATTTGGGTGATGTGGCCACTTCTGTTTGTGGTACATAATATTTATAACGTCACTATTGAAGCTAATATAGCCATTGGTAGCTATCGGTATATAAAGATATATCAACATGCTATATTGTTGAAATAGGAGACCGACCTGGGTAATGCAGACACCTGTTGTTTACACAACAGCAAGGCCTTATCGAAAACTAATTCATATAAATGTTATCACGTTGTTGGTAAAATAATTTACCTGATAATGTAGGTAATACTTCTTCATTGGCAATATGGGGCTTATATCCAAGTGGTTTAAGCGTTCGCTCGTCACCCTGACGGCTCGTGTTCGATTCCCCACATGGGTAAAATGTGTGAAGCCCATTTCTCGTTCTAATGCTCATTATTCAGCCTTGCTTAACAACGGTGTAACAATCTCTACCGAAACGTCGCCTTTACAGTAAATAAGAAAGTTGTTATCCATAAATTATCTCTACTTTGTCATCCGTCAACTTCTAAGTAATGCCTATCAAACAATTCAAATCAAAGAACCCAAAACATATAACTTTCGTTTTCAATTTATGCATTGTAGAATTTCTATGTAATCGTGTTTGGCAGGGTGACCAATGTGGGATTATTTGTATCAAGTTCCAGAAATGTGTATCACAGGGGCTCAGGTTGTACCGTTTTCCGTACAATGAGCCGACTGCTGTTCATGGGAATACCATAAAGGTTCTACTACACTAAATCAGAACTGCTTGTGACAGTGCGGTTTTCGTAGGGAGCCTTCAGTACAGATCAAGAGACATATGCAGGCTGTGATTGGATGATATTGTGTAAGATTTTTATGTCTTTTAAATGCACATCCATCCAGTAATTAAAACTGCCCATATTTTTCAATATTTGGTGCTGACTTTTTGAACAAGATGACTTGTGCTTTATGTGAGCACAGATATTTTCAAGCAGGTGATATTTGGTGCGGAACTGGGGTTGGTGTGTTCAGCTTCCTGTACTCGGAAAAGGAGCTGGGTAAACTAGCCAAAATTTGTGTTTTTATTGCAGCTTTAAGGCCAGACTGTGCACATATGTAAATGTTATGGCTGTTGAATGCCTAGTTGTTTTTTAAAAAGCTATAACGTTACTATAGAAGTCTATGGGAAAACATTTGGTTGTGTGTAACCTGTAAACGGCTAACGACTCACACAGGAAAAGTGTATGGTTGAACATGGCAGTGAAAGCATCACAATGTAAATATGTGCTGATGTAGACAGCTCGTTCCCGCATGCATGTAACAAGGAAGACATTACACATATGTGTGTTTGTGTCTACCTGCCTGTGTTTGTCTATGTCTATGTCCCGAATGTCTGTGTCTCTGTCTGTGCCTGAGTGTCAGTGTCTGTGCCTGAGTGACTGTGTCTATGTCTGAGTGGCTGTGTTTATGTCTCTGCCTGTGCTTAATTGGCTGTGTCTGTGCCTGTGCCTGAGTAGCTGTGCCTGTGTCTGTGCCTGAGCGGCTGTGTCTGTCTGTGCCTGAGTGGCTGTGTCTGTGCCTGAGTGACTGCGTCTGTGTCGGAGTGGCTGTGTTTATGTCTCTGCCTGTGCTTAATTGGCTGTGTCTGTGTCTGTGCCTGAGTGTCTGTGCCTGTGTCTGTGCCTGAGTGGCTGTGTCTGTGCCTGAGTGACTGTGTCTGTGTCGGAGTGGCTGTGTTTCTCTCTGCCTGTGCTTAATTGGCTGTGTCTGTGCCTGTGCCTGAGTGTCTGTGCCTGTGTCTGTGCCTGAGTAGCTGTGTCTGTGCCTGAGTGACTGTGTCTGTCTGTTCCTGAATGGGTGTGTCGGTGTCTGTACCTGAGTGTCTGTGCCTGTGTCTGTGCCTGAGTAGCTGTGTCTGTGTCTGAGTGGCTGTGTTTATGTCTCTGCCTGTGCTTAATTGGCTGTGTCTGTGCCCGTGCCTGAGTGTCTGTGCCTCTGACTGTGCCTGAATGGGTGTGTCGGTGTCTGTACCTGAGTGGTTGTGTCTCTGTCTCTGTCTATGTCTGAGTGACTGTGTTTATGTCTCTGCCTGTGCTTGATTGGCTGTGTCTGTGCCTGTGCCTGAGTGTCTGTGTCTATGTCTGTGCCTGAGTGGCTGTGTCTGTATTTCAGTATGTAGTCGTTCAGTCGGGTGATGATATTCATGTAGGGCTCGGTGTAAAATTCAGCAAAGTTAGTTTGGCTACTTGTGACTCAACCAGGAACAGATATGAGAATAGTTGAAAACAAGAAGCACAGTAAACACAACTCTATATGGGAAATTTATCTCTTCAATGACACACATGACCCTTTGTTAATCATACGTGAATGTTCTGTTACGCCGCAGTCAGCGATAACCTCGCTATATCACAGTTACCTGTAAATAATTGAGTCTGGATCAGACAAACCGGTGGTAAATATTATGAGCAACGTTAAACGCGGTCCAGTACGATGACACACAATCACTCAGGCAACCAAATCTAACTAACCAATCATTTGTGCCGCCTCGTACAGCAAACATAACTACCATGGGCCAGTTGCACCCCGGATGTCACAGGGGTTTATATTTAGTCACGATCAGTGTTATCTGAATGCCTTGTATCAGTACAAAGAGAAAGAATCGATTGTTTAGTGGACCGACTGCAATGTGGCAAAATGTATTTGAGGGTGGTTAAGACGTCGCAATAGCATAGGGCATTCGACGTCCTTGTGGGTATCTAATCCTTGCCATATTTTTGTGATGGGAGAACGTACTAACCATTGTGCTATCATATGTGAGTAGAGATCTTCGAAAAATTAAGTCTAGTGTCATTGTTCTTAAAAACATCAATAACAATTTCGCAATATTGACTATTTATTGAATATCATGGTATGTACAAACGTTAGGAAGGAGATAAAGGACATCAACGTCCGTGTAGGGAATCGAATCCTCGCAGAATTCGTGAAGGGAGAACGTTCTAACCATTGTCCTATAAATTGTGAGAAGTGTTCTTTAAAACATTAAGCCTAGTGTCATTGTACCGAAAAACAACATCAATAACAATTCCGCAATATTGGTCACGGAACACCAACGTTGCCACGACAACAATGACGCCGATGGAGCTATGCGAGTATGGTTATTCTTTTAAACTTCAGTATATATGAAACATGTCATGGTATCCCAATTACGCTGATCGATGCTCATAATGTCAATCACTGGATTATCTGGTCCAGACTTGATTATTTACAGACCGCCGTCATATTGCTGAGTGCTGCGTTAAATAACAAACAAATGTCCCATTGAGGAAAAACATCATTATGGGGTATGATTTCTCATGTCACTGGGTTACAACCACACTACTTCTCTCAGACCTTTTCACATCCAATCACCTATAGCTGTATTTTCGAAGTGAGAAGAAAAGCAAAATACAATTCAATCCAGAAAACTTTATTTCATTGCATTGTTTTGGGAAACTGTAACAGCAATGTAAGATGTTTCTCCATAACACGTCAGGATATGTAAATCAAGCATGTGAATACATGCCATCACCATCTGTTAGTATTCTACGAACCTATTCCTTGTATCCACATAAAATATATTGAAAATATGAATGTTTTAGTCTTTTCAACCTACAAAAGTAATTTCTAAGAGAAAGTTGCCTCGTTTCTCAACCCTTAGTTGGTTCAACATCTTATAGTTCACTAGAAATTGATTATTTGTTCTTTGAAACACACCAGCATATCGTTTTCTAACCTAAAAACATATTTTGGTGGTGGTGATTTGAGTAACACAAACGGAAGAAACACTAACGTTGCCAACAAGGCATAACTGGGTGAGTGAGTTGGGTTTAACGCTGCTATGAACAGTATTCCAGTTATATCACGGAGTGAAATGAGGGAGGAAACCCAGAAGTGATGCAGGTCTTAAACCTTTACCACTTTGGTGAAAGTACTGAGTGTGGTACTGACAAACCTACAAACATACCAGGATTCAAACCCCAAGGGACATAACTCTGCACAACGAATTGCGTTTCACTAGACAACTGGCCCACCTGTGGCCCCCCAACATAGCATTAAACGTAACATGTCAATAGTAAGCAAGTGTAATTCTTACTTTCTTGATTTTATTAGTTCAAGAGGAATTTGGGATTCTATTTCTTTTGCTGCTGACATGTGGTTGTCTACTTGAGGCTTCTCGGATAACATGTGATGAACCTTCCTGCTTGTACCAGGAAGAAGTTGCTTGCCATAACACAACATTAATATCACAAACAATGTGGATTGCAAAGTAGGCCTATAACACTGCACTTCATCAAGACACAATACAATACCTGGACACTGACAGCAAAGGGAACGGATGGAAGCCCACTCAAAACAAAATCAGTGCATTCAAGTCAACTAATAAACACTGGCTTGAGACCTCTTGTAAATACCTGCAGGAAATACCTTCAGAGTAATGTCCACTCCATTTTAAATATCACCCTAATATCCGCTAGTATCAGTTCGTTTTCATGATCTACTGATTCAGAGCTCAGTAAATCGTTACATCCTATTGTTAAGTATGGTGATCAGGGATCCAAACATGCATCAATACACTGCTGCATTAAGAATGTAGATCACAATAAAGAAAATATCCACACTTCAGGGTCAGACACCAAATTAGTCCAGGGCTTATTTGAGACAAATTGTTTGTTTCCTACAACTGGTTGTTCCACTCATCTTGTTACTATCGGTACAATGTAGAATCTAACAGTTTCAACAGAATTACAAGAATCTGAACTTTACTAGGAAAGTGTTATCCCAAATATAACATTTGTTACATTTGACCACTTTCTAAATCGCATTGTGTTCACAGTTACTACAGAGTCTGTACTGCTTCAAGCTTTCAAAGTTGAAACAGTTATCATTGCTCCAAGAAATAAGGCATTTTGTAAATTTCAAGCAATGTTTCCATGCCAACCCGCACCTAACACTGTGGCAGTCTATGCCAAAGGACTCTGACATTTCCTTGTGTCATCAATTTCAGTCATTTTTCCAATTAACAGAGGAAGCTGTTAAGGTAATTGTCACAAAACATATTTACAATGAACATATCTGACTTACATAATCAATAATAGAACCAATGTTAGAATAGGAAACATTTGAAATGTTATAAGGTTTGCAGACGTTTTACATCATGTAATCATTCTGAAACCTGATTACAAACAAACATATCTTCTATACACGTTATATATTTCCCAACGTTACCTGAATTCGGCATTCTCCTGTTTTCGGCGATCATGTTTCTCGCGTTATTGTCCGAGTGCACTTGTTGTGTCAGAGGTCACCGGATGATATATTCGTCAGCAGGTCACTTCAACCCTCTCGGACAAAAATCGGTTCCATGTGGAAATCAGGTGGATATTCTTACTAAAGTAACAAAAACGTTGTTGAAATATACTCTAGAAACTTATTACCAATCATATCATATTTAAAATTGTTGAAAATCGCAGTACTGAACTTCTTAAAATTCGTTAACCATGTTTGTCAATTATATATCTCGTGACTGACGTTAGCAGATGCCGCGCGGTTGAAAAGATAGAACGTATAATTTTACAGCTCACTAGTCGTACATCGCCGAAAACAGGTGAAACCAGGATACCTGATGTGCCAGGACAGTGTTAAAAAATGATCGTATACTCATAAATATATAGCTAAGTATGTAAAGCAATCTCTTTTACTATGTACAAAGACCTGATATTATACGTAAGTAGTGCTTTCAATGTAAATTGCCTCAAATGTGTGTAAGTGTATGTATATATAACTGAAATGTACATGGGTCTTTGGACCCCCATACATGATTAAAACATTCACGTGTTAATATGGTCGGATGTCAAAGTTGCAAAGTGTTTATTTTGTCGAGTCTCCTCCTAAACCTCTTACTTTTGTTACCTCACTAAATGTTCTGATCGGATTAAATGAAAACTATAGTACGACATATAACTTGTGAGCCATCAAGGAAAAAAGTACGAGAATGGTTCGCGTACCAGGATGCATGATAGCAAGCAGTAAGTATGGCCGGATATACGTTCATCCGGCAATGGAGACTTCTGGCTGAATCACGCCAGAACGCTTTTATTGATAGTCTTCAGAACATCGTGTAACAAACAAGAATGAATAGAAATGAAAATGATACAAGTAATCTGAAATAGTGGTATTTTGAGACTGTACTTCTAAACCTCCACTTATGTGATCCTATTGTCTTGACAAGAATATGTCAACCTAGTTCCGTAAACAGGAAGACAAATAATACAATGGGTCTGTCATCATAACTATATTTTGGGACTTAACATTTACACATCCTGTGACGTGATTCCATTGTCCTCTCAACGCCTCTTTTTGGAGAATATCCTGCTGGCTTGAACTTTCTATTGAATATGCCATAGGATTCTTCAGTCAATCCATCTACATAATACACCCTTCTTTCTTGCAATATCATCAATTCAATCATTTCAGTGTATTCCAAAAGAATACTCATTATTTGTTTATTTTTATAAATGATCATAAACTGTTACCGACCAGTTCGGTCTCAATTATTCTCTTAAAAGTATAGTTTATATTAGACATTTCTAATTGTCCGGTGCAATTCCCTATTTTGACTTGTGAGTGAAGAGTTGGTTGATTGTCCGCGGGATTTCCCCTTACATCATGTTAGGATCACTCATGAATCATGTACCCCGTCGCTGCTATTTCAACAAAACTATTTCTATAACCATAACAATCTATGATCCATTGTACGATTTAGACTACGTCATTACCATATGAATCACGATTAATTAGTATTGATACCAGGTGTTCTGCCTCACCGATGGCACCCGTCACAAACACATGCAAAGGCAAGTGTTCACCTGAACAAACACTGGCACATGTGGTACAGGTCAAAATAGGTAATTGCATCAGACATCACTTTGGTCACTGGTGCCTCAAATTTGAAAATTACCTCCGCTTGACTGCCACAAAACCTTTTAAAGGCCTTGCTATGGCCTTGCTAGCTGAAACCCTGATTAATAACTTTTGAGTCATATTACGCACTTTGTATGTCATGTTTTTATTTGGATTTTCAAATTGACCTACAACGCGTGTGACGTGTCTGGCAGATGTGGTGGCGGGTTAGTTACACTGTTGATATGTCATACTGATGCATCAAATCTGTCGGGTAGCCTATAATCTGAAGCGTTAGCCTAAGCAAGAAACACTAAGCTACACTATTCGAAACCTAATCTATACTGCTGATGTTAACTAATTCATTATACACAGCTGCATTATATTTCCTGAACCTGTTAGAAATGTATTTTATATAATTAACAACATCCCTTTGAACATTTTTTTTCTAGTTATAAACATTACACATAATATTATTTCAATTTAAAAACGTTTATTTGTGCATTCAAAAAAATGAAATACAGTAAACTACGTTTGTAACGAACACGCTTATAACGAACTGGCCGATATAGCGAACTTATTGTTTAGTCTCTGCCGGTTGTTGTACATATGCTGTATATACGCTTATAACGAATTATTACGAACGAAAATTAGTGGTCCCTTCGAGTTCGTTATAACCGTAGTTTACAGTATATTATATATAATGAAAATAAAAAGAAGCTATTCCTGCAAGGAGGAAAATCATAAAACACTTATCGATGTCCAATCATATAACAAATCATGCATTATTCTCAGTTATCAAGACATAAGCTGCCATCAAATATCATAACACACCAGGAACAAATAAATCTTAAAGAATCAGATTCATATGTGCACATAATAGGTTGTCAAAACGGAGCTATTACACCAATCAATAAGAGCTAACTGGTGTTTAGTAAAGAGTATAAATTGTGTACAAGTGCTACATAATAACATTTCTCTATTTTATCAATACTTAGGCATCAGAAATGTCCTTGGCAAGACTGTAAACGTTTTTTTGATCATTTTCATCAGACCGATCATCACCTCCGGGATGTCCATCAAGATTTCCATCGTCTTGAAGAAGACACTTTGTGTTGTAGTAGTCGGCCGTGTCTCTGTCTTCCTCATCGACCTTAGTGGCGTGGTCGTAGGTGTCATCAGAACATCCTTCCGGTTGCCGTTTACTTGCAACATCATAAGCATCCTCTTCACATTCAGTGTTTGTCCTCTGAATGTGACGGTAAATATCATCCACTTTGCTGGGATTCTTACACTGCTGTGCAGTGTCATAATCCCCCTCGTCCGCTGCCACGTGGTCGTACACCCCCGCGTCGGCATCAGCTGTTCTGGGAGAGTCGTGCTGACCGAGCACATTGTACTGACCCTCCTCTAAGTTCTGACCACTCGCTACATCAGAGAGTAGTGTATCTGCGGCCATGTGTTTCAGCCCAGTGGTCGCCTCTCCTGTCTGTGGAACACAGTTTGCAGTGTCGTAGTCTCCTGTGGACTTGTTACCTCTGTCAGGTCCCGAGAGGTGATTGTAGGGATTCCCGTGTTGCATAACCTTCTTCGAGTTGTCGGATTCTGACAACACGTTGTACTCATCCTCATCATTAATCTGAGAGGTGTTGATGTTGTTGTCATTGTGAGCATTGGGTCGGACTATCGCCGTTGGAAACGTGGATGACGTGGATGTTCTATCTATGTCAGGAGGTGTTATGACTGAATATGTTTCATTTTCTGTTTGTGCCTGAACGGCTAATCCATAGGTGGTGTTTTCTGCGCCAGAAGTGAAGTGTATTGGTTGATTCCCACTTTTTGTCTTAAAGCACAGTTTCTTTTGCCTGAAACACCGAAGCATCAACATGAAGTTCAATCAATCAGAACAGCAATAAGTTCTGGGTGGTTAAATTTAGTTTCCTTGAACAACAATGGTGTTGCTATGAAGTCATTTCAGTTTCGAGACGCCAAACATCCCATGAAAGTTGAGAGGAATAATTTTGGATTCCCTTTAGTATATAGTACTATTTCATAGAATGAAACCTTTAGTCTTTTTCGTCCTTGATATTTTACAGATGAGGTATGTTTTCATGAAGCACGCCTCTCTTCTTACCTTCTCAACACGACGACTACAATGAGGATTGCCAGCACAAGCAGCACACATCCTATACCTAGTCCTATGAAGCCACCTTCAGGAAGATAAATACTACATATATACTCTGAATACATATTATATTGTCATCAAATCAAAGATACATTTGGTATGTCATCATGGAGATGATTACATTAAAAAGGGTTAATAGAACATCAGAAATGGTAAAAGTGTTTAACCTTTAAGATCAAGAACACAACACTGGCAAGTTCTAAGATATTAATGAACGTTAATAATATGTTCAAAAACAACTTCTAGAGCTGCAATAATTCCCTATTTGGGCTTAAAATATCTTGCTATATCTATCCAATACAAGACCCTGTTAAAAGTGTGGTCTACGTAAACAGTGCAGCTTTCTCGACACTTGACGCTGAGAAAGAGGGATGGGTTGAAAGCTGCACTATTTTAAAGATATCCTTCTGTGCATGCACACGTGATGCCTTGTTAGCACGATAATGGTGCTGAAAAGTCATAATCCCTGTAATCCCTGTAAAGCAATTTGAGGTGCCTTAGACGACTTGGTCACACATACTCCTTACTTGTCGTTGATTGTTTTGAAGTTTCGTCAGCTTTCTAGATCATAAGTATTCTCCACGCATTATTTCTAAAGTACTTTTAGGCCTGAAAGTGAATATTTCGACTGTTTTATACTATTGTATATATACTCACACGCAAAAGAAACGCAAGTGGTTTTAAGCAAATAGGTAACAAATAATGTAGTGAAGCCTGATGGTGTTATCAATATTTTTAGTTGCATTTTGGAAGCAACATAAAACGAATTACCAAAACGCACCATTTCAATGAATATGTGGGTATCATGCGCCCAATTCTCGCGAAATGGAAAATGCACGAACTGTCACGAACTGTAGTGGGTATAAAACTGCGGCCGATTCTTGGACCTACCACTCCTTGGTCAACAATGCCACGCCTAACTCAAATTCAGAGAAACCAGGCTATGTATCGGACGTTTGGAAGCTGTAGAGTCTGTCCAAGATGTTGCCCGTCACTTCAACGTTAACATAACCACAATTTACCTTCTCCTGCATCGATACAATTCTACACAGACCACAGATAACCTTCCTCGGAGCGGTCGTCCTAGGGTCACCACACCTCGACAAGATCGGCAGATTACCCGTCAAGACCAGCGATATCCGTTCCTAACTGCAAGTGAAAGTGCTCGACAGACCATAGGAAAAAATCGACACATTAGCCGGAACACTGTGATCCGACGTCTTCGTTCGAGCAACCTCAGATGTCGCCGAACAGCACGTCGTCCTGTTCTCCAACCACGGCATCGACAAGCACGACTTCAGTGGGCACAGGGTCATCACAATTGGCGTCATCGTGAGTGGAGGCGTGTCATCTTCTCTGATGAAAGTCGCTTTTGTGTCTCCCATGCAGACGGAAGAGGCAGAATTTGGCGGCGTCGAGGTGATCGTTTCGCTGACAGAAACGTTGTGGAAAGGGATCCATGGGGTGGACCTAGCGTCATGATATGGGCAGGGATTGGACTTAATGCGAGACTTGTGCTTTCTGAATGTTGGGACACGGCGTCACTGCTCAGCGGTATATCGACCAAGTGATCAGACCCCACGTTGTTCCATCAACAACACATTTTCCAGCAGGACAACTCTCGTCCCCATGTTGCCAGAGCTACCATGGCCTTTCAGCAACAACACATCCGTGTTCTACCGTGACCAGCACTCAGCCCTGATCTGAACCCCATCGAACACTTTTGGGATGAGGTTCGAAGGCGTCTGCACAGTGTGCGCCCAGTCCCTACAACTGCCGATGAACTACGCACAGCTGCTCCTGATGTGTGCAGGAGGATCCCTAGGGCCTTCACAAATCGTCTGATCCACTCAATGTACAGGAGATGTGTGGCAGTGATCAATGCTTATGGTGGTCACACCAGGTATTGACTGACATTTTGGGTATTGACCCGAAACTGTGCCCTTAACATTTGAAAAAAATAATGATGTTATCTGCCTTTTAATCCATTAAACTGTCTTCAGTCAAATTTTGTCAATCTTCTCCTATTAGTATTTCTTGTCTTTACTGTTGAAAATAAATAACATGTATACTGCATACTCGACTTGCGTTTCTTTTGCGTGTGAGTATATTATATGATGAAACATATGTATGATTATTTGTTAGCAGCGTTTGATACACACCTGCCTGGGGATTGCTCGAAGAGTTCATAGCATCTTTCCGTCCTGCAAGTGGTGTGGTAACTTCGGTAGAGTGGACGCCATCGGTTGTACCAACTCCTTGTGCCGGTGATTTTGTTTCTGATGATGAGGATGTGTTAAAATGTGGAGTCATTGTGGGTGATTTGGTTGATAATGATGAGGATTGTGGTCATGATGTTGGTGTCATTGTGGTTGATGCTGTAGATATTTTTACTGGAGTGATCACAATGAACGATTAATAGATAACGAATCACAGTTTAATTTCAAATGATGGAGGGTGTTGGTATCAACGCTGCTTTTACCGTTATTACAGATATATTACAGCGAGAGAGACCACATTTGAGCGTCATATATTCATTTCTGTTATGCCTCACCCATCAGAGAGCAGAACTACTGACCCCACATGAGCCCGTATACCGTCAGTAAAAATCCAAGATGGTTGTTACTGACCTTATATGAGACCGTATACCGTCAGTAACAGCCATCTTGGTTTTTTCAACAACAACCTCAGATATTTCACATGAAAATTCTGGTACAGAAATTCGTTATTCGACACTGTTTTGTGTTTTAATATCATTAGTTTTTATGTGCAAGGATGTTCATGTTTTTGGATCACGTTCGTGACTTTAATAAGATTATATAAAGTTAACATTAACAGCAAGGTTTGGCTTCTGAGGTTTGAAGAGTAGTCTCGCTTTGACCTTAACGTCTTAGGTTGTAAGTGGTAAGTTTTGAGTTTTAAGTTTTGACATGTGCGACAAAGATACCAAATAGTGTAAACTTTTCGGAATAATAAATTCGTTATGTCGTCTTTAGTTGCCGTATACGGTGTCATATTAGGTTAGCCTCGTCCAATATGTTTCTGCTAACCTAATATGACACCCTCAACTAAAGACGGCAACGGCAACTAAATACACCATAACTAATAGTATCCCTTTGGGAAATCGAAGCTTGGCATTCGGCGTGGCCGACCAACCACATCCCTTCGGCGTCTTGTTTAAAAAATTATAAAAATAATAATTATTGAAACCTATAGCTGTGGCTGTCATAGCTATATGAGACTAAAGTCTGTTTCTAATTCATAATTACAGTTTCATGGTCACTTAACTTCAAAGTTTATAAACAACAACCAAAGTACACATCAGTTTGTTGATGATGAGTTTTAAAATGACAAGCACGTTTTCACTAAAGTACTAAGCATCTATGATCTCTATCACTACCGGTTTTCCTCCCACTTTACAACATGTTATATTCATTTTTAAAAATCTTAACGACCTTGACTATAATAAAAAATTCATGACCATAATTTAGGGAGCGAATTTGACCTTCAATATATAATACAAGTATTTCAAGGTTACATACAGCATATAAAAAAACTATGAAATCCTGTCCTGGTGTGGTAAAGAAACAACTAGTTTTTGAGAACACCAAAATATTTTACTTTGTTCAAAAACAAATCCTTTTAGAATTGTATATATTTCCATATCGTGACATCAAATCTCGATATGAATCTGTTAGATACATTACCCAGTTCGTGTTACGCCTATGTGAACAGAATATCTGACTCAACACTTGACCTTCAGTGAGTGAGTGAGATGGGTTCAACACCACTCTTGACACTTTTTCAGAAATATGATGCATGTAAGCTTAAGTGATGTAAATTCAGGTTAGCCTGAAATCCACGAACACGATGATAGTAACGACAACACTAGAATCAAAATAAAGGCACATCTTCGATCCCATGATTATAGGATTCATGCCTGACTCAAGCTTGCAACACTGTAAAGCAAATTGCGGTACATTAGACGACTGGTTACACATGCGCCTTACTTGTCGCGGTTTGTTTTTAAATTTCGTTTAGCGTTATAGATCATATTTATTCTCAAAGGATTATATCTAACAGCAATTTTGGGCCTGAAAGTGGAAATATGTCAACTTTGATTCAAAATGGGTGAAATGGGACAAATGAGCTTAACTGATTTTGAGTAGCCGCAAACTAACATGTGCTTGTCTGGTTTCAGAGCCATTATGACAGGATGACTGAAGTAGAGAAGTGAACTTTACCATTTTCACATATGAACGTCCTATTTTCTGAACATGGCCTCCAGTAGAAACGCTTCATTCCATTCTTCTGCTTGTATACACTCAGACACATGGTGTCTGAAGACGAACTACTGGGATAGCCATCGTAGCTCAAAGCCTCCTTTCCTGAAAAGAATATTAGAATAGGGTATCGGCACATGCAGTAGCACAACCTTTCAGACAGATACAATACCATACATTTTACTTCATGTATAGGTAATGTCGCTGACGAAAGTGTATAGCATAGATTTAATAAAAGCTGAAGGACACCAAAATTATTGGCAAATGTAGGAACACCTTAATTGTATCAGATATATCTCCACTCCACCGAGACAAGTTGTTTTTTGTAAAAGGACATGAAGACAAATAACCATTTGCCGGGAGTAACAACTTTTTAACGAATGCACTTGTTTTGGGGGACAGGCTGTCACACTTGTAATGTAATTATATATATTCAGTACACACACTCTCAGTTTATACTCTGAAAACCGTATAATAATAGTTTGCTTCTGGTAAAAACGAAGGTTTCAATCAATTCTCTTGAGCATCTTCTTTTGATAAAACGTTTTTATTCTTGGTGAAGGGGTGGATGTTTTCATGTCAGAGAGACAAGGATGAAGAAGCAAAATTCACACGAATATTCAAATTCAATTGATAATGACAACTTTATTTTCATTTGTGTTGTGATAACTCTATTACCAATAAAGGTGAAATAAAATAATGCAATCTTATATTTAAGTAGCAATCTTACTGTTGTCAATGCTTGATGCAATGAGCTTGGACATGTGAACAATATGCAACAATTTTCAATAACCGCTGCTACAAATCTTCTTGAAATGATCTTGGTTTTCATACAAATCTGTCAAAACAATTTCGGATTAAAAAATGGACCAAATGGAACTTATTATGTATTGCGAGGAGTATGGTTTTCGCAAGTGAGTCGTTGTGATACATGATGAAGACAAATAACTGTCAGAAATGCATAATGCAAGAGTAGAGTCAGAACATGTTTCAAATACAGAGCAAAGATATATACTTTCGTGGGTAACGATATTGACCCATTTGAAATGTCGAATTATAAAATAATAGAAAATTTTATAATATTATTAAAGGTATCGGGTCGTGATCAGGTGTGACATCTTTCCGGTTCATTGTACTATCAAGTACAGAATTATGATCAAGGACCTGAGCAAAAATGATTGTTTCACTATATGGTCGTACTGTCTTTATTCATGTATCCTGAGAAAAAACAGCTTCGATCAAACTGAATAATTTTTCCAAAAGCCTCCGAAAGCCTGCAAGCTTTCTATATTGCTTCAGAGGGGGGTTTGTCCAAGTCAGGCACGGGACCCCAGTCGTCTAAAGTCCCGCTTTTATCTGTGCATAGCTGCGTCGTTTGGGCACGTCAGAAACCTATGATCATGAGTTCGAATACTAGTTCTCTAGGTTTGTTATCACCACATCCGTGCTCGTTGGTTTCACCAAAGGGGTAAACGTCTGAGACCTGCATTACTTCAGGCTTTCCTCCCACATTAAGCTGACACACCGTGATATAACTGAGCGTTAAACCCAAATCAATGACTTTAAAGTAAACCAATCAGCTTTTCTTATAGTCCAAATAGGGCTCCTACTAGACTATGTCCTTTGAACATTCTAGATGTCAATATGCAACACTAGACCCTGGGTCAATATCTATTCAAAGTGACACGAATGAATTTTGAGTTCTGATCCAGAAAGGAAATGAACCAACAACGCCGTTGGCCTCGTATTCGATATGATTTGAAAGAAACGTTAACACCTTAATGGTTCGCATGTAAACATATAATATGCGCTGTGCTGTAACCTTGTTTAAATCAATCGTGACATAACCCCAACTTTACGTGAATATATAGTGTATGACCCTTACCGCTTATCCATTGCCTGTGTATATCTTTGTATAAGCCAATCCAGTATATTGTGGTCGTACTCGTGAGGCTAAGAAGAACGTTCTGAACAGCTGTATTAAGTTTAACCAAGTGGCATCTCCTGTCGGCATCATACCAGGACTTTTTCCAGCAATCTATGTATGTACGTGGACCTATAAAATAAAAGGACAACAATTGAAAAGTTTGATAAGAAAAGCTGGTGCAAGTTTCTTGCATGTATGGTTGTTTACAACTTTCTCTATGGTGGCCGAGAGGGGACAAGGCTGTCTCGCCTTCATTTACGACCGAGAGAAGCGATGAAACCATAACACAAGACGAAAAGTGATAACACGAGCCGAGAAAGCGATATGTGTGTCGCTTTCTCGTCTCGTGCTGTCGCTTTATCGCGGTAAAGCAATATCCCCTCTTGGCCACCATAGGGATCGCATGTGTTATGGGTCTCTATATCATAAAAGGTATATACCCAAAACAGCAGTAATTTATTGTTAAACGACACCTCGGTATCATTAAGGGGCTGACCATTTAATACACGGATATAAGGGTTGTGGGGATGGGGGTCGCCATGATGTTGTTTTCTTTGTTTTGGGGGCTCGGGGTATGGGGGTAGTTTTGTTCATTAAAGAGAGCTGAGATTTTTTCCAGTAACATTTCAAATTATGCCTATCGAGGGAATGTTAAAAAATTGTATAGACGAAGGTGATTTTAAAACAACCCACGGACTTATGCGTAAAACGTAATTGATTGAATTATAGCCCTATTTATGAGTTGTGTGGGACCATTGCGCCGTCAGCGCGTGGCGGGTCATGGCAATACTCTCTAGTTAAATCAGGTTAAAATCTAAATCTATACTATTCAAAAGAAGTTGAAGAACACCCGATTCACCCGATATGACTGGTTAATCAGCCATGTCTGAATGTATTCCAAAACACAGCCTTATAATTGTTTGTGTTCTTTAATCTGTTTAGAGTAGTAGAAAATGTTACAGTGTGAATGCCATAATACTGTTGTCCGTAAATATTCTTTTTGACATCACGACTGGGGACACTAGAAATGGGCTTAAAACTAGTAATTCCCATAACAGGGGCAATTAAGTTTCCCCAAAAATGCAAATTATCCGCCGACTTTCTGCGAAATACAGTAAAGTAACAGACTTTTCTGTTGTAGTGTATGTGATTGTTGCTAATGGACTACAATTCAAGAAAGTAAACACATGCGTGTATCCAAGCAAACCAAGAAAGCATTCTGTATCTATATCTAACAAAATTATCTTCTACGAAAGGTTGAAAAGGTATTGTTTCTCTGCTGAAACATTGGCCTTCATGATTTGCCATGGGATGAACAATAGCATTAACATGCATTTTGTCATCACCATCAGTACGCGAAAAGCGTATCCTGCACCACCGATAACACCCCATCACAAGGACATGCAAAGGTCAGACAAGTGTTCAACTGAAGAAACACTGGGACGACACAGTGTACAATTTAAAATAGGGAATTGCATCGGACAGCATTCTGGACACTGATGCATCAAATTTGAAATTTCTTCCACCTTACTATGACGTTGATTAGGGTAACTCTGATCAAACAGCTTTTCAGCAAGAGTTGTGTAGCGCTTTTTGAAATTTTGTTAGAAAGAGCATGCTTGTTTGTACCTCAAAAGAAACCATGCGTCTTAAGTCCATAGATGGCTATCTAATTATGAGTGAGTGAGTATGGTTTTTATCTCAGTAAACTTGTGAACTCACAGTAAATTGTTTTCACTTTTGACAAATTCCTCTGAACGTTTGATGATACTGATGTAACTATATATGTGGTCACCACAATAAGTGAAGTTTGTTGTTTGGGAAGGCGGGGGACAAAGTTTAGAAAATCAAATGTTTGACAAAATTAAACTTCTTTCTTTTCTGAGATTACAAAATGTCAAGCAAATCCTTTAAGTTTTTGAGAATCCACATAGTATTAAATCAATTTAGCACAATTACTTGCTGTGAGCATAAAGAAAGTCCTTCCTTGATTGTTTAGAGATTATGGTTAATCTTTCAGACAGGGATTTGGTGGTACATTTGCTGTACCTTGCAATATATCTATCTTTGTATGGTTTATTTATGGATTGTTGGAATCTAGTACAAAAGAAGAATGGACATGTCTTCCGGTTTTAGAGCCAAGTCACGGTTTTAGAGTCCCTGGTGACAACATGGTAGTGGTGATTCAGTCAATAATAGGTTGCTATGACAATGTCACCCGCAAGTGTAACATCCTCTCAACATACGTTGCTAGGAACTTCTCTACAATATATTCTTGAACATATTGAGATGGATAACATATTTTGTTTATGTGAATGACGGATATATTTTTATTTTTATTTTTGGGTCATTTTATTTGTTATCATCCAGAAAATGGTCTAAAATACATAACATTAAGGTTGTGACACATACCATAAAAGGAACCAATGGAGATTAATCTTCTTGTGTGTGAAACGTAATGAAATCATACCTCTATAAATGCAGGCATAACATCTTTCTTTGTTTTGGCAATCTTCATATGTGCTGCTGTGTATGGAGAGGTCTCCATCCCGACGTATTGCATAAGCACAGTAATTGTCTTCCTCTTGATAAAATGTAATGTTTTCTACAAAACATAAAGACAAATTATCAATCAAACATAAAGTTTAGTTATTTAGTCCGCTCTCTCACTTTGAATGAAGACTGGCATGCTGATGGTAATGACACAATTTGAAAGAAGGACGTTTTCGACACTGATCAAAATATAGTATGCGGCCTGTCACCACTGACCTTTCCACAATATGGAACTGAAGTGTGAAGGGAATGAACATTCAATGATTCTGAAACAGCCCTGTGCCTCGTGCCACAAAATGATCTCAAATCTACGACGACCGCGTGTTTATGTTAAGTGTGGGTGTTATGAGAGTAGTAGGAAGTTTTAGTGGCTCAGAGATCCCAATTTTTAATTGCTCTAAGCCAAAGAAAACCTCCACAAAAGAAAGATATACCCTTGATAGTAAAACATGTGGATGTAGATTCCATGGTGATCGGAAATGAAATATAAGATAAGTGTCAAATGTAATAAATTATTAATGGCACCAAGACCTGGTAACGAGCAAGATAACGTTGTCTGTGTCAAGGGTCTAGGAACCGATCAGAGCATAAATAGCATTATTTCAACAATTACATGGATGGTATGATATCAATGCAGTACATACCTAGCCTATATACTGACATCCCTTGGACGTTTCCACACTTTTCGTCCAAGTTTCCTGGACACGTGTTCTCAGGTGTCATCGAAGTTGTAGTGCTGTATCTTACTTTTAGACAGTAGCACGTGGTTCCCTGTAAATGCGCACAAAGGTAGATATAATGTCATAATCATTCAGTGTTGCCATGAGTATTTACGCTACATTTGCATGGCATCAAAACAAAACTGTATGGCGAACGTACTGCGCTCAAATAAACAAAGGGAAGATAAGTTACGGTCTATTTCACCTCGTCTCTAAACATAATAGATTAAACAATGAAAACTTAAACAAATTGTTATAATATCTATGTTTTCATCGGGCATCTCAGGCCTCTGGAAATGATAAAACCTTGGATAGGATTGGCCTTCAGTGATCCTTGAGGCCTAAAAAACTTGTTTTATCATCATAGTACGTTTATGAGTAAGTGAGTTGAGTTTATTGCCGCTTTGAAGAGTAATTATATCACAGCGTTCTTTTTTTGAATATAGTGGTTTATGTATTAAATGAGAGTGTCCAAGCTATATAATGGCGATCTGAAAATAATCGAGTCTGCACCATACAATCCAGTGATTGATATCATGAGCCTCGATCCACGCAATTGGAATACGATGACATCTATCAACCTAGTCAGCGAGCCTGACCACCCGATCCCGTTAGTCGTCTCTTTCGATAAGCATGGATTGCTGAAGACCTTTTCTAACCCGGATCTTCACGGGTCGTGATGAGAGTGAGTGAGTCTGGTCATATCACAGTGTTTAATGTGTGTAATAAATCTCAACAGATGACGGAAATTTAGAAAATTACTACTTCATCTCAGACGGATACGGTGCTGACAACCAAAGGATCATAACCAGGGCGAATATCGGATTCCAATCCTGCTAGCATGCTAGACGCTTCTCTGCAGAGAGAGACGCGGCGTCTGTGACAACAGGGCTACCACTCACACTGCACTTGAATTAAATTAATACATATTCCGAACAGTAGTATATGCAGTATCACGGAAGTTGCCATACTGCATGTTGCATATATTTCAAATCATGAATTTGGTGAACCTACCTTCATGCCTACTGAAGCTGCTGGGCTGCAATGACGATGGCACTTCCATACCGAGTTATCAAGAAATTCTACCATTGATTCTGCTGTCACACTCCCCAGGGGAAGGAAGCCAGCATAGGTGTACAGGGGACTGACATCTTCTGTATGTGAATAATTGAAGGTATTGAACGTGTAAGAAGGCTTTACTGTTCCTACTTTAGGTGTATTGCTATGATAAATGATGTACTTCTATTAAGGACATTAACACCATGTATGCTTGTGTGTAATTGTCTTTAACCAATCAAAATTAAAACATTTTTGTAATTGTGTAAGGTGTGGCCAGTAGGCCGATATTTTCAATTGCCCTTATTGTACCTGTCCAAAGCCAGGCTAAGTACTGCATGGCACCTATCCAGTAGTAGGTGCCGGACTGTAGACGGTCTAGTGGAATGTCCTCTGAGCCTGGTGTGTACAACCTGCCTTCTGTCACATTGCATCGGCTTTGTGCCTCCCACCAAGTGCTTGGTTCATCCATAATGCGTATTCGAGAAGATTCTACAAATTGATTTTCAGAAAGTGAATTGTTTGATAGGCATTACTAAGAAGTTGACGGATGACAAAGTAGACACAATTTATGGATAACAACTTCTTTAATTCCTGTAAAGGCGGCTTTTTGATTAGATCCTTATAGTCGCCTTTACAGTAAATAAAGAAGTTGTTATCAATAAATTATCTCTACTTTGTCATTCGTCGACTTCTAAGTAATGCCTATCAAACAATTCATATCAAAGGACCCAAAATATGTGACTTTCGTTTTGACGTTTCATATTGTAGAATTCATATACAATCGCGTTTGACAGTAATAAAAGAAGTTGTTATCCATAAATTGTGTCTACTTTGTTTCAGAAAGTGATTAATGTAAAGCACCATAATTCGGATAACAATTTTATCTAGCACTCCTTTCTCTTGTATGTCTCTTCCAAATATGTTAAGATTTCGTCAATTATGTCTCATTTATGAAAAGTGAAATTAAGATAAAAGCGTATGTACATCATTTAAATGCAGTACAGCTCTCCAAACCATTGTTTTCTACCGTGCATTGTGACAACACATGCATGACGTCATGATAACATCAAGTGCCCTCAGTACGTGTTCACATAACTGTAACATGTGATAGCTTTACACAAGTATACGTAGAGATGCACATGTACCTGGTTGCTGACGATGACTATTTACGGTATGATTATATAAGAAGCACAGGGTTAGTAAAACACGCGTGACACATGAACGACTCACAATCAAGAGTCCATCATAATACCCTGAAATATGCACGATTTGTCTCTAAAAGAGTTACCGATTGATGTCACGAAACATCAAGTGTAACATAAATATTGTGGACGTCAATGTTTGAAGCCCCAGGTAAGACATAGTACCTTTAAACAGGTGAGCCCGTGTCTGAAGACATAATATCATACCAAGTTTTATACATAGGGGACAGTTTGTCAGGATCTTAATGGAACGAGAACTTACGTATTCCCCGGCATATGACAGCTCCCCAACAGACGAACAGCCATGTAAACAACATATCCGACACCCACTGATCCCATGTAGCCACTGCTTACAGTAGTCTGTGGCCTACAAGGAAGTTAATTCACTCACAACTTGGCCAGTCAACAAAGCCCGGGAAAATATTATGTCTGCATGTCACACATAATTCAGCGGAGCACTGCACACAGGCAACCAGATACTGCACACAGGTAACCAGATACTGCACACAGTCAACCAAACACTCCACACAGGCAACCAGATACTGCACACAGGCAGCCAGATACTGCACACAGGCAACCAAACACTGCACACAGGCAACCAAACACTCCACACAAGGAACCAAGTACTGCACACAGGCAACCAATTACTGCACACAGGCAACCAAGTACTGCACACAGGCAACCAAGTACTGCACACAGGCAACCACATACTGCACACAGGCAACCAAGTACTGCACACAGGCAACCAAGTACTGCACACAAGGAACCAAGTACTGCACACAGGCAACCAAATACTACACACAGGCAACCAAACACTCCACACAGGCAACCAGATACCGCACACAAGGAACCAAGTACTGCACACAGGCAACCACATACTGCACACAGGCAACCAAGTACTGCACACAGGCAACCAAACACTCCACACAGGCAACCAGATACCGCACACAAGGAACCAAGTACTGCACACAGGCAACCAAGTACTGCACACAGGCAACCAGATACTGCACACAGGCAACCAAGTACTGCACACAATCAACCAGATACTGCACACAGGCAACCAAGTACTGCACACAGGTAACCAAATACTGCACACGGGCAACCAACTACTGCTTACAGGCAACCAAATACTGCACACAGGCAACCGAATACTCCACACAAGCAACCAAGTACTGCACACGGGCAACCAAACACTCCACACAGGCAACCAGATACCGCACACGGGCAACCAAGTACTGCACACGGGCAACCAAGTACTGCACACAGGCAACCAGATACTGCACACAGGCAACCAAGTACTGCACACAGGCAACCAGATACTGCACACAAGCAACCAAGTACTGCACACAATCAACCAAATACTGCACACGGGCAACCATACACTCCACACAGGCAACCAGATACCGCACACAAGGGACCAAGTACTGCACACAGGCAACCAGATACTGCACACAAGCGTCCAAACACTCCACACAGGCAACCAGATACCGCACACAAGGAACCAAGTATAGCACACAGGCAACCAGATACCGCACACAGGCAACCAAGTACTGCACACAGGCAACCAGATACTGCACACAAGGAACCAAGTATAGCACACAGGCAACCAGATACTGCACACAGGCAACCAAGTACTGCACACAGGCAACCAGATACTGCACACAAGCAACCAAGTACTGCACACAATCAACCAAATACTGCACACAGGCAACCAAACACTCCACACAGGCAACCAGATACCGCACACAAGGAACCAAGTACTGCACACAGGCAACCAGATACTGCACACAAGCGCCCAAACACTCCACACAGGCAACCAGATGCCGCACACAGTCAACCAAGTACTGCACACAGGCAACCCAAAACTGCATACAGTCAACCAAACACTCCACACAGGCAACCAGATACTGCACACAGTCAACCAAGTACTGCACACAGGCAACCAAATACTACCCACAGGTTATCAAATACTCCACACCGACAATATGTCAGTTTAATCTACTTAGATACAAAACAAATACACTTTGTCGCTTCATTATCCCATCCTACGATGCGACGCGTGCTGCAATGGACGATGTTGCCATCCGATGCAGGATGTTGCGATGCGATATAAACGTATTGAGGTGTGATTTGTCGACGGAAGTGTTAATCGAGACTATCTTGCCTACTGAAGAAAGCTATGTTTCAGTTCATGAGTTTTGTTTGTTGTTTCAGATATTTTGTCCAGTCAAATGTCTCAGTTTGAATACAAAAGTTGACAGTTTTGTCTTGGAAATATATTAAAATGGTTTTAGGAAACAATACCAATCAAATTCGTATTAGGATACTCCTCGCTAGAACTTCCTCAAGACAATCTTGAAAGAAAATTGAATGTCTACGACATTGCGATAAAATGTAATTTGGTAAATGTGGATAAAACTATTTGGGTGAGATGGCCACTTCTTTTGTAGGACATACTATTTGATACGTCATTATTGAAGCTATCGATATATAAAGATATATCGACATGTTATATTGTTGAAATAGAAGACCGACCTGAGTAATGCAGACACCTGTTGATTACGCAACATCGAAGCCTTATCCCCCGACACTTTACACCAAACACAGATTCTAAATTTAGACCAGACCAACGTGTCAGCTGTTGTTCATATGGCTAACAACCGAATTCGAGACAGATAACAATTCAAATCAAAGAACATATAACTTTCTTTTTGACCTTACATATTGTAGAGTTCCTATACAATCGTGTTTGGCAGGGTGACCAATGTGGGATTATTTGTATTAAGTTCCAGAAATGTGTATCACAGGGGCTCAGGTTGTACCGTTTTCCGTACAATGAGCCGGCTGCTGTTCAGGGAATACGATAAACGGCTGACGACTCACACAGGAAAAGTGTATGGTTGAACATGGTAGTGATAACATCACAATGTAAATATACTGAGTCAAATTAAAAACTTCACATCTTTAAAAGTAATCCCATATATGATATACAACGGACAAATGTATCAGAGAAGGTAATTTTTATAAGTACCTACGGTATTCGGTAATAACATCAACAGTTTAAATCATAAGTCCCAAGCACGAGAATCTGATGGCACACAAGTTCAGTAGCGTGTATGGCCACCATGTGCGTTGACAACTGCCACACAACGCCTCCGCATGGACCTTGTGATGCTTGTGAACACATGATTGGGAAGACGACGCCATTGTTGCTGCAAAATGGTGCCAAGATCTTGCAAATTCTGTGGTTGGTTCTGGAGAGTGCGCAGACTTCTGCCAAGAGCATCCCAGACGTGTTTGATGGGATTGAGGTCGGGAGACCTTGACGGCCAGTCCATGACGTTGACTCCCGCATTCTGAAGGAAATTCCTTGTCAAAATTGCTGGAAGATCAAACCGGGCCCATGTGCTGCCATAAAAGGTCGCGGTAAGCAGCAGCGTTGAGGTTGCCACGGATGACAAGAAGCCTGGAACGTGCATTGCCACAGAAAGCACCCCACACCATGACACTTCCGCCTCGAAATCTGTCAACTTCCTGTACACAACACTGGGCGTAACGTTCATGACGGCGCCTCCACACCCTCGCCCTACAATCAGGAAATCGAAGATTAAATCGGGATTTATCACTGAAGACGACTTGGTTTTCAATTCCTCTGAGTCCATCGTAAGTGTCGCTGTGCCGACAATTGACGTTGACGTCTGTGTAATTGAGTCAGAATCGGCCCGCAGTATGGCCGTCGTGCTTGAAGGTGAGCAGTTCTCAGGCGGTTTCGAACAGTTTGCGCACTCAGTCTACCCCTAAACAGTTCATTTCTGGTTAATGTAACCGTCAAAAATCGGTTACGGAGATGACGTAAGACAATCTGACGATCCTCTGCATGTGACGTGGTCGACCTGGCCGAGGGCGATCAGCGGTGATACCCGTTTGCTGTAGACGCGTCTGTAAATCATAAACAGTCCGTCGACTACAACCCATCGTCCTTGCGACTTCAACTACGGACGTTCCCGTCTGCAACATGCCGATGGCACGTTCACGTTGCACATTTGAAAGGCGTGGCATGACAAATGGACGTAAAGACTTTTGTTTTCTTGTGTTTTTCTTCTTTTTTTTAATGACTGATAACAAGTATGGCTGAAAAGACGTGCGATATTATGGCCACGTGACCAGTTGCACGTGAAAAACCACTTTTGCCACTATAGTGCTGTGCACATGATTTTGATCGATTCACCTGCACAAAAACGAGTGTTATCTGAAGACAATACGTGGCCATTACTGTTTAAATACACAATAAGGGCCCACAATGATCAAACTGGTCAAAATGTTAAAATTTTAGGATTGTGAAGTTTTTAATTTTGTTCAGTATATGTGCTGATGTAGACAGCTCGTTCCCGCATGCATATAAGGAGGAAGACATTATACATATGTGTGTTTGTGTCTACCTGCCTGTGTTTGTCTATGTCTATGTCCCGAATGTCTGTGTCTCTGTCTGTCCCTGAGTGTCAGTGTCTCTGTCTGTGCCTGAGTGTCTGTGTTTGTGTCTGAGTGTCTGTGTCTCTGTCTGTGCTTGAGTGTCACTGTCTGTGCCTGAGTGTCTGTGTCTGTGTCTGTGCCTGAGTGTCTGTGTCTGTGTTTGAGTGTCTCTGTCTGTGCCTGAGTGTCTGTGTCTGTGTCTGAGTGTCTATGTCTCTGTCTGTGCCTGAGTGCCTCTGTCTGTGCCTGAGTGTCTGTGTCTGTGTCTGTGTCTGAGTGTCTATGTCTCTGTCTGTGCTTGAGTGTCACTGTCTGTGCCTGAGTGGCTGTGTCTCTGTCTGTGTCCGAGTGTCTGTGTCTGTCTGAGTGTCTATGTCTGCGTATGTGTTTGAGTGTCTCTGTCTGTGCCTGAGTGGCTGTGTCTGTGTCTGAGTGTCTATGTCTCTGTCTGTGTTTGAGTGTCTGTGTCTGTCTGAGTGTCTATGTCTGCGTCTGTGTTTGAGTGTCTCTGTCTGTGCCCGAGTGTCTGTGTCTGTGTCTGAGTGTCTCTGTCTGTGCCTGAGTGTCTATGTCTCTGTCTGTGCTTGAGTGTCACTGTCTGTGCCTGAGTGGCTGTGTCTCTGTCTGTGTCCGAGTGTCTGTGTCTGTCTGAGTGTCTATGTCTGCGTATGTGTTTGAGTGTCTCTGTCTGTGCCTGAGTGGCTGTGTCTGTGTCTGAGTGTCTATGTCTCTGTCTGTGTTTGAGTGTCTGTGTCTGTCTGAGTGTCTATGTCTGCGTCTGTGTTTGAGTGTCTCTGTCTGTGCCCGAGTGTCTGTGTCTGTGTTTGAGTGTCTCTGTCTGTGCCTGAGTGTCTATGTCTGCGT